GAAGAATATTTTAATCTAATATTCATATCCATAGCAGCAAGAATACCGACTTTTATACAAACTCCAAATATTAATAATATCTTGATAAAATGTACCCTCTATCCAGGACTAAGGTTAACTTAGATAAAAAGTTTCATTCAAATTCATTTAGCGGTTTTTAAGTGAATCGCGGTTAACAAACACACAGACAGACAAAAATTTTAATAATCATATTTTGGCATCTATCACACTACAAAGATCTCCTTTACTATTTTTTTTATTTATTTGCCAATGTACAATATCAGCTCTTTTACGGTGTTATATGTGTGTAGATAGTAATTTGGTTTTCTAACGTTCAGTAGTTTTCCCAGACTTTCTTTTGTTATTTTGGAAAAAATGATTGAAAATAAAATATTATATTTCAATAAAATATTTTAATTTAATTAATGTCAGCTGACATTTCCAACAAACCGCATTTCCGACCATAATCTCAATTATTTTATTAAGTTACGAAGGCTTATGTACGCTATTGTCATACTGACATACAATACATTGGAATTATTTATAATAACTCCATAGTACTAACTAATAAAAAATCCATATTACCCCTGTATTAATCGGTCACTGTCATGCTCAAATTTTACAGAAGGCGCTGTAGTATTTAACTTCGAACTTTCCTATTAATTTCTAAATGAAGGAGGTATATTAATGGAATTAGGATCATATGGGTTCTTTCAATCTAGTGTTTTTTAAAGCTCTCTACGTGTACTAAAAATGAAATAAATCTCGGAGTCGACGTCGCTGTTTCTAGAAATGAATTGAAGTGAGGGAGAAATCGAATTAATTACTGAAAAACGAATAAAGTTTTTCATGACGTAGGAAGGCAAACGAGCAGGCGAGTCTCCGAATTGGAAGTAACTACCACCGCCCATGGACAACTACAACTTAAGAGTTAGAAATGCGCTGTCCCCTTTTGAATTCTCCCCTCAAAATCAGGGGAAGGAGAGGTTTGGTAACTTCATTCACTCGATGAAAAGAACGAGAGTTGATAACAAATAACTAACTGGTTGATAAAACTTTCATAACGACAAATTTTCATCCTAAATCTATTTAGAAATAGACTAACTTTATTCATTTTGTTATCCATGTGTCGTGTGGTCTTAGTTCCGAATCCAGTGCAGGTATGACTTTATTATGGTACCGCTGACAGTTATTTGAAAATGGCAGAGTGAGTTTCAGAGCAATTAAAGGTTCTTGATAAAGTTTTACCAATGTATGCAGTAAAATTACCAGACTTCAATATTACTGATAACAATCGTCTGGAAAACAGAACTGTTAAACTTGTGAGTATGATGTAAACATGTTTTTCATTTGGCGCTAAATTATGTTTACTCTGAACATCTATTTTCTCAATATTCTTTTGTCACTAATTGTATTGTTATTGTCGTTATACAAAAAAATAAAAAAGTGATCTATTGCGCAACGAACAACGTACGGCTGAATTTTCGCTGTGAAAACACTATTAAAAAATTCATTGTAATTTAAAACATTTTAAACAAATTTCTGAAAGTAAACTTTTTATGACACTTGTTTAAAAAAAATAGTAATCGTAGATATTGTGATATTTTAATTGTGTTTACATGTAGTTTACTCTTTTTAAATTTGTTATACGCATAAAAACAGTTGCGTTCTTTTTTTCGTAATGATTTGATATTTTTATTGCAAATCCATAAACTCGATATTAATTATTCCTAAATCAGTATGAAAAGATTTTTGTTTATAGTTGTGAACGGTTTAAATATTTAATTATATCTGAAATAAATCATTTCTAAATCAATGAACTTCAGGTTCTAATTTAGATCAATAAAAGATTATACACAATAGATTCGTTAATTGAATCTTTTGTAATAATAATAATCAGTTCGATTGTATAGAATATTGAACACTGGTAAATTTATTAAAGGAGTAGACTATTAAATAGTATAATAAAATCAATATTTTCTGGTCATTAATATATTTTACTTTTTATCGAACTGTCAAAAAGAAAGTAAATTAATGGACAGAGTATAGGAACTAGCAACGCAAGTGGAATACATAATTACTTTGTTAATTCCTATAATTACCTTCAACATGAGTTATTTGGTGTATTTAAAAAATAATAACTATAAATTATTATTTACTAGCTGTGCACTGTGGTGTTCCACAGCTTTATTAGATACAATTATTCAATTTCTTGCTCATACCACCAATGGTATAGATACGTAACAGAGTTAGGGCCTAAAATAGATTGATAGCGTCCCTACCAATCTACTTACGAACAAGTTCCATAGGTACTGAAAATGGTAATAAAATATTACCATGTTCAGTGTGTGATAATTCTATTTCGCCTGTGTAGTACTGAAATCGATCACAAGCACATCTGTTCTCGAGTTATCGCTACGTAAGAATTATTTATGTTCATACATTTACATATATCTTTACGCTATACCTAAATTAACTTTAGTTTAATTTGAGATAACTGTTTTACCTGAAACTTAATTGCGTAAATTTAATTGCGCATAAACTTCGCATGTTAAATACAGGACGGCTACACCCTTTCATACAGGACGGCTTTGAAACTAATTGAAATTTAAAAGGGACTAGCGGACCCGACAGACGTTGTCGTGTACATACGTATAAATTTATAAAAAAAAACATTCTGCAGTGAACCGAATTGTGAATCTAAACCATTCTCGAATCCACTTGAACACACAAAAAAAACCATTAAAATCGGTCCAGCCGTTTAGGAGTTACATACATAAGGAGGAGTCACAGACATACACACGCACAGAATTTAATTTTAAGAATAAGATTAAATATAATATTTAAATATAAGATATAAGATTGATTATAATTTTAAGAAAATACAAACACTAGATATATATTGTCTACTTTTTTATGGTAAACGAGCACACGGCAGACACAGCTCACCTGATGGTAAACGCCGCCCATAGACAACTACAGAGAGCTTAGTGTAAGTTTATTTCACTTCTACTCGCTCTCCACATCGAATACGTTTGGCGAAGTGATTGGTGAAGATTTTATAGTGGGCCAATTGCAACGCCGAGCGTGGTCACTGTGATGAACGAGTTGACGTTAAATAAACTTGCATTAGGCCCTCAGCTCAAGAGTCACAAGTGCGTTGCCGCCCTTAAAATCGTCCCACAGAAGTAAGGGAAATGTGGGTTTGGGTCCCGGAAACCTCACTCACTAGGTGGAAAGCAACGGAAGAATGGCTTAACACCACGTTGAAAGGAGTGGAAACAGGCACATTAAAACAGAAAGGCTGGCTTGTAGGGCGAAATAATTTTTCGCGTCTCTTATTCAGTACAAATGACGATGTTTTTTTTAATTCCCGACGGAAAACGAGAGGTGTTATAAGTTTAACCTGTGTATCTGTCTGTTCATCATAGCTCCCGTACGGATGGACCAATTTCGACCAAGTTCGAAAGCCCATGTGATCGAAATGTTTGATAGTATTTCCACGACATGGAAACCTGGAACTTGCTGCTGCATCAAGTATAAGATAGATTAAGTTTGTGCAGGATAGCCAACTCCTTAGAAAATTACAGCATATGTACTCGTACCATGTTTGGGCTTAGTAGAACAGTCTCAATGAGCACTTGTTATTTTTTAGTTAATTTAAAGTTATTTTTTTGTCGGATGTTTTTTAATGATGCTGTTATGGTATTACAGCGTTAAGCGAGCCATGTGTTTTTTTTTATGTTAGAGGGGACAGACGAGCAGACGAGTCACCTGATGGAAAGTGAATGTGTGACCTGGTTCTTATCCATTAGCTCCTCCACTTCCCCATATTTTTGATTATATTAAAGTCTAACAAAAATTGAAATGAAATCTATTATCTGAAATGTATTGATCTAGTACATCTTATTTTATTTACTTTACATTGTTTAAAAGAGTTGCTGTTTACTTGTAGTAAAAATATCTGTATTAAAGTAAGGCGCCTGCTTTATTCATCAATCTATGACATAGTCGTCACGTGCCCGCAGAGAAAACTATGTATATTATATTTTTTTCTTTTATCCTCCAAAGAAAAGAAAACATGAAGAGAGCTTTTGGATGACATATAGAACCATTTAAAAAAATAGTCATACATTTATTTCTTATTTTGTATTTATAGATCTTGTTCTATATGATCGTCATATTTTAAGGTCTCCACTTCTATACGTAAGCTTTACCTAGGGTTAACCATATAGAAAAAGATTGAAACTAAAATTTAATATAAATTTGTTTTCGGACATCTGACACACATCGCCATCTAGTTTCAAACTAAACAGAGCTTATACTATGAAAGCTAGATTGACTGATAGAAAACTTATATACTTTTTTTTTTGTAAATACATACATATCATACATTAAAAACACCCAAACTCCGAAACAAATATTTTCAGATTATACAAACATTTCTTCCAACCGGGAACTCGGGAACCGAACCCGAGACCTCAGCACAGCAATACTATTATCATACTCTTTTTGCATCATTGGGTTTCTTGTAACCCATGTCAAGACAGTAATATCCAGGTTCCAATCGAGTAAGTTTAGCGCCCTCTAACAATTCTCAAACTGAATGACATTCTTACGAACACCTGGTGGAATTTTCAGCGTTTTGTTTTATTTCAATGACTAGTTGACTAAGTAGTACAAGTATACATAAGTTGAATGCGAATGTATAGACATTCTATACTATGGCAAGTCAAAGTAATTACTGAACATATATGTTGTTTTTAATTTTAGCTTTCTGCGCTTATGTGACATGAAGTTTTTCGAATTGTTTCAAAGTTCACATTCCTCCGGGCTCGAAATTTCTTTAAAAATTATCAAATCAAACGTTCAAAATGGAGGTCACATACGCGTCATTACGGTTTGATACGGTGTGCTGCGTGTGCATGTGATCAGCGTTTAACGCATTATACACTTTAAACTTTCAGCCACTTTTTAACTACGTATATTTACGTCTACAGGAGATACTCAACGAGCTTACCCGTGGAGCGGGCAGCACACCGGAGGGGGCGCTCAATGCAATGTTGCAATTCATCTTCCAACAGAGTACAGCTGACACACGTTGGTTACGCAGACGCATGGCCACGGAACTCGCCGAACTCCTGGCAAAGACATCGTCTGGAAAGATATTTGAATCGTTGACGGTAAAATTACAAAATAAGAAAAAATATTTTAAAATCGTGTTTAAATATTTTCTTAAATAACTTTTCAAATTTGTTTTTACATAAATTCTTAAATTTATTTTAAATATCTTTTCAAAAATTATATTCAAAGATATATATTTCAAAATCATGACACTTTTCATGATGTTACAGTTTCAATACACTTAATAACTGATCATTATTTCCTACATACTATTTATTATTAACGATGGAGTGTACTCCACTTTCCGCTAAGTAGATAAATTATTCCAGTCCGTCCAGTTTGTCGTTATGTAACGTGTAACGTACACGCTTCACTCGATAAAAAACCATTCAGAAATGTTGCCAATATTTCTTTATTTACTTTTACAGATTGGGTTGGTTTGAAAAATGAAATGTAATGGTTCCTTTGCAAACAAAAATTTGTGAAAAAACTTACTATATATTTTATTATATCTTAGGATTTAAAATGACTCCACGATCAAACATCTGTTTTGATTTTAGGTATAGCAAAATGAGATATCTATTTTCCCATAATCGTACTGAAATGCGATACCAAAATCAAACATATCGCTTTGATATTATTAAAAGTATTGGCAGAGTCCTTTTTAGATAGAAGATATGACTGAGTTACTAGAACTGTTAAGTCAAAAGACTGTCATTATTTTTATAGACAGAAGAAGAATACATAAATCTTGTTGAAGTCAACCAGCATTTTTAAAACTTTTTAGTTTTAATTCAAAATTTTCTTTTTCAAATTAAATTGTAATTTTTGCAATATGGTGACAATAACCTTATGGCCCCTTTTTTTTCCGTGCGGAAATCCCCTCGGATACCACCTATCGGTGGCATGTCGGACTCGAACCGACTAAAACCGCACGCCGTCTCGCTTACTAATAGCCGGGGAACCAGGTATACCCTAGAAAGGAAGTCCCTGGTGCCCCGACATACCTCGGGTCATCTACAACAACAGGTAGACGACCCCCCCGTGTGGGAACCCCATGTTCCCTCTGCTCCCTGGAAGCGAGCGCGCTTCGCAATGCGCTCGCCGCCACCCTGGCCTGCTTCTGCTAGGGTGACAGATGGCCTCACCTGTCACCCTGAGGCCTGCGCTTATGGAGGACGGAGGTCGTTCTGCGACCTCAAGCACCTGACTCGCCTGCGGTACCTGGCCCGTTCCCGGGCCTGGCGGGCCGGGAGAGTTCTAAACCTCTCCCGGTCCCGCTCCGCCGTCTCCTTTGCGAGCATAACTTGCTCGCAGAAGGAGACGGCAGAGTTCCACGCACTCTAGCTCCGCACGATAGCCGCAATCAGGCTATCAAGCGAGAGAACTCCCACTTCGATGGCCGCCACGAGGTCTCGCCTCTGCTCAACCCACGCCGGGCACTCTGCCAGCGTGTGGAGAGTCGTGTCCACGGTCTGACTATCGCAGTCGTGGCACTCAGGCGTTGGCTCCTTGCGGAACCTTATAGCCCCTAGTAATATTACAGCCTACTACATCATAATACATAAATGACAGACAAAACAAAACAAAACAAAACAAAATCACATCATGACAATTATCACAAATCTAGAGACTAGAGGCTTATCCGAATTTACTTAATAATTAAAGGCGGTTGGGTGCCGTCCTGATTTCCAAAGGCAGAGCGTTCCAGAGGAGGCAGAGCGTTCCAGAGGAGTAGGAGTAGTATATGTTCTGATATAAATTAACATGAGGTGTTTCTCAATATCAAACGCCCTGAGATTTGACCGGATGGCGTAGTGGTTTGTGTAATGGACTGCTATTCCAAAGGTCGCGGGTTCAATTCCCACTCAAGTCAAACATTTGTGTGCATTAACATTTGATGTTTGATTTGGTCTGGGTGTTTCTATGTATAATATGTATGTATTTACAAAAAAAAAAAAAGTATATATGTATTTATATTAGTTGTCTAGTACCCATAGTACAAGCTCTGCTTAGTTTGGGACTAGATGGCGTTGTGTGTATGTGGTAGAATATTATTATTATCATTTTGTCGAATAAAAGATATGCCTTTGTTTTCGTATTATGAAATGCTGCAATTATAAAATAACCAAATATATTTAATGTGTGGTGGTGGTTTTATCGGACTCGAACCGACTAAAAACCGCACACTATCTCGGGTACCAGTAGCCAGGCATCTAGGTGTACCCTAGAAAGGCCATCCCTGATACGCCCTACTCCAACTTCGTAGTTTTTGTACCTCTATGCTTTTCTCCACAGCTTCGTTCCTTAGAAGTGGGTACGGAGTTTCCGAGTATCACAAATCTTCAGCTGCTGACGGGCGAGTTAGAAGATGATGGAGCGAGGCTCAGGTCTTTAGATCTGAAATTCGATTTGGCGTATGATGGCAGCTTCAGGATTGATGTGGATGCAGTCATGTTGCTGGGGAAAATAGCAAACATATCTATAACTGGTACATATTAAGTTATACGTATTTTGAAAATGTTTTTAGATATTAAAAGCTTTGTGTTAAGGTTGAAGGCAGTAAAACATTTAGTTTAGCTAAATTACTCCTACCATATATTAATTTCGTTATATATTTAGCCCCGGCCGCGTTAAAGTTATTTTGTTTATACAAAAACATCAGAACAGTATTTAGGTATATGTTAACTGTCATAATGACCAGTTCAGTAATTATAACGTGAAATTCTAACAAACGCATCTTCACGTTTAAAGTTTTAGAAAGTTAGGATATCCATTAATGTTATTTATAGGATTTGGATTATTAATCCAATTAAGAGAAACGCCAACCTAATAAAGGAGACAGCACTTAGAGAAAAGCAATCGTATTAATTACTTCCAATATGATACCGTTGCATGCGGGCAGCACAGGACCGGTTGTTGTTACTATGTCCAGCAGTGGACGTCTTTCGGCTAATGTCACGATGATGGTGCTACCGTCAAGCCGTTATCCCTCTCCAAGGTCTTAACACGAGTTGGAAGTCCTAATATAGCAAGAATCTGTAGTTCTTTAACTTTGCTTTAAAATATGTAAAGCTAAACGTAAAGTTTAGATCGCTTTATCGTTTTGCTTGTCTTGTTTCATTTCAGTGATCCGTATAATATATAATCGCAACTGTCATTGTATAGACTTTTGTACTATGAGATTGTGAATTGAAATATACACTGTATTCGTATATTTTTATGAAGACGTTTTTACACCATTTTTAACTTTACATTTATTATACATGTATACATTAAGTATTCCAAATGTGATATGTTTCCACGGGCTATATTTGCTTAAAAGTGGGTACACTTTACGTATTAATATTTAGATTACCTACATCTTAATATTAACGTGTTACTAAACTACCTTCATAATTTGTTCTTTTGGGTATCCAACAAAGCCATTTGCGCCACGATATACCGAACTTAACCTTATTGCCTTTGTTCAAAGTTTTAGCTATTTAATTTATCAAGCGTAAAAAGTACTGACGATGTCTATTAAATATTCAGATACATTTTACTTTGTACGTAAAGAATTTACAAGGTGTAGTGGTTTTCAAGGGCATTACAGGTATATGTTGCATTTTAATAAAAAAAATAAGAGTTAATCTTAGATTAATGCATGTTTTAGTTTGGTTGGCATTTTTTTCCAAAACCACACCTTTGTGGTTGACGCTTAAAACTGGTATAATTATAAATAACGTAAATTATTTCTGATATATTTTCAGTGGAAAGTATAAGTGGCAATGTACGAGTTATGTTTCGTCGGACACCTTATACTCACTGGGCAATCGCCTTTGAGTCACCACCGAAACTGGAGCTCCGCGTGCGTGGACGGTTCCAGGGGAGGCAGATCAAGCCTAGATTAGCTTCTTTAGTCGCAGCACACATTAGAAGAGCAGTCGCGCAAAGGCATACATTGCCAAATTATAAAATACGGTAAGCAATATACCCCATTTTGACGCCGATGCTGTGTAGTTACACAATTCTCTTCTTGACTACTATTAAATTTTTAATGGTTCATTCTAGCTCCTCTTAAGGTAACGACCAAATTTAAACTACAACCTAACTATTTTATTACGACTTCATCGCTATGTCCAATTAAAGCTAACATACTTAGAACAAAAAGTTGTAAAACTTTTTACACGGCTTCAGTCTCGAAAGGCCTCTTGTGTTATTGTTACGAACAAGTACTGTCAAGCTAATGGAACATTTTTAAGGCTCACTTTTCTCTTCCAATTAATTCGGTTATTTCGTTAAGAAGACAAACATCTGTACAACAAGGAAAATACAATCTTCACAATAATGAAAGATAAACCCGCTACCCGCAGTACAGTAGTAAGCTTAGCTCGCGTGATTTTTTCTTGTTTCATAATCTGTGTAATTCATGTTTCTAACTTTGAAAATGACTAAGTTTCATACAACCGTTCTTCTTTCCTTCCCTTAGGGGTGAAATTGCGAAAAATCCTAACTTAGTTTGTTCCTACATTATAAAAAACATCATCATCAGCAATTGTAAATGTATAGATTGTTACCTTGTAAAGTAACAGTCATCTGTCGTAATTACGCCGAAACATAGTACCTAAGTATCTCATCACAATTCTGCAACATTTTATATCTGCTGCTATTACAATGACTTAAATTAAAAAGCATATCATATCATAAAAAATGAACAGTATTATGTTGAAATGTATGAATATTGTTGAAGTCAAACACTAAGATAATTTAAAAGTAAATTTTACATTTACTTCTAAAACATGGTTTCGATCCCCCCACATGGGTCAACACTTTGTATGCGGCCCGAATTGTTGTTCTGAGTCTGGGTGTTCTTTGTGACGTTGATGTTAGTAAAGGTTCCGTGACAGGGTATAGGTATATTCCTAGTGTGGAAGTCGTCTTTATAAAAAAGAAATGATCTGATTAATCAAGGGATATCATACGTTTTGGGGTGACTGTTTTTGTGCAAATAATCATGTTATCTAAAGCGTTAATTGATGTTTGTGATAAATATCTGGTTATGAAATACTAAGCCCTTCTGATACAAAATCGCTCCTAGAAGCCTGTGAACGCCCCAGGAGGCTTCTGCGCTTCTGGAAGGAGCTTGGTTGGCTCACCTAGCTAACCAATCCTCGACGCATAAAGGACCACTCTTGAGTCTAAATGCGGAAACCGAAGCCCACAACCAATACCAATACTAAGCCCTTCTTAGTTTGCATTTGAACGCTTATAACGTTTATAAACTAAATAGACCGAATAGATTATGAACGTTTTATTTCAATAAAACCTAACCTGTCGTTAAATTTTTTATATCAACTGAATTAATACCGTCAAAATCACAACCTAAAACGATGATGTTCCAATTTTGTATTTATTTAGGTTATCGGAACATTTCTCGAACGATAAGTGGTTATCTGTAGCTACCTACCTGCTATTTACAAACGATGAATATATCTGATAAATTGGCTATAAATGTCCACTTTAAAAATCGAACATTTCATTCGCCAGTTACAAGCCCTTCTTCCCGAAGTCCGACCCTGGAAGCACCGAAGGTGAAGATGGGCCGACTCCCAATGGAAGACTCACGGTACGACTTTTGGAAGTCACCAGACTGCAGTGGTCAGGCGGGCCGGTAACTGTACGGGCCGCCTTAGCAGTTGATTCACATGGCTGGGTATGCAAGTTCTTATTTTTTACTGTTTTTTTTAATAACTATTCGTCCTAATTATATTACCTACCTACCTATTACCTACCTATAAATATTTAACGGAGACGTATAAGACGTGCAGAAACCTTCCTACGAACTCCATAACGTTTTGCGAAATAATTGGTTGATTGGACCCGTCAGTGTGATAATTATTTCATACTGACACACACTCCCAACAGTGGGATAGTTTTGATTTCGTTATTCTATCGCCTTCTAATACCTCAAACTTAACTAATATGTTATATATATTAATATATGCCACCGTTTACAGACCTGGTAACAATTCATATCGAATACATGAAAAAGTAATCCATTTAATCTATTTGTACGATATTATTAAAACTTGTATAAATGCTTCAGTGGAAATATATAACTTAAAACCATTCCATTACAGTCTAATGAAATTTTACAAATGATTGAAGTGAAATGTAAATTAATTTACATTTATAATTAATTCATTTCAATGATTAAAGTTAGCGTATACGGAAATAGAACAAAAGAAACAATTCAATTCCTATTCTATAAAAAAAATACGCAAGTGGCGTCATGAGTATATGTCGTAATGTGTGATTATGAATATTTTTTATTAGCCTTCTATAGAAAATGTACTCCATTGTCTTTCCCTTGTATTTTATTCAACTCTATCCCTAATATGTTTTTACTATGTACATGAAAGTCGACCGTCGCGTTTCTTCATACCTGTTTTGACAACTAGCCTTCACCTTACAGCTTTGGTCGTATTTATTTAGTTTTAATCAATATATTTCTCAATGGGTTTGATACTATTTGCACATTTCTACATCCGTGACAGCGTGGCATGGTAATCGGTTACGACTACCATGCCACGCTGTCACGGATGTCACGAAACATAACAAACTCACTTCGTATTTAATAATATTAGTCATGTTTAGTTAGGACCCCTGTAACAATAAATGCAACCATCTAAAACGTAGGTAGGGAGATAATTGAATATGGTTATTACCTTTCTTTCTTTATAATGTTAAATGTGCCTTATTCCTTAGTCTTATTAAAATATAGGTCATATAATTATTTGATTGTAAAGTGTGTAGGCCTTTACATTATGTTTCCGCCAGCAATCATTGCTGCCATGCTATCATGTGAGGCAGACTGGGGCGCAGTGGTATCTTTCTGTGAAGCTGTAATACTCCAGAAAGAGACCACTGAACAGGATCGGGAGAGGTCCGATCCCGAGCGTGGTGCTGCCAGAGAGTGGGGACCTCTGGTGGTAGACTAATTGCTGCGGTAGGCGATAGGATGATGACCTGGTCGCAAAATACAATTACAAGAGCACGCTAGTATTGTATTTTTTCTACTTTAACACAGGTGTCACTACGCCGTGGTGTCTTAGTACTGGATGTGGTGTTGCCAGCAGTCACGGGGCCGTTAGGACTCGTGTGTTGTCAGGGCGTCGGTGCAGTACTGGTAGACACTGTGGTGCCTATGTCACCTGCATATCGCGCAGACTTAAGAAGAGATGACGTTGTGCTCGCTATTGATAACAAACCTGTTAACAATGTTGCGCAGGTTAGTTTACATTCCACTTTATATGTTTTTTTACTTTGTAGCACCTCAAAGCAGGGTTTGATTAACTAGTATTAGAATTAGCAAAATTCTAAACAACCTCAAGAGGTGAAGAAATTCTAAAACTGACACTTGCATTGTCAGGTCGGGAAATTACTCCGCCTCGTTGAACGCCGCGCAGTCACGGTTCGTGTGCGTCGAGGTGGTGCTGGTGCGGCTGCTCGTAGAGATGACTCCAACGAGCCGAAGAGAATAAAGCCGAACTTCTCCTTCCGAAGAGTCTCCGAAGTAATGGAGGGAGTCCGACTACAAGGCATACGAGCAGCAGCATCCAAATCCAACTTACAGGTAAAGAAAAATATGTCTAATATTTAATGCCCAACTTTTACATTATGGGAGTTAAAATTTGTATACAATTTAAAAATCTGTTTACTGATAGTGTTATAATAAAATCACCAGGACCCAGAATTCAGTCCAGCTAAAACAGTTGAACCTCAAAATGAGAACGATGCACAAGCTAAACAAAAAATAGAACAAGCGCGACAAACAAAACCTACCGAACAGTTACCATCTGGTAACTTTGGACTACGAAAGCGTCGGTGCTCAGTCGAAAATAAGTCTTCCGACAGCTCAGCAGGGAGCACGCCACCAGCATCTGGAGCCAGCACGCCCCTCAGACAAGCGAACGCAGCAAACAAGACGGCAAAACACCCTGATATTCCAATTATAAAAACAGATTCCTCAGAATGCAGAATACTTGAAAAGGAACCTGTTGAAGAAGAAGAACAACTATTTGAAACTGGAGGTCCCAGACAAACGGAACATGTTGAGATTTGTCAAATGTTCTGGACTAAAAATACGTACTTAAAGCCTATCATACCGTTTGATGAAGAAACCGAATTTAAATTAAATGAGAATCACAAATATTTGAATTTAAATGTTTGGGCCACAGGAGCAGGAGAAAAGGAAGAAGTTCTCTTAGGATACTTGAATATACCATTAACTGCTTTACTGGCTGAATGCCAGGACTCCACAGTTCCACATCACATGAAGAGGTACCAATTTTTGCCGCCAGATGTCGATATCAAGTTTAGGTGAGAAAATGTAGTACTATTTTACACCGCTAGATGTCTCTACCCTAATAATTATCCAATCCCTCTGTAATGTAGTATCGAATTTAGATATCTTAATTCTATTTCTTACAGCTTTCTAATTCCACAGGCTATATTTCTTCCGGAATAAACTAAATAACACAAAAACTTTTCTTGCATGTCTTCCATATAAACTACAAGTAAGCATCCTCATAATAATAGTATAGTCTTTTCTAAATTGATATTTATTTAAACATTTATGTATGTTTTTTAATCTTTTTTATAAGTAGAAGTATTTGAAAGTGTTTGAAAATGTAGCAGTGCCAAATACAGTATCAGTAATAAGCATGCTCAGAATTGTTTGGCACAAAAAATCATGTAACTCATTAAATAAGTCCATAAGTTTAAAATGTGTTCATGTACCTACTAACTACAATGCTATTTAGGTAATTCTTTAACGTAGAATATTGTAATAATAATCCACTAGTGCAAACCTTACCTGAAAATCCCCTAAATAATCCCCTAAATGATGTAATAAAATTAAATATAATGAAACAATGTCTGACAAGAAAACTGACGTAAACAATGCTAACTGAAATTTTATATTTCACTCAATAACTATACTACAAAACAATTCTACGCTTAACGAGTTTTGTCAATTTTCAGCAAAAGTCATAAGCTATCATCTCATGCGGGTTTCGAGCCTTGTCTCTGCTTCGGCGATGCACTTGTGTGGTGGGAGTGGGAAGGACAAGGAACTGTCCGGACGGCTTCCAGAACATCCCGAGACCCCGTGCTACCGAAGCCACCGAAACCATCCAGAGCAACCCATGACTTCGTTCGAACTCACTTCCATAGGTCAACGCAGTGCGATTTCTGTAATAAAAAGGCAAGAATTTCAGCATTTATTTATTATACGTCTTATAACTTCCTAATTAATACTTAGTTCCGTCTACTTTTTTTTAATAAAATATTAAATAAAAATCATTACATTTAGCTTAATCTAGAATTTGTCTCCTTTTAAAATTACAGAACTGCAAAATCTGTAGTTATCGTATAAAGAATAGGATTTGTTGCAACAGGACTACCCTATACATGTGGAATCAAGAATTTTAATTGAAATGTGATAAAATTAGGGCCATTCAGGGTAATAAAAATAGGAGTACCTCAAGCAACCCATATTAATTAACAGATCTGGCTGAAAGACGCGATGCAGTGCCGGAGCTGCGGTCTGTCGTGCCACAAAAAATGCGTCACCAAATGCCAGGAGTCTTCGCCCTGCGTTCCCAAACACGACCGAGGTATACTCAACGACAATTTGTTTTTTTTTTCCTAAACAGTTAACACATTGTACTATAACATAGATTTTTGTGACAACGGAAGCAATACTTAAGAATACAATACATACTGGGGATCGCCTACAATCATCATCATCAACAGCTTTTAATAGGCCACTGCTGGACATAGGCCTCTCCTTAGAAAGGAGGTTTTGGCCTACTATACCATACTGGCCAGACGGGTTGGTATAGGGTTTGTGTCAAGTGTGCCTTCTTTTTGAGGTGTTGGTGTCCTGCGTTGTTTTGCGCCCTTAGTCGGCTCTTACGACACCCACGGGATGAATTGGTATCGTGACTTTCCGTATTCTTAATCCGTCACTACACTGACGTACTAATTGCATCATATTGCGTAGGGACCACAGGAAGGTACCCTATGACTCAAGCATACAACCCGCAGCAATAACCGTAGTAGGTTTTCGCCATATATTAAGGCTATGTTGCCAGCTTTAGGTTCCTCAGCTACTGGAAATTCATACACGCTATATAGGCGACGTGTGGTGACGGATTAAGAATACAGAGTGTCACCACCCCTATTCATCCCGTGGGTGTCGTAAGAGCAGACTAAGGGATAAAACTAAGCAGGACAACAGCACTGCAGAGAGAAGGAAAACTTGACACAAACCCTTTACCAACCCGTCTCGCCAGCTTAGTATAGTAGGCCAAAACCTCCTTTCTCAGAAGAGGCTTATGTCCAGCAGTGGACTATTAAAGGCTGTTGATGATATAGGCGAGTAATAAATATACTCGGTAATAAACTGAACACTTAACAGTGACTAGTTTATTGCCGTGTACATTTAAACTTGGGCATTTCCTTGAAGTAATTAGTGCGTGAAGCTATTTGGATACCTGTGTTCATTCGTATTAATGAATTAGGTAGGTAAATGAATTTGTCTACCGTATTTAATGAACTACAAAAGGAAGAAGGCTGGCAATAGGACATTTAAATAACTATGACTTTATACTAAGACTTTATCTAGGTTACTTTTATAAATTACTTACTTGATGTAAGTTTAAGCCGTCAGTGATTGAAGGAAACTGTGAGCATAAAAATCTTTCCTGGTAAATAATATTACACTAACTGATAAACGAATATTGACTTTTAACAATTGCATAGATTAAGTAGTAGGAAATTATAAAAAAAAACTTAGGTAAGTAAAATACTGTTTTTAAACAAAACTACTACTAAAAACTAAGACGTGCTATTATTAAAAATTGAAAGGACATTTTCATTACGTTTGAAAGTTTGTTTTGGTACGACTGTTATAAAAGGAAATTATATTTTTGATACGATTGTGAAGGTTGCGATAAATACGGACATGTCAAATCGAATCAGTTTTAAATTCTTTATTAAACGTCAAAACTAGACTTGCAACGAATAGTATATTCGGCAGTATACCGAATACCGAATATTCGGCGAGGCCCCTGACCGAATAGCCGAATATTAGGCAAAAGTATTCGGCTCGATTTTAGCGCCAAAAACTTGTACAGACGTGAATTAAATTATGTACCTGTTTTATGTACCAATGACTACTTAATAAATGATTATAAAAGAAATGAGAACCTTACCCTTCTAAATGTTGATTACCACAATAATTCAAATACATAGAATCCTCCATTTTTCCTATTCAGAAGATGATTATGTACCTGTGTTATGTACCAATGACTACTTAAATGATTATAACAGAAATGAAAATATGAATATATATGTAATCAATCGATTTTAATTTTTCATTTTACCAATTATTTCTCAATGACAAAATATATTATTTAAGTATTCGGTATTCGGCCGAATAATATGTAGATATTCGGTATTCGGCCGAATATAATAAAAGCAGCCGAATAGGCCGAATACCGAATAGTAACCGAATATTCGTTGCAAGTCTAGTCAAAACGTTTCTTTTATAAGTCTTATTTTAACTTAATTCCAGAGAGTACAGTAATATTATTAGAGACTGAATTCGTTCTTTCATTCATTTTAGGATATCTAATTTGAATCAAATGACCTCAGTCGTATATTTCAAAGTCATAATCTTAGATTATGAATATGTCATATTAATAATCTAGGATCATGATAAGTCTATCGAGCAGAGTTTTTAATGTCACAACTAATGTTCTAACATGTGTTTATTGAGTAAGGCAGTAGAAATGCAATCCGTCCGTGAAATAAGTTTATGTAACTATTAAAGAATATCAAGTCAATTAAATGATTAACAAATGGTGTTAACTTTTTAATAAAAGGTCTGTGTATTCATAAAAGATCCTGTCAATTTTACAATGTTCATGCAAACTTCTTAGATTTCTTATCTGCGTGTGTCCTACTGCGGCTTAACTTAGAGACTGTGTGTACTAGAAATCTAGTTTTTTTTATTATATAATATGAACTTATGTAAATTAATTCAATATTAACGTTGATTAGGTGTATAAAATATTTTGGAATAGCCTTTCCCTACCTAGTTAATGAACTAGGTAGGGAAAGGGTATTCCAAAATATTTTATTTTTTTTATTAAAGGAAATATTTTTTATTTTACATAATGATGTTAAATAAAAAATATTTCCTTTAATAAAAGGGGTATAAAGATTGTTTAGATTGAGTGACCTGTTGGAGAAATATTAAGCTTTTATTTATTACATTATATATAATATTTGTAAAGTCAAAAATATATGTCAAAAATATATATATAAAATAATGCATTATTTTAAAACAAATTTTATTAGCATGAAAAAGGTTATAGTGAGCCAACCTTAAAAGACAGACATATGCTGTCGCAGACTTTTTTTTTTGAACTTTTAAACGGGTACAATTCTGTCATACATGATTTTACTAAGCTTTACACAGCGCACACAACGGAAGCTCTCAAAATGAATAATTTTACCATGTTTTTGCATCATTCTTCATTGATACTCCGCTTTATGATATATAGCCTATAACCTTTCTCCATAAATGGGCTATCAAACACTGAAAGATTTTTTAAAACCAGACCAGAAGGTCCAGGGACCACAAAAAAAACAAACAAACCAACTCTTCAGCTTTATAATATTAGTATATATTTATCCGCTAATCTGTAACACTAACTTTGAAAGGAACATACTGAGGCTAATTTAGCTCTGTTTAAGAGTTTCAATTACTACAAGGAAATTTACAGAAAAAGTACAAAATTCCTAGAAAAATTATAATAAATTGATTCTCTAGCATTTGTTGCAATAGGCTCCGATAGCTGGGAAATCTCTCCCACATCTTGAAGTTTTGAAATCGTTAACCTATAAACTGACCGAATAATAATAATTTATTTTCCAAAAAGCCGATGACACATATAAACTACCACTGCCAAACCGTCGCCACTGTGTAGGTGCTTAAACTGATATGCAATAAAATATCAGACTGGAGCATATACTGTCGGGTATAACCAAGCTAATTCATTATGTAAACTCCAACTAAGTCTCAATGACCTAAACTACCTGACTACTGAGTCAATGCAGACCAATGTTGGCATAGCAGACATAGCAGTCATTATTAAGTGGCGACGATTTGTCTTGTCATGGGTAGGTACAGTTGTTGGTTAACCTAAGTGTTAGTCATACTAAGCGAATTTCCTCACATGCGTCAATTTCTTGTAACTCGTTTTTTTCACATTCGTAAAAGGTCGAGTGCGGTTATCCTTGTAAATATATAGAATGACCATTCAAATTTATATATAACGTTTAAAAAAAACTGTACTTTCCTTAAATTTTCCTCTTGGAAATAAAAAGAAAAAAATTGGGACAAACGAGTATATCCTCTCAATAATCTTGATTTTCCAAATTTGTTTACTAGTAACGGCGTTCTAAGGTAACAAGCATAAATAGAAAAAACAAAGGCGAATTAAGAACCTAATCCCTTTTTAGGATTCGGTTAACTAATCAGTATTTGGAACTTCGTGTTTCTATAAACTATAAAGGTAGTCCAGACTGACGAATAGAGTTGTAAGTTACTCGAAAAACTAAGAAGTAACTGAATTAATCATTTTAAATTATATAATAACATATATAAAGGAATATCTTATACTTTAACATATATTACTAATGATAGAAAGACTTTTAGAGATATCTGCGTAGAGGTGATGTAACTTGGCTCAAAGTGTTTGGCGTCAAAATGATCCAATTTAAAATATTTGGCACCTTTACGATAATTTGGTATTCTAGATTTATGATATTAAAACATAATGTAATAATGGCAGAGAAGCTATGTTCTTAGAAACATTGTTCGGTCTTATTAATCAATAGGAAAAGAATTCTTAAACAAAATGCGGATCTTACTTCGGCAACGATCCTCTTTAGAAGAATTAATAAACAAAATGTATTAATACTATTTTAAAGGTATTTCGAAGTATATGAAGGTCATCAACCGCATTAGCCGTTTACACATTTGATGGTGACGAAATTATTTTGGCGTGATTTCAAACAGCAACTGAAGAAACAAATATATATTCCTAAGTATATTTAATTCCTTTAGCAGAATAATTTCGATATAAACATCCCGAGAGCCAGATTTCGACTTCTTAAAACATTTTTTTTTATTGTTGAAAGGAGAGAGAAATTACTTTGTTTTGACACATTGAGGAAAAATATTTTCTTACTGATCCGAAATCCACTTTAAAAGTAGTTTATTTCAACATAAACAGTAGATTGTGGTGCGTTGTAAATTTGAGGCTAGGTATATATTTTTAGCAAACATTTATTGAGAGTTTGCATGTACTCTGTAAGAGTTTCAAAACAAACATAAATTGTAGTTGTTTATAAAGTTAAAGGTATCTCCTAACTATTAAAATCAAATATTATTATTAGAATCACATCAACAGCCTTTACTTGTCCACTGCTAGACATAGGCTTCTCTTTAGAATACCTAAACAAAATTCGTTTGGAAACGATATTTATCGACGATATTTAGGGGATCAACCACTTACTTTTAAATTGGTTCATGAAACTGGGAGTAGCAATTTAAATATTATAATTGCAACAAATGAAAAATGACTTCTAGCATACCTACTTAGTACATAGTTCAGAGTACAGCGATACGAACAGGACCACTTTCAAAGATCAAATGGTCATACCTAACTTAGTAGTCACTTACCATCAGAGGGCCAAGTGCGAAATTATTCAACATCATCTCTCTCGCCACGGTGACCGCGTTTGGTGCTACGATTGGCCCGCACTGAAATCTCCACCAATCGCAACGCTAAACGCTCTCGCCGTCGAGAGCGAGTTGATGTGAAATAAACTCACACTTGGACCTCAGGTGTCTGCTTGTTTGCCACCTATACCATAGAAATATCACCATCATCTTCCTGTCCCTTTTCCAATTTTGTTTAGGGTTGGCGCAATTCGTAACATTGCTAAGAAGGCTGGTTTCTTTTATGACTTACTTAAATAACGTAAGAGACGTTTTACATAATATGTTTTAAATTGTCTAATTAGTAATGTTTGTATTTGTTAAGTTTTTTAAGTGGATACTTGTATTTACATATTATAAAACCTTGTGACTGTGGAATATTTATTTGAAATTGCATTCAACAAATGTTTAACAATCTTTTTACGAGGATTTCTGAGATTTAGTTTACAGATAGGTAAAGATAATCTGTCAATATTAATTTTGTATATTATATCACATTCCCTTATTTATTTAGAGAAATACTCAATTTCGTCAGATAAATTTGACGCAATAAGTATCCTAAGGTTTTCAGGAGCAGCGGGTTTAATGACAATATCACTAAATTTAAATTACAACTTCAATCACAATAGATATAAATACAGACGAACTGTAATAAGTATACATAAATAAATGTTAAAGAACGCTAAGAGAATTGTTACAGTAGCATTTTAACTTTAAGAAAGGGAGTTTTATAACTGGCGCTGTTTGTAACCGGGACATAAGCAAATTGACCACAATATATCTTAACATGTACCAAGACTTCTTATTACGTGACTTATTACAGTCCAACTGGCGAATGCACGAAGGCATATTCATACTAATGTGCAATAAATACAGTAAGATACCTATTACAAACGGACATTTTCAACACGGCAATCGTACCTCACAACGTTTAAGGTTACGTGTTCGTTACGCGGAAGAAAAATGTGCCACATTCTAACTTTAATGAGTAACGGAGCGAATGTTTAATATGCTTTGACGGTGTTAATACTTGATATAAAAAGTTAAAGTTATGGCATTTGTAAGTTACAACTTACAAATGCCATAACTTTAATGTAAGTATATTTAAAGTATACTTACAGTGAAGTTCTAGTAAAATACGGCTAGGATAACTGACGAGGGTCCCTTGGTTAACTAAGTTTTCTTTGCCCGATCGACCCATATAAGATATCTTTCATTTCTGAACAGCCCTACCCTCATTATACTCCCTATTTCATCATCAACCCCTTAACCATTAATTCGACGGGATCTTTTTACCATTAAATGAATAATATTGATGCAGATTTTGTTTCTGGGCTTGTATGGGGCCCTAAAAAAAATGTGTTTCAGTGTCTTGAAAAAACTACGTATTTAAGAAACTGACATATTCCGATCATGTGTAGTATGCTTCCCATTGCCAAAGATATAGAGTAAAATGAAACACGGATTTAACATGGAATTACAACGTAGAATTAAGGGTTAAAGTGCCCGGCTAATGGCAATACGCATGCTTGCTTGTTACGTAAGTGGGAATAAAGTTATAGCGGGTAAAACGGGCGTTTAATACGACTCTGTCGAGTATGTAAGTGTGTCCTTCGCCATGAGGTGGATTGTTGTTTTATCTTTTCTTAAAGTAAAAATATATACCTCAGCCTATGCTTGTCCACTGCTGGACATAGGCCTCTCCCAATGATTTCCAGCGGGGACGGTTGATTGCGGCCTGCATCCAACGGTTTCCGGCAACCTTTACCAGGTCGTCCGTCCATCGGGTAAGCGGTCGTCCCACACTGCGCTTTCCTGTACTTAACATTTACTTTTTTATAACGCCAAAAAATATGTGTGTGTCTTACCCTTTTTAACTATGATTAACCTTTTTTACTTTGATTGTGCAGAACCATCGAGCTCACTCAACTGTTCACCTCCGGAGTTGATCATGACAGAAGCCGAATCTAACGTCGACCAAGATTCCGATGATGAACATGACCGGAAAGATTCTCTCGATGTTCACGAAGAGGGTAAGTAAAAAACTACTCAGACATACTTTAAAAGTCTTGGATATATTCAGATGTAGAGGTACTTATTGAATATTTAGGTACTGTGGGTCAGTCATCAGACATCGTAACTTTATTCACAAGCTGTTTGATATAAAAATAAGTAGTTAAAAACTAAATTAACAAATGACAACATACTGCACTAATCATTCATTCGGATTTGAACAATTTTAACATAATGATAGTAACTAGTACCACTAATAATTTTCAATGATAAAAATAGGTTTATTTCTATTTATGCGCAGAAGAATTATACGAAAGCTGACGAATGGAGAAGTTTTCGCTATATTAGTTCCTCCGGATTCACCTGACACGTATCCACATAGACACAGGTTATTTTCTACTTGTTTTATGTGTAGTCTGTTTGTGCAGCTACCATAATTGTTCGTTTTTGCATAGTGTTGTCAATGCTAATAAAAATATTTATGTATTCCGAAAACCCTGTAACCACATCTAACGAGAACTAACTATTACATAAATATCACACATATTTACATATCATAAGTCTCCTAAAACTGTCATAAAGGACAGGTACGGACAGGTACGAGGCAAAACGCATTTTTAGTTTCTCTGCCCTCCATTAAAACTTTCTCTATATTATTGTCAATTAAAACAACAATAAAGAATTAACAGAGACATAATTTTGTAACCATTATTGCACTCGAATGTGCAAAAGTATCTAATTAAGTAAAAGTAAGAATTGCATTAGTCTTCGTGCGTTCTATAAATATTACGCCAGCTTTTTAGGAGACTAGCAATATAAATTAACTCACAAGTTTTAATTTCCATACGATTATAATAATACCACACAAAATGATTTACAAATTACGTCTCTGTAGTTCCGAAATATTGTCATGAGGAAAAATCCTCCAACATTAAAAAAATACATACCTACAGTAAAAAAAAATCTCAATGACCAACATATTACTATTAATACACTAACTAATGTACATATTAAATCTAATTATGATTTGTAGCATTAATTAGTAATAACACATACAAGTAGTACTTTACATTTATTATTATAATTGGTACGTCTCATTTAACATTTCTACAAAGTTATATTTGTTTTCAGTATTCCCCCATGTTTGTCTCTGCCACGCCCAAAACTTACTGAATATAAAATATGTTCAATTAACAGTAAACATACGGTTGGTTATTCCAACTCGTTACGTAACCAAACAGTGTAATATTTCGTACAGCTGTTATTAATGAGATAAAAGTTCCCAAAACGCATCTATCAATGTGAAACACAACTAAGAAAGAAGTAAATCATATGACATGGTGCAATACGCAGAATACGCTACCAAAATGTTAACCAAGAAATAACGTAATCGTCACATTGACACTGATTCACATATCCTTCTCATTACATTACCTACTTCTCTTTACACAGTTCCTTGTGAATGTAGCAATTTTTCCACTTGTCCTTTAACGCTCTGGTTAAGATTGTTACCAAGGATTTCATATTAGTTATCTAGTGTAGGCAACAAAAAATTTTATTTCCAAAACCAAGTGAAATAACTCATTAAATTTTATTATAACATCTGCATTCATTATTACAGCGTTTTTAGCAACATAATTAATGTCGGGCTAGTTGAATTACAAATGTTATGAATAAAATATTTAAACGTGAACGTGTTCAATAAAACCTAACCTAACCTAACTTTGTTATTCATCAACACATTATATCAGATATTTGAACTTTCCATGTCTAAGTCCTAAATGTATGTGAATAATGCAACCATGTTACCAGGCACTTCCTATGTTATTAATTCAACATATCATCTTTGCCTTAAGGAATACTCATGAATTTCCTTCTAAAGCATGTTATCATTAGGCTACTTATTGTTCAGGGGGTGGTGCAATGAGCGCGCTGGTAGCTGGTCTTCGGCGCGCCGGCTCCGCTCATTCCCTGTCAGCGCCTAAAACCAACGCCTCATCAAGATCCCTACCACCCTCACCTAGTCATACACCCAGGTTTGTTCCTCATACAGCATGTTTGTTGTAGTGGGTGTGAGGGAGGAGCGTAGTATAGTCAAAATAGATGATGAATAGGAAATTATTATTACAAGCTTGGTGATCTAGTAATAGAATAAATATCGACAAAAGCCATAAACCACAGATTGCAAAATCTTGCAATCAAAATTACACGAACATTTATTCGGGAATTACTGCGATCTTAAGCCATTTCATCCCTTTGATTTTGGTAACAGGCTGATTTAATCAAGCTTGGTCTCGGTGGTCATGGCCAGGTTGTACAGGTTAACCTAGTCAAAACCGATCACATTAATTGATGAATAATTTTGAAAAATCTTGTAAAACAGACTATCGCAAAAATCTATTACGCTAAACATTACAACGATCCTCTTGGTTGCAAATATTTTAAAATAAGAACGCTGACTTTCTAATATCATAATAATGACAATATTTACTTATAAATGTCATTTGTCCACATTCAACCATGAACACTTGAAGCTGAACTTCGCTCAAGGTACATATTCAAAGAGAATTTCCATCGATGTTTACCTATTAGGCCCACTACACCCAAACAAATTCATATCAGTATTCATATAGATTTAATATATAACGTTAAATGAAGCCGAAAGCCTACGACGATGACACACCTGCACTCCATTCGACTTTATTTAAGAAAAAGTAAGTTTAACGCATGTAAAGATTATTTTAGAACCGCTGTAGGCTGGCCGCTTCATATAAAAATCTAAATCTAAAAAAGTATATATCTTCCTCATGTTTACCTAAATGTGTCACTCAAATCATGTTTATGACTTAAAATCTCGAAATCTGAAACTTCAGCCTTCGATGAAAGAAGACTTCCGGTCGGAAGTCTTGTTTCATCGAAGGCTTTTAAAAGTTACACGGCGTGCTTTTAAAAGTTACACGGGATTTTTTTAAATACGGAATACAGAATTAAATTTTAATTTTTTAATTTTTCAAGATTGTTTAAATTGAGATTTTGAATCAAGAACGTAACTACTTTGTATACCTCGCCTATTGATGTGTTAGATGAAAGTAAATACTAATTTAAACTTTTAATTTCCCTTTTCCTATTTCGCCCCTAATTTTAACTTGTCGTTTTTGTCTGTCTTTTATTAGTGTTTGGAAAAGCTAAATTATTCGCTATATCATATTGGTAAAACCTGGTTGTTATTCTTTTCATAATACATAAATGAATAGGTAAGCTAACATAAAGTGTACGCAGGTATTCTTACCAAATGTAATATTAAAGGTCCTGTTAAAATTGATGATTATGTTGCGTTTCCCTACATGGTTTTATGTACAGTACAATTAAATAGAAAAATTGTTCGTTCAGAAACGTGTTATTAATATTTATAGCTTTGCAGTAAAAGATTAATATTCTTATTATAAAAGGCTTGCTAAAGGCCAGATGTACGATTATGGGAATCCTGTTACATGCCACGTATTCTAAGTTATGTTCGATATACGTTCCAATGTGAAGGTTATAAGAAACCATTCTAACTAAATATCCTTATAATTGTGTTTTTGTCGGGGTTTCTGTTTTATCCAAAAATCAAAACAAACGCCTATTAGTTGAATAGCCAGAACATAGCACAGGTAAGTGTGTGATGATAGCGATCATTGGTTCTATACCTTGTATTTATCTTTAATATATGGGTACACATATGTGTCAGCAGTCTGGTTACCATAATACAGACTCTGCCGAGTTTAATATCAACACCATAACGTTTTACTAAATACATTTACTTAATGTTATCACTTAAATGGTAAAAATGTATTCATTTGTTATGGAAACTGAATGTATTTTAGAAATAAAGATAATAATTTTATGTAAGTAGATTACGCATGAAAACTGTTAAGTGTATCTTCTTTGTTTTATATTGTCATCTTTGTCAATAGTTCCTGAATGTACTAAAGGGCATTTTATGAACTCTTTGTGGTAAATCATTAAAAACGACATAATGCATTAGCATCTGTCACTTCATATAAACTACTAGTAGGCTCTAAGTAAGCTCACTCAAACTACCAAGTCTCTAATTTGAAAATATTAACTCTTACTCCTAACAATTGAAATATTTGATGCTACTGGATCAGACGCTCCTTCTATCACCTACATAACTTCCAACACATACCAATCTCTAAATCTGTCTTAATCTTTCAAGTCTTATTCTCATACGCGCTCACATTTGACATTTCCAATAGTTCTTTCTCACATAATGTGGTAAAGAAAGAAAGAGACGGTACACTTTGTTGACGAGCAGCTGTGACGTAAAGGAAGCAGTCGCTGGAGGAGTGCAACCCGTTCGGCGTTTGCGGCGTGACGTGGCTGGCGAAGGGCGACGTGAGCGCTATGCTGGCACCAGCGCTGCACAGCGCGCTACCTCCGGACGCGCTACTCGCGGCCGCACGGGACTCCGCGCCTGAACTTGCAGCTAAGCTGACAGCCCAGCAAATACATGAAATGGTGAGAATCAAATACTCATATCACATTCCCTTATTGGTGTCTCTAAAATTCTTTGACACCTTCCCCTGCTTGTTCAGATAGGTTATCTAGTTTTATTTACGCTTATAACTACTTTCTTAGACTTTCGCTGGACAAGTGAAATGCCTCAAACCATACATTTGTTTGTAACCATAGCAAGCAAGCAATTAAGCAATAACTAGTACCTATATAGTCCAGTTTTTGTTGTTACATTAGGGTTATCAAGACACAACTAACGTAATGCCGTAAGGTGTGTGTATAAACTAGGAAGTTTAATTATAACGCTTCGAAGGTGTGATAGATAAAAATCTATAACAATTACCTGCTTAAAGTAGATCTCTCTGACGACGGCTGGTATCGTCGCCGACGTCCTCTACGCTCGGGATCGGCCCTCTCCCGATCCTGTTCAGCGGTCTCCTTTTGGAGCATTACAGCTTTACAGAAAGAGACCACTGCGCCCCAGCTCTCCTCAGCCGCCAGCATGGCAGCAATAATTGCTATCGGAGATCTCTTTGACCTAGGTGCGACCTTTATGTAGGTATTTTATAAGCCTCTAATGAACCCGAGTATTCTTGTAAAGAATATGCACGTTTTAGCTCCCTCAAACTTATATTGTGACTGAAGTTACCAATTACTTTATTAGCTTCAAGCCGTTCGCGAGGAGTTATCAGCGGAAGATGCGAGTAACGACGCGGGCGGAGGGGAAGGACGTGCTTACGCACTCACGGCGCTTATGCTGCACTGCTGTGCGGCTGCGCAGCTCGCTCAGCAACGCGCAGATCCAGCACCCTCTTGATCAGATTAAACTAATTGTTCATTGTCAACTGACTTTTATTTTAGACACAAAATCGACACGGTATGCGTTTTTATTACCTACATTTTTATTGGATTCAATAAATACTTATGTTAGTGTCATAGTACAGAGATCGCACAAAGATATATGTGCAGAGAAGTGTTGTCACAACAACAAATGTGCATTTATTAAACAAACCCTGGTCCTAGCAGTCTCATGAGTTAGAGTGGATTTATTTACAACAGACGCGTAGACGATCGGATTCTAATATAATTTATCTGATTGATCCTGTTAATTTTTAGCTTTAGTTTGTTAATAAGGAAGAGAAGAAGAATAATGTTTATGTTTTATGACTGATCAATACAATACTACGGATTGCCAAATAAGCAGGCTGTACGTATATTGCCTATACATTTGTTTCTAATTACACGTACACGATGTTTTGAATTTTGAATTATCCATATGAAATTTATACCATAAATATGAGAGAGATTTCTAAAGAAATTGAACATACGTATTAAAAAAATAGAATATAGCTCACTTAGGACCCATAATATTTTGTGGCCGTGGTGCTCCCGTGCTTAAATAAGTGTTTGCCTATTTAACTTCATTTTGCCTCCCGCTTTGCTAAGGAGGGAAGTGGATTTATTATATTGCCAACTCCTAGAATTTTCTTCTGATTAATTTCGTTAAGGGTTCCAAGACATTTTATTTTTTTCCTGGGACTCCCCGAGTGTCATAACTCTGTATGTTCGTGGGTCATTGCTGTTGATCCTGATGTACAGGAGTTACAGTGGTGGGCGATTGTGAGAGATTAGTCCCATAATGTCGCAGATGCTCCCTATATGTTGTGTAGACAGCTTTTACGTTCACGTAGTAGGTAGGTACTTAACATAACACAACAAAAAAACAGGTTGGTATTTACGATTACGACCTTTAAATAAATTCTACGAATTAAGTATATGATAAAAACAAACATCTCTAACTAAATCAGCTGAAGAGTACCTCGGACCTTGATTGTGTTCTGTTGAACATTAGGACTTATTATTGTAAACATTTCGTACTACGCATTACCACTTACTACTTATAAACTTTTTCTAAGAATTGTGAACTGTTAAAGCTACGCTGAATCAACACTCTGAATATGATGAAATTAGTGTTTATGAAGTCCTGTTTTTTAGTAAACTGTGTATAAATAAGTATATGTATAGTATACATATTATATTAGTTTGTCATGGTGCAAAATTTCACACAATAACAATTTAAAATTTAAATAATAGAAAATCGGCGGCCAAACGATAAGTAGTAATAGTACCTACTCGTAAATATACTCTGGTGCAATCTAGTGTCACACTGTTATTTAGTTAACATGACATAGACCACACTTGCCACTCGGAAATTAAAAGGCATTCATCCATATAAAAAAAAGGATTAGAAAGTTCTTCGCATAGTGGTTTTAAAATATAGATATAATATAGATTCAACAGTAAACATGAATAATAAAATATGTTTTGTACATGCAATTTACTTTTAGTAGGTATAACTACTTACAGAAACAAACCGTCAAAATATAACATCCTAAATTTGTCTATCAACAAAGAAAACATGAAAACAGATATGATTTGAGAAATAACATCAATCTTATAATCCCTTGATCATTACAATCTGTATCTTGATGCAATAAAGACAATATTGGCCTGTCAGGACAAAGGGAGCAAAGAACCATGTGCTTGCTTTGTAAATACATCGAACGCTCTCCGAACAGGGAACTGGCTCATGTCCAAAACTTCCTGAAATAGCACAAAGGATCGACCTCAAGTTTCGACGAAAAAACTTCTGCGAAATGTCAGCGGTCGGTGCGCTGCGGAAAATTTTGTGCGTCATCGGCGCGTGCGCCGGTGATCTAGATAAACCAATGATTACCGACTTAGCCGATGTAATGGTTGTGTTGAAATCTAATTTACATTTACGGAAGAATTGCACAAATTGCGTATCATTGAGCCGATGTTGGTGATGTGATGATGGTCATTTCCATTATGTCAATGACCGCAGGCATGCATTAAGTAAACTGTTAGAAAATATGTTGCTCATAATTCTCTCCAATGGTATTCTTAACATTTAGGATACTGTTTTTTTTTAGAGATTAATACAGATTGATGGCGACGTAATAAGCCATTTAAAACACCAAATTTTAATATACATCCCTGGAATGTATATACATTTTCATTAGATTTATTTTAAATTTTGTATATTTATGATTGGGCTGAATTTAATAATATTTTTGATGCAAAATTCTTTATCTTTACCACTATTTGCAAAATGAAGTTTAAAATATATTTTAACATTTATATTCTTTACCTATTTAGATACCGTTTGTATACATAATGCTTACTTTTATATTAATACGTGGATAGAATTCTTCGTTCTTTAAGCAAATTTGGCCGTCGTATGAGACAGGAATGTGCAGAACACCTAAACCTAATAATCACAACATACAACAAAGACAAGAACATAATAATACTCGTATAACTAGAAGACAAGTAGTGGTCAAAATTCAAAGACCAGTTGTCCTCTAAATAACAAAATATCCAATATACGGAGAATCAATATTATTATATATGTATTACATATTAGTGAGTACTAGCTTTCACACTTGCAATTTGGATGCAATTTTTCAATTCAATTTCAATTCATTTTCAATTGATTTAGCGGTAATCCTGAACTGAAAGCGTGTAACCAATTAACAAACATCTTTACTATTTATCATTTAGAAAAAGCTCTTTTTCGTCATAACCCGATTTTTGTGGCAACGCTTCTATAAATTTAGATTTGTAACTCAGGACTTAATTTTAATAATTTGTTTAGTAGTATTTCATTTTGTTATAATACACATTTTTGTTTCCGTCATTTCGCGTTACATTGCTGTCCGTTTCGGCAACAATTTTATTATATTCTCATTATTTTATTATTCGGTACTTTAACGCATTAACACTTAAGATACAACATTCACACTACTCCGTTAAATGCTGTCAGGAGTGTATTCGCTGACGAACGCATAGTACATTCAAGATGTTGAAAAGCAGTGCCCATCTTCACAGTTTAAATTTTATAAGTACCTTGAAACCATATTTGTGGATACAGTTTTATACGTTATCATGGGAACAATAATTATTTGATATTAAGCGACGACCTAAAGTCGAAATGCAGATGGCAAAATGAAATATTTCCAATAGATTCTAGCTTATAACAAATAGGTACTAGGCATTAATCCACATACAAGTTGTTTTAAGCACCTACTTCACTTCGAACCGCTATTGACATCATAAACACGTGTGTATGCATTAGCCGTGTAGCTTCTTAGTCAAAAGTCTTTTTTCGTATATTACGAGTAAATCAGCATAGTCCCAATTTTCAAAAGCTTTTGTTCTGCATGAATCAGGGATATTTAACACTTTCTCTCATTGTCCTACACATACGCATATTGTTCTAAGAAGTACTACAAAGGTTAACAGACAAGAATTTAGCCGTCTTTGTTGGAATTAGGTAACGATGTCACATTAAGCCACATTATATGTCTAAAACTCGGCCGTGACAAAAAATGTAAATCTGTATAAAAATACGAGCATCTTTTTTGAATTTAGAGAAATGATGACAACTTGAAATGGTGAAAATACTAAAAAGATAGTAATAATTTGGAATTAGTGTAAGTGCAGTGCAAAATAAAAACGGCACTGACCTGAAAATTATAAATAAACATTCTGGCAACAAAGAAATGATGTTGCGTGTTATTCATCGAAATAGTGCAATTTGTTACATTAAAACTTGGATTTACAGTAGGCAGAACGTTGATTTATGATTGCGGAAAAATCACTTTCCCTTTGTAATTAATAAAACCATATTTTATAAATATCTATATAATAAAACGATTCAAATTTTTTAAACCACGTGCGAACGAATCGTTAGATCCTACCTTTAAAACGCGTATAATTACAATTCACGTGTTTATAATACGCAATATTTCAAAGTTCCTCATTTATTTTTCCTAAAATATAGTTTAGTACGAATATTAGACAAGGCACGGTAGTCGGGAATATAGTTTCTGGCACACGTTCAAGGTTACCTCTGGCGATAATCTACGACTCTCTTTCTCCGAAACATCAAGGTAGTGCGTTGAACGAACGACATACGGACGTCAAATTTTTAATGAACGCTGTTGCACGCATATGCCCCGTGACATTATATATGTACTACTATTTACTTATCTGTTTCAAAAACTTTCTTAGATGATTTCCGTTCGATTTCATTCTGATTTCAGAATCCTTCGTTAAATATCAAACACAGATACTACACGATTGGTGACAAACCTTCAGATAAGCCAAGTAATACCCCACTAATACCAGTAGGTACCTTGTTGTTTGACAACTTAGTTAAAGCAAAATAAATCATTAAAAATATCTAATAGCACTCTAAGCCTTGTGTTACAAAACCAAATCAATTATTTCGAACGTAGCGTTATGAAGACTTAATTTTGTACTTAATAATAATTTCCTCAGACGCAAAGAACCACAATCTAATGTAAATAACAAACCAATTTTGACCAACCAAGAAATTGAATGAACAGTTTAGCACATTAAAGCTTACTTATTTTAAAAAAAATTAGTGATAGGAAATGAAAGTTAAACAAAAATAGTTTATACATATTTCATCACAATCAAGTTTGCTCATCGAATGCGTCCGCAATAAATTTCAACATATTATACTAGTGATGGCACCTTGTGAATTAGGCTGGAAAATGATGTTCAATTGCGGCGCCACTCGACGGAGGCCCGGCCTTTCACATTGAGTTGATCCACAAAGCATGCATTCAAACGCTGATTATTCCTACAAAACAATGTGTTCAGATAACGGTAACTGTGATTACAATTAAGTATATCTGTCATTGGTGACGATACAATACAACCCATAATAAATGTAGCATTGTTTATCCATGCGGAAAACAGTGAATCCTTTGTGACATGACCCGTGAGCAAGCGTATTCCCATACTTATATTTTTCTCTGCGTGTTTCCGCTTTCCGCTAACTTGCGTCAACTGCGCAGCAGACATTGCGAGCGAGACAACTGTTTGTTGTTATTGCTCTCTCTCTCCCGCACCATGCTTCTTTGTTTTGGCAACGATATAAAGGCAAGCTGCGAACGCGGCGCTCGAATTTACCAGAGTGCTACCGCTGACCTAGACGCATCGCGTTTTGCTGCGGTGGTAGATGATACGCGATTCTTTCAGCTCGTGAGAGACTAATCGACGAGACTTATAGTGACATTGACTAAGGGATTGTGCAGTGACTGTTGATATTCAAGTGCAGTGATGAGGCCTCCTACGGACTACGACGGCGGTGCCAGGATGCCTACTGAGGCGGAGGAGCACGACGCTCGTGCACCAGCGATGATGATTTGTGCGAGACTAGCCGGACGTGCTATCATCCGAGTGGTAGGCCGGTGTGAAGATGCTCAGGAAAATAGTCAGCTAGGTACGTTGCCACAGCCAGAAACACAACTACTAGGGTGCCTATTTACTGAGCTAATAATTAGCGACACAATAATATCAAAACATTTAAGAGTTTTCATCCCATTTTTTGTAGTCAGTGTTAAAAAAATCTTTTTTTTTAAATATCCATAGAGTATACGATCATCTTTCCCAGTGCCTAAACTCAGTCACAAAGCACAACACAACTAGGTATTCATGATTATAACGACTTCAGAGGATGTGTGAAAACTCATAAACATTATAACTATTTACACACACTTTTAAGCCTTTATTAAGATCATTAGTGAATTTGTATTAGGGCAGTACTAAAGCTTTTTAAATTGGCACAGTGCGTAATAATCATGAACAAAGAAAATGTATTGAACTAGTTAGAAAGCCTGTGACCACGGCCGGTGCAACCTGGTCGAAACGTCAGGCAAACCAGAGGTATGTAATACCCTAAATAAGAGATCGCGTTAATTCCCGTTAAATAATATTAATTATCATGGAACGCGAAAGTTTAAAAGTTAGTATAGTTAGAAAGCCTTAATACACTAGCGTCTAATAATGTTATTGCTATTGATAATATGTACATATATGAGTAATAGCTCTCTTATCAATTTAGACAATAGTACGGTAACAGTAAAAGACCCATCGTGTACTTCAACATAAAGTACCTACATTGTATCTGTAAATGAAAATAAGGATCTAAGTGACACTACACACGAACAACAAAATTAAATACTGTAATTTAGTGGTAATTTTATATAAATGGCCAGTATTTAACTCAAAAATGAAACAGTCATCGATGTTATACTACCGGTAACATCTGTATATGATTTAATTCAACCAATAACACATAATATAAACATAATTAACTGACGTACTTCTCTAACAAATCACTAAAATCATAGTCATCACTTTTTAATTAATTTTTACCATTCTTTCGTCTCCTAACCCTGACAAACCTAATAGTTATCAGGTCTAAGATACTCGTATTACGAAATATTTGTAGCCATAGTTTCTTCTGTCATTTAACTGAAAGGCATAAAATGTGGAACGACACCCGTTGTATTTTATAGTTATTATATATCTTTATATCTTCACAACAATAATAAACAATGCTTCTTGTTTTTAATTTAATCGTTATCGTTGCTTTAAACATCTTTGCGTTTATGAATAATATAATTAATGTGTTGAAACTCCTACGATAAATAGATGTGGCTTCATGAATATTTGAATTTAGAATTAATTAATACCAAATTTTATTCTTTTGCAATTTGACTTTGGCTTCTAATGGCCTTTAATTAAATAAGGCCACGTAAAGTTTCCAAGCAAAAAATGCTAATGTTTAATGAAAATAATAATATTTTGTATTTGGAATCAGTTAATTGTACGTAGTATATTGTATTAATTGTTTATTTACGTTAATCTCCAGTTCAAAAAAAATCCAGTCGAATTCGAAAATTCCCTTTGTCATGGATACAACAGTATTGAGGGAGGTTTTACTACGATTTAGCATTCTATTATGATGCATTATGCTACTCCTCTTAGGAGGCGCAGTGACAATAAAGTCAAATGAAAGTACTTTAATTTTTGCCAAAAATAATATAGTATAGAATAGTCTTTATTGTAGGTACCCCAACAATATTTTGATTGCATACAAGAATACATCAAATTAATAAACATGTGCAAATGGCGGTTTTATCACTATAAAGCAATTTCTTAAAGGCTACTTTAAGAACCATCATTTAAGAAATAAGTTTGTTCAAATTTCAAAAATGTATTATGAATTATGGAATAAAGTCTTACCTCCTAAGAATAATAAAAACGTCACGCTTTCGATTTATTAATTTGAATTATGTCAATTAATCTGTAATTTTGGAAATTTCAAGGTCTTCTAGTCAGTTACGTACCTACGTAACTGACTAGAAGACCTTGAAATTTCCAAAATTATTTCCAAAATTACTTAGCCTACCTACCTTACCTAAGGTAGGTAGGCTAGGTAATTAATAAAAGGTAATCGATAAATATTAAAGAATTTAATATGTGTTGGTAGGTATATATCCAATGCCCCGGTCTTTAATATGGTTATCTCGATATATTGTCAAAGATATGAAAGAGGTAACAAAATGTGTCTGACCACCATATGCCTCGTTTGCTTCAGATGTTTTGTAGTGCGACACTCCATCTAGACATATAAATAATCTGAAATACAATCAACGGGTAACATTACGTTGAACTAGATTTTAAAATACATATACCGTCTTTGTCTTAGTTGTTATTAATGTACCATCTTGTCATCAAGTGGGATACCTTTTGGGCCGTCGATACCCGATGGGGCAACTGATACTGGAAAGTGTATTGCTCCGGCCTTCACGTAGTCCAGGGAACAGCCCCCTGCCTCCACCACGGCCAGCCTAAGCTTACATATTGTCAAAAACTTACTCGTAATGGTGTGAAAAGAGTCATTTAGTCCTGTGTTTATCACTCGAAATTGTGGCACTAATGTGTTTTCCCATGTAGAGTAGCCAAGTTAAATCCATTGAAACCTCGTCTAATACACACTTTACTATTTAATATTCAAAGTTAACAACGCAATCATATGCAAAGATTTTGTTTCAACAGACATCAAATATTATATCAAAAGAAGTTATTTCTCGTTTGAGTTCAATGTGCGAGGTCAAGAGATCTTATATATTTATGAGTATTACTCAAATTAAAAAGTGAGACTTATGACAGACTAGCTGACCCGCGCAACTTCGTCTGCGTCTCTCAATAGTAATAAATTTTCTCCGTTTTTGAAACATTCTTCATTGGTGCTCCGCTCCTATTGGTCTTAGCGTGATGATATATAGCCTATAGCCTTCCTCGATAAATGGGCTATCTAACACTGAAAGAATTTTTCAAATCGGACCAGTAGTTCCTGAGATTAGCGCGTTCAAACAAACAAACAAACAAACTCTTCAGCTTTATAATATTAGTATAGATGTAATAAATAATAAAATACATTACAATAAGTCATAATAGTGACATCTATTGATCGGTGTACGAAAATAAATGCAAAGTTATTTGCTTCGAATTTCTTTATTGAACGTAAGTATGTATAATTTGAATCACCTAAGACGCGGTCGCGGGATTAGTTTTACTTTCGGGAAATTATGAGCTGGCTTAATCCTGGCACCTGTAAAACCCGTTATGGATTATTTGCTCGAGAAGAAACACGAGACCCTCTAATACCGGCTGACGCCCGAGAACACCCGTGTCTGCCCCGCAAAAACATAATGCCTGCGTGCCGCCACTGGGATGGCCAGAGGGTGGGCCTCGTGACTGATTGCGGCCATGGTATGGAGTGAGGGTGCGTAGAACTCCGCTAATCCCTTTGCGAGCAAATTATGCTCTCGAAGGAGAGGGCGAAGTGGGCCAGGCCGGGAAAGGGACCAGGTACCACAGACGGCTCAAGCGCCGGAGGTCGCTGAATAATATCCATCCTCCATAAGCGCAGTCATGGCATTTCTTACAGGCCATGACAACTTTAAGAGCAAACTGTATTCATTTAAATTAATCGAGTCATCATTGTGTCAATGCTCAACACCCTGAACAATCAACGTAATATAATGCTGAATAGCTTACAGGTGACATCTGGGGCGGATGTGGCGGTATACTATGGGGATCTTGTGTCAATTAGGGTGAATTGCCGTGCGTTTAGGCGTCGTTACATCACGCAGAAATTGCATCGTCGTCACGGTACGGTAACTTATTAACTATAACTTATTACCTATTTAGTGGTGACAGATTAAGAAAACAGAGTGTCATCGCTACTATTCATCCCGTGGGTGTCGTAAGAGGCGAAGAAGGAAGCAAACTACGCAGAACAATAGCACAGTAGAGCGAAGGCAAACTAGACACAAACCCTATACAGGCCAGTGGTATAGTAAGCCAAAACGTCCAGCGGTGGACTATTAAAGGCTGTTGATGTGATGTGATGCTTACCAATTCAACGGTAAATTATTTTATTTCTGATCAAGTTCTACTTATCCTTATTTCAATGTGATTAGAATTTTATTACTTTATTTCGATTCAATTATACTGCGGTTATCCGGTGGAGACCCTGCTTTGGTAGTACTTTTGTCCGAGGGAAAATTCCGTTCGGATCAAATAATCACGGAAATTAGCGACTAACGAGAAAGCAAAGTAAACTTGATAAGTACATCAGTGCCCTTCTGGTTTTTCTACCACAAATCGCACCATTGATTTTCACGTAACAGTATATTTTGTAAAACTGTTTAAAAACAATTTTTTTTACGCTTATATCTCGAGGACATAATCTAGCAACTGCAAGAGTCGATTCACCTCTAATGATCCGTTACTTGCGGCTCTTACAAAACACAACCTTATGACTTAGTAAATAGCGTGACGAATGCTATGTGATATCTTAAATTAATAATTACACGAAATATGTCTTTGCGTAATTCAATGTTAGGTAGCTCAAATGAGTGTTCTTGCATTCGGCTTTCGTAAACGAAGATATCGTGTAAAAATTGTGAAACTTATCCGAGGCCACACCGACTTCTGACAGTTTTACTGGCTTTTTGTTACAAAGATTAATTTCAAGTGACTAATTAATTCCTCATACAATCACTTTTTTGTAATGAAGTCTGTCGTTCACAACGAGTAGGTACACTGGGGAGTCTCGGACACAGATGTTACTTTACATTATTACGTTTCTGTCAACGTTTTTTTCTTTATGGTATGAGGTACTTATTTAGGTACCTGTACATTATTTTACTTTTAAGTAACACGTCTTATTCAATAATGTGCAATTCTTTTAAATTATGATAATATCTAACGACAAAAGACTAACGGAAATTCTAGACTAATTGTTCAGGCTTATTCAGATTACGATTTTTTGGCGTAGTGCATTGCACAGTTTTTGCAAAATCCATTCATTTATTAAATTGGCACTTTTTGCAACTTAATTATTACAGCTTTGGAAAGTCATGATTAGTCACAAAAATTAAAACATAATATTGCATTAAAATTGTCCTTATTATTCCATTTTGCAACTCAGCAACTTTTTTCAACTCATTTTGCATTATAAAAAAATTTGCATATTATAAAACATCGATTAGTCATAAACAAAGATTCAAAGCACAACTCTTAAAGCCTAAACACAACATTGTATAAAGCCACACATACTCGTACTACACATCAGATCCTATGATTTACCAAAGTTTGGGAAGCCTACATTTATAATTATTTTCTTTTAATATTCAAAAAACAACGATCTTTAGAAGTTTTTTGCATGTTGTAAAAAAACAAAATAACAACTGGAACTGGAAACCACCAAGTCGAATTTTGTAGATTTTTTTAATAACTAAATAACTACTTTTTTGCAACTTTAACAGCAAATTACAAAATAATGGCACGGTCTCAGCTGTTGCATTTTATCTGTATTATCATGATGTACCGAGAGGAACTAAAATACGTCGAAATATCACGGTCGGCATTTTTTTTTGAGAAAATACTCCTTTTTATGGTCTACTTGTTGTATTGTTGAATACTCTAACGACGTAAAAAGGACTCTACCTTATTATTTTTATTTAGAGTAAAATGATAACTGCATCTATACAAATTTAATACAAACTATATAAGTAACAAACATATTAAAATACTATGTAGTGAGTATAGGAGTCAACAAATAAAATAAAACATTGTGACCAAACTGTTATTGGCCTTGAACAATTAACCCCTTTTTGTACAAACACGTCTTTCATCAACCTTCTTTTTAACCGACTTCAAAAACACAAAAGAGGAGGTTCTCAATTCGTCTGTATGTTTTTAGTATTTATAATGCGTTCCATTCGATAATTGTATAGGTACTTTCCTTTGGTTTCCGTAGGTATGTTTCCAAATTGGAAATTCACCGTCACGTTTAAACAATTACTCTTGCTACCATAGTAAGTCGCAATAGCTAATATTAGTTAGTTATTTTGGAGACGGGAAATCTTTTGCGCAGTTAGACGCATTGAGCAACTAAAGCGTATACACACATTATATTCTTTGGTGTGTCTATATTTACCTACTTAATAACGACCTATTTCTTTAGTAGTCTGAATTTAAAAACTCTAAATATCCATTTAATACGTAGTTAATACTTACTACTATTTTTGTGCGAATATTGGTACCTACCTACTGACAAAAACCGACTATAAAAATACCCTTGAAAAATCTTCTAGAAGATTTTTATTGTAAGGGTAAACTTAATGTCATAAGTTTAACTTTATTGACTTATAGCACTTTTGAATTGAACCAAGTTGTTAAGTTGGCATTATTAGCAGTTTTCATAAAAAATGTAATAGACCCAGCTCCACCTCCGAGTACATTGAACATACTAATTACGAATTTTATAATTATCGTCTATTTATACTACGCTAACAATATTATGTCAAATTCATATTACACTAAGATTATATGTGATATGTTTCATCAGAGCCAAGACTTTTGTTTATTTTGCGCCAGAATCCCCAACTCTGTTGAGGTAAACAAACCTTTACTAGTTTAACTGAGTTTAACCCAATAAACGCAGTTAAAATGTGAATGTATAATATTCTCAATAAAACAAGTAAAATTAAAACCATACGCCTACACACAGATAAGCTACTTGAGTAAGGTAATAAATAAAAGTAAAGTAATTACTATAACAACATTCTGTTTTTGTTCTAACCATTTTTATTGTTTATTATTTTAATTAATCACACACTTCTTTAGCTACTATTACATACAACAAACACATAATGTAATTATGTATTTAATCCAAATAGATCACGGAAATCTAAGTACTTAGGTGCTTACAACTAAGAATGCATCCATGCGGAAGACACACAGACATGTGTAGCATTTGCGCTACATTTATCGTTAACGCAAGCGCACAATTGAAGGATCGATTTAGAACATCTCGCGTGCACGTGCGTAATGACTTACAAACTTGTATTCAACATCTGAACATGTTGGCCTTAGCTAACCAATTTATTCCCTTATACAGAGCTACTGACTGATAGAGAGGTCAGTGCTCGTTGATACATTTCCTTGTATGATACGTGATATATGTTATTATGATGGTTGGCTTTAAATTAATCTGTTTTGGTGTATACCTATTCGGAAAATAATACAGTAAGTAATAACTTAACTGCAGTAGGTAATCAGTTTTTCAGGACGGATCTGTAGCACCATGATATACTCGTATAACAAATATCAGCTTATTACTTCCTGTCGAAAAAGGATTAGTCCTCGAAGATCTTTTTTTTTTTCTTCTTTAATGTATTTACGTCTTTTATAAAATTTTAAAATGACTTGAAAATATAATTACACATAAATTCTGACACTTTTCTTGTTCGTTATGAACGGTATTTAACGGAACGGCATACCTAGGCCTTAAATTATTGACATTTAAATCATCTAAGACCTAAGAAATCGATGTGGATAAACGTCACAAAAAGCTACTGGGCCCATTGACAAGTACCCAAAAACCCAAACTGGGTTTGGGGGGAACTCCGCAGCATCTTTTTGTTCATAATTCCTCAGCGGCAAAAACAGTAATTTTCGTGATGCTGTAAGATTCGAAACATGATCTCTCACTACGATCTTTATAAAAAGCTTTGGTTTTTCTAAAAGATCGAATCAGAAAATAAGGAGATACGTAAACGAACGAGGATTACTGTCATAACTCAACAGATCAGCAAGTTAGAATGGCGATTACCAGGGCATTTTACTAACAGAATGGATGGTCACTGTGGCTAAAAGATTCTGGAGTGGGAACCATTGCATACCGGAAGGCATAGCGTGGCCGCGTAGGACAACAATAAGATGGGCAGATGACCTTATGAAGATCGGGTATCGACGGTAGACGCAGGCCGCTATCGAGTATTTTTTCGGAAGTCATTGAGGAAGGCCTGTGTTCACCAGTGGACGTTCTTCTGCTGTAATGATGAATTAAGATAATTCAGGAATATTTTAAAACACACAATCAATTCATCAGCGTCGTCACCTGCTCGCACTAACGACTCTATACACTATTCTCAACCCAGAATATACCAGAATCATCACAAATATGATACTTAGAGAGAGAGTAGAAAATGCCTATGGCATTAAGTCCGCCCGTTGCACTTGCATAAACTTATTAAATAAATAAATAAAAAGACCAAACACATTAACAGACAGGTTTTTTTTTTTACATACATACTTACTTTTATTGAATAGTCGCATGTGGCATCACTGCTTTGACAGTAATGACAGTTCACTCACCTGCATCCTGCAACCTGCATGGTTCAATTACGAAAACTTCCGTGTCTTCAGTACGTAATTATAGTAACAAAAAATAAAACGAAAGTTCCAAACTTTGAAAGTTATACTTTATATAAAACACATGATATCTGATTGTCACCAAAACTAACTGAAAAATATATTAACCCAACCCGGAATTTTTAGTTTCTTCAAAACTCAGATTTAATTCTACAGTTCAACGTTCTATTCCGAAGTCGTAAACACGTAGTACAGTTTAAAAATAACTACGAATACGCTGCACGCACTTGTTGTCTCGTGTTTCCTTTGCTATTTAGCTACTGTAGTAGTTACAAGTCGGATTTTAAACTAAACTAGTGGACTATTTCATAAAATGGCTTTAGCCGTGACCCGAGTAATATTAAAATGTGAGGACGCTCAAAAAACGCAAATATTAGGTATGTGGCTTTTGCATTAAAAATATTTAAATCTGACACTATTAACAGTGCATGATGTAACATCTAAAGATTTCTGCACAACTAAGCATGTTGTATAAAGAAGCCTGAGAACAAAGAAATATAGTTAACCACATCCTTATACTTACACATTTGAGCCACCTTTTATCTTTAGAGCAGCTATAAAGGTTTCTCTCCTCTCCTCTTAAAGGTCTTATATTATTATTTAGTTTATACAGATATATATACTATATGGGATGTTATAACAGTTATTCTTCATTCACATTTATTATTCATAATCACCCATTCAGTACTGTAAATTATGTTCATTGAAGAAGTAACTTTTTGGATTTTTATTGTAATCATACCTCTAAATCATTCTAGGTTATGAATATCTTTGAAATTTAATTAATCATCACCTCACCAGGACCAAACGATTAGGTGACTGACTCAAACTGACTGAAACCGTACAGTGTTCTCTCACCAGGTCTGATGATAGAGCCTTAGACATACCCTAGAGAGGCAATCCCTGTTTAAACATGTAGACTTGTCCGCCTAATGAGTAAGGCTTTCATTTGCAAAACTAGATTAGCCTGTTATTTTATATATGTAGTTCCTAATTTATTAAAATGTAACTATTACTCAGTGATTTAATTACTCCTATTTAATAATAAATATTCTCTTTGTTTACAGATTTATCAGAATGTCAGCTAATGCAAGTACCTGATGCTGTGTACCATTTAATGCGGCACACAGAGCTCAAGAGCTGTGACCTCAGTGGGAATGTAATCACAAAAATACCTCCTAAGTTTGCAGTCAAATTTAGTTTAATTACAGGTATGGTCATCATGTCATATAATTAGTTAGATAGACTTTAAAACTGAGTTGAAGAGAACTAGAGAACCTTTTAATTCATTTTATTTATTTACATTTTCCAATACATTATTTATGGCAGTCTCCCATACCTACATTGATGTGCCCATGATTTCAACTCATATTATAAAGTAAAGATTATAATTAGATGATCAAAATTAGTTATCAAATAAAGAAATGATATAAAAATTTAAGTAACGGTTAGAAATATTAACTACTTCCTCATACACCATAAATAATAATAATAATAAATAAACAAACATAATTTAGCACCATCTAGCAAAGATAAGTTAAATTATATTCTAACTACATATTCTGCATCACGGAATAAAAGTTCTTATGTCAATCAGTGCATATAGTCATGTAATGTGTACTACTCCCAAACTTTTCTTCACCAGTATGGGATCAAACCTACAGAGGTTTGGTCCCATTCCAGGTCTTAGAGACAGCCCATAACCTCAGATATTCGCAATCTCAATCCTCGATTCTGAATATAGTTCTCACATTCATGTTGTATAACTATTAAAATAAAACTTTGCTTTATTCTAAATCCTTTTTCAAATGATTTCAGATTTAAACCTATCAAACAACCAGATGGCGAAGCTGCCAGATGAGCTGTGCACACTGGCATGCCTGGAGCGGTTGGACATCTCGCACAACTCATTTGTAGCATTGCCACACATCACTTTCCAATGTCCCAGTCTCCACACATTGCTGGCGCATCACAATCAGATTATTGGTACTTGACATTTATTATAAGCAAATATTTAACCCCCATTCATGTAAGGTAATTAGCAATGTAAATTATCATGAACTTTTAATATATCACAGATGCTGTAGGTACCTAGTATGATATCAGCATAAATATGACATTATTACATCACTGAAGTTTATTTTCAAGAATAATTAAATTTTGTATAATTAATTTAATGTGTTTAAATAATCAATTTCAAAAATACTTAATTTATGATAGAAAACCTTTTAAAAAATTTGTTTTATAGTGTAGGTTATTAAAAATTAAAAAGAAATGTAAATGAACTGAAATAACTGAAAACACCAGTTCTTTTAAATCCAACAGTGGATAAAAAACCCCCAATACGCCATTGCCTGTAACATCTGTTATACTAACCCTCTTATACAACTTCTGTTGCATATTAAAATATGATCTTTTAAGGCTATATACATTTTCATAACTTTAAAGAATAATAAAAAATGTACAACAATAATGTACATTTTTTTACAAATCACTCCTTAGTATGGAAATCTTAAACAATCTATTTTAAAACTACACAGCCTTGACAACTGGACTCAGGGCTGTCTTTAGCCTACTGGGGCCCTGGTCACATTAGGATAATAGGGCCCCTACGACCTTAACTGATTGCTAATCTGTTTAAACAGACAAAAAAGTATTGTAGTCAGTCATTATCACTGGATTTTTCGAAATAAAGATGGTTTTTGATAATAAAAATCGATTATCGATTGGTGATCTGGCAGGAATTAGGGGGTAGGGACCCCAATCGAGGCGTCCCTACCCTCTAATTGCTGGCCTGACTGTACTAGTCATGAACTATGTTACAGCCTTACAGTGTGTTTTCTGACATCTATATGAAATGCATGCCTAATATCAATATTACGCCAAAATTGATAAACAAATTTTCATGGTTACAGAGATTGATGTGGACAGATTGGCACGGTCCCGCGCCCTCGAATACGTGGATCTCAGTGACAACCCTATTCCTCCCCGGATGCACGACGAACTGAAACAGCTGTCGCGACCTGCAGTCACCGTCTCCGAAAGACAGAAAGAAGACTGGGAAGAAGATCTTATACTATAAGAGAGTCCATTATGTATAGACTTTAGCATTCAGTTCCAGGGTTTCACATGAGACTGTAAGTCGACTGCTAGAACTTATAGTTTTGAAGCAATTTAGAGTACATATTGATAAGGGAGCCTTTGTGACTAGCATAAGGGGTTTGTGCAATATTCATGTGAAGGATTTAAACAGCTGGCCCCACATAAACTGTGATCTTCTCTGAAAAGAGGACAAAGTGATTTGTTAGTGTACACTATATTTTTAGTTATGAATGACGTCATCCGTTGAGATTCATAAGAGATTAAATATTTTAATATCTTTTGACATGCTCAAAAGTTATTGTACTTAATTATTCTAAATGTTTTTCGGTTTGTAATGTATTTGGACCTATATTGGCCTCAATGAAAGAAATGAAATTAACGATTTTATACAGCGTTTTATATATTTTTGATACACAAGTTGGTTGGATAGTATTATGATGATATATCTCACTGTATTTAATACTAGTCCATCATTAGATAAGCTTTTATATTCCAACTGGAATTAAATTATATTGTAAGTAATTTTAATTAGTACACGAAATAATAATACATTGTAATGTACGTACTGAAAAGTACTCTCTCTTAATTTGTTACTAATCAAGTCACTACCACATTTGTTTTGCTTGTACACAAAATAATGTATTTACACAATTATATATCCAAAGATTAGTGACTGATAAAGTTTTATTCATTGATAATTAACGGAATTGATAAAACAAGAATAAGGTGTTTGTGAGGTGTTTTTTTACGAAATACAGTCATATATAAATAAACGCATTTATTAAATGCAAATAGTACGCCTTTTTTTTTCATATTTTTCTAAACCCCTTTGAGAGTGATAAAGGTTGAGCTACGTCTGGTGGGTGTGGTCGGCTTGGGCGTCGCAGAGCCGGGTCCTCATTGAAGTCAGTGAACTGTCTGTCGCTACCGGCCGTCATACGCTCCATGGCCGGTAGTGACAGAAGTTTGACCGCGGTCGCATCCTTCTGTGATGACTCCGCAGGCGAACCGGGCGGCGGAGGCGCGCTTACCAGCGCCTCATGCCGCCCTGAGTGTGCCTGCGTGTGGACGGGACAGGTTTTCCCCTCCACCCGCCATAATGGCCAGCCGTGAGGAGGTGACGTCCGCGTGTGCCGGACGTCACCTAAATAGAGAATGTACAAGAAGGTGGTGCCCGCACAATTGCGGGCAGGCGCTGGGAGGGGTCCGGATGTCTTAATAACAGCAGTGCCCGGATCCCCCTTATTACAGGCGCAGAGTGGCACACCGTGTGGTTTTAGTCGGTCCGATTCCGACACACCACCCCGCCGCAAACCCCGGTGCGGGAACGGCCCGAGGGGGTTTCCAAACGTAAAAAAAAAACATCTGGTTGCATGGAATCATGTCACTGACCCTGGCATGGCCACCATCATGGATTTTAATTTTGATAACACATAAATTTGTCGCCAAATGTCTAAATTTGTCGATCACTGGTACAAAATTTATAAGGATTTATAGGGACAAATGCCGAAATTTGGCAACTGATTTTGAGAAATTAGCGACTAAATTTGAAGAAAACAGATCTTCGCTAGGTGCCCTAGTTTTGTGGCCCAGCTGGGGAAACTGACTTTAGCAGAGCCCCTTGAAACGCTTATAGCTTTTGAACTAGTGACCGACAAATTCTGATATTTGGCGACAAATTAGCGACTAAATTTTTGTGTTATCAAAATTAAAATCCAAGATGGTGGCCATGCCAGGGTCAGTGACACCATGAAATCGCATACAAATGCATCAGTGGCCGGCAGCATGCTGCAGCACAGGCTGAACAAATGTTCAACTCTATATTTGATCTTATCTATAGACTTACGAAACATACATATCAGACAGATAATTAAAAGCTAGAATTTTAGAAGTATTGCAATAGTTAAAACCACTGTGGCTGTTTTACGACGGAATTTTTCCTCAGTAAGGAAACTGTCTGTTATTAATTAGACAATGCCTAATTCATGTGGCGCAGTGTCTCATCTCAAGGCAAAAGTCTTCAACCAGTGTGCAGGGATGTTAGGTTGTGGTGAGCCAAAGCTGGTACAGATGTCGCTAAAAGGCTCGGCGACTTCGACAATCTGGGTGGAGCCAGCGTTGTAACAAGACGGCTGTACACGGGGTTTGTCCGGTCAATGGCACTGTACGGTACACTGCTGTGGGCGGCGGCTCTCACCGCCCAGAATAGGGCGCGCCTCTGGCGCCATCATCGCCGATTGGTCAGGGATTCACGGGACTCTTTCCTTCCGACTGACGCAGGTCCTTTCCGGGCATTGAGTCCCGCCTGTCACCATTGCGATTGCAGTGAGAACTCGGTTCAGCGCACGCTGGCAATTTGACCGGCTTGGATGTCTCAGCGTCGGGTCCTCATTGCAGTCCTTGGAGAGGATCCGTCATACGCTCCATGGCCGGTAGTGACAGTTGTTATACCGTGGTCGCATCCTTCTGTGAAGATATCATCTTGCAGAATGAGGCGGCGGAGAGGGCCCGGGAGGATGATCTCCACTCGGACCTAATTCGCCGCCGATGAACAGCGCGTCATGCCGCCCTGAGTGTGGCCGCAGATGGACAGGACGGGTTTTCGCCTTCTTTTTTTTTTGTAATTTTTGTAATAGAGAATGTACCCTAAGGTGGATCCCGGACATCCTAAAAACAGCAGTCCCCGGATCCCTCCTATTACAGGCGCAGAGTGGCACACCGTGTGGTTTTAGTCGGTCCGATTCCGATACACCACCCCGCCGCAAATCCCGGTGGGGTGACGGCCCGAGGGGGTGTCCACACGTTAAAAAAAAAGAAAAAACAAAGATGTCGCTAAAAGGCTCCAAAAGCTGGTATTTGAAAAAAAATTTGGTACGTACAAAATAGTTATATTAATAAAAATAGTTCTGTCTTGCCGTCGCCGTAAGCCATAACAGAAGTTCCGGCCGTGGCTGGGGCGTCGAGTTCCGTCGACGTCGCCAACACCTGTACGTCGGCGGCTATCGTGCGTAGCGAGAGTATGTGGAACTCTGCCGTCTCCTTCTGCGAGCAAGTTATGCTCGCGAAGGAGACGGCGGAGCGGGACCGGGAGAGGTTTAGAACTCTCTCGGCCCGCCAAGCCCGGGAACGGGCCAGGTACCGCAGGCGACTCAGGCGCCGGAGGTCACAGAACGACCTCCGTCCTCCCCGCCGCCACCCTAGCAGAAACAGGGTGGCAGCGAGCGCGTTGCGAAGCGCGCTCGCTTCCAGGGAGCAGAGGGAACATGGGGTTCCCACACGGGGGGGGGGGGGTCGTCTACTCGTCTGTAGAGGGCCCGAGGTATGTAGGGGCACCAGGGACTTCCTTTCTAGGTTATACCTGGTTCCCCGGCTATTAGTACCCGAGATGGCGTGCGGTTTTAGTCGGTTCGAGTCATGCCACCGACAGGTGGTATCCGTGGGGATCCGGGAAAAAAAAAGAAAAGGGGGGAGGCTGGCCAAGAACTTGCTGGCATCCCAAGGCCCATCGGCTTCGAATAGGGTCGCTTACGCTTTCGGTGGTAATGTGCGTCGCATGAAATAGACTTCTTCAATGAACGAGAACGTCATGCGAGCATATTTTGTGGCTACAGAGTAAAAAACTAATCTCAATGCGTATCGTAATCGTTTACCCACTCTGTTTTAGGAAATTGAACCAACTGTTAACGTTTCGGTAAAAAGATTATCGGATCAAGTGTGAGCTATTAAGCGATTTAATTTGTTGGATAGCTCTGAGTTCAGGCTTGGAATAAGCCGTACTACTTTTCCTCCTTCACAAGCAGTTACACATCTAGATCTTGAATTACTACAGGCTTCTCTTGCTGTAGGAGGATAGAAAATTGATGCTTCTTCTTTAAGTATCTAGTACAATGATATAATAAGGAATACTTTGGAAGGTGCTATCCTGGAATACGGGTCCATGACTTTTGTAGACACACCACATTTACCTCGTTTGCCGATGCATAAGCGAAATAAAGCGCTAGTGTATGCCCTAGATTCTACATTACCAACATATTTTGAAAAATGTAAAGACGTCTGTGATACACATTCAATTCTGTAGCTCTGTAGTAGCTGGTGTCAAATTCCCAAGAATTGACATGGCTCCTCGACCTAAGTCTCTGGTGCCGACGTGGCAATATAGAATTGAACGTCGTATTGCTGAGGCAAGCGCACTTATTAGCAAGCTTATCTGTTTCAGATCGGGCAACACACGCCCGAGAGTAATACGCTTTGTGAATCAGGCTCTTTAGGGAACCGGTATCAGGTCCTGGGATTATATGGCACGAGTCACAGAGCGCATTGACTTTCTGAAATAAAAGGTTTATGCATGGACAAACCGTATATGAAGGTATAAAAACAGGCGATCGAGACCAAAGGAGAAGCTTGTGCGATTATTTTGGACATAGCGAAGGCCTTCTATCGGGTCTAGCATAAGGCGCTTCTCTTGAAGCTCCCTTCCTTTGGGCTACCCGAGAAATTTTGTAATTAGGTCATCAGTTTCCTTGCGGACAGAAGCATTATGGTCGATGTCGACGGTGCATGCTCCGACTTGATATTCGTAAATGCTGGTGTCCCACAAGGTTGTGTGCTATCATCCACACTGTTTCTTTTGCATATCAATGACATGTAGCAAACTAGTAGCATCCATTGCTATGCAGATGATAGCACGCGAGATGCCCTTTAAACTAGCCGCCCTACAATTTATCGGGAAAACGTCATCGATAGTCGAAACAAACTTTTGTCTGAAAATGAAACTTCCTTAGCGGAGGTTTCAGATTGGGGCCGACTAAATCTAGTCCAGTTCAACCCAAAAAAGATACAGGTTTGTGCGTTCACCGCAAAGAAGATACCATTTGTCGTATCACCTCTTGTTGAGAACACCTCACTAACTGCCTCAGCCAGCATCGGAATCCAAGGCAAACTGGACTTCGACCGACATATCGAGCGAAGTCCAGTTTGGCCTCATCCAAATTGGCTTCTAAGAAGCTCAGTATGCTGAACAGATCGAGGCAGTATTTCACTCCGGCCCAACGCCTTCATCTTTATAAGGTGCAAGTCCGGCCGCATTTGGAATACTGTTCTCATTTCTATGCAGGAGCACCTCAGTACCAGCTTCTGACTCTGGACCGCATCCAACGAAGAGACAGGTCACCTGATAAAAAGCGACTACCGCCGCCCATGAACGTCTGCAACTCAGGAGTCACAATTCCATTGCCAGCCTTTGAGGAAGGAGTATACTCTTTTCTGGAAGGTTTGAAGGTCGTATCGGTCCGGAAATACCGCAGCCGATAACTTGTTCCACAGGTTGATAGTGCGAGGCAAAAAGTGTCTTGAAAAGCGCACAGTGGTGGAGCACCAATTTTACAAGTGGTGGGGATGAACATTTTGCCGTGTGTAACGGTGGCGGAAGGTTTCAATTCCTCGGAGCACTCTCCATGATATATACGATAAAGAATGGAGAGCAAAGCTGTAGCTTCGCTTTTCTATAGTCATCATTGTATATATCTCTAGGCTATCGACGATTCGAATCGCTCTTCTTATATGATCTATTTCAAACCTAGGATCTACCCTATTTCTCTTAAGTGGTCTTGAGAATGAAATTGAAGGGATTACATAAGAATCTAACCTATTATATACATCATCAACAGCCTCTAACACTGTTGGACGTAGGCCTCACCTTAGAAATGAGGTTTTGGCCTACTTTACCACGCTGTCTGACGGGTTGGCATAGAGTTTTTTTTAAGTTTTCTTCTCTTTGCAGTGCTGTTGGCATGCGTATTTTGCTCATATTACTGTACTTTGTGGTTTGCTCCCTTAGTCGCTTAGTCGGCTCTTACGACACCCACGGAATGAATAGGGGTAGCGGCACTCCGTATTCTTAATACATTACTGTGATCCGTCACCACATAGACGTATGATGGATTAAGAATATTATACTGTGTATTAAATACTTTATACCAAATCGAAGTACTGACAAGTCGCTTATTTACTGTCTGACGTTTGCTGTCACAATGACATGGATGAAATAGATTTAATGATACACACCTTCTGGATTTAAATTTTTTAAGTATGTTGAAATAATATTGAAAACATGGCGGGCCACGGAGTGGATGATGATCCAAGTCTGAAAGGTCTTAGTCGTTACTTTAATTCTCAGACGAACAGAGGAAGAGCCAACGTAAGTATTTGCTATTGAAAAATGAAGGTACATATGTGTAGGTACTTGGAATTGATACTTCTATAATAATAATTAAATACCTATAATAAAGATGTTTCTCGTTTCAAAACACCACCCTCTCAAGAAGTACCTAACCTTAGGTAATGTGAATGATTTTATTCTATTTCCATGGATGGTACGATCAATGAGAATCAGAAGATAATAAACGCTCATATTTCAAGAGTCATAATGCCAATATTTCAATCTCACGTTTAATTTTTTATAGTAAATTAATTAATATGCTTTTAAAGCAATTGCTTTAATTATCGAGCAACTAGTAGTTAGCCAACTAACAAGTCTTATTTATTTTCTAGACATCAAAAGTGACGTTTGCCCTATTAGGAGCATATATCATTTACCGCAAATTCCTAAAAAAAAATTGAAATATTGATGTTGATGGTTTTTCTCTAATCACTTGTAAGTACTTCTTTTATGTTTCATGTACCTACATCATTTTATTTACATTAAAAATACTCATAAATTTACTAATGGGGAATGCTATCGCTCAATCAACAGAATTGCTAACACAAATTCGCATATCCCGGAGCAACGGCTCCGGGCTACGAGCGCCTAATCACTTCTCCTGCTATGCGCTCACGCATGTCATACACCTATTTACAAATCGGTGAGTGAACTTTTCTTGCGCGTATAATAAATGTAATAATATAATGCAACTTCTCAACTACAACACATCCCTAACCCGTGTGATGATGTCAAATGGTGGATTAAGAATATGGAGTGTAACCACCACTATTTATCCCGTGGGTGTGGATGTGTAAGAGGACAACAGCACTGCAAATAGAAAGAAAACTCCACACAAACCCTATACCAACCCGTCTGGCTATCGTGGTATAGTAGGCCACAACCTTCTTTCCAAGGACTGTTAGAGGCTGTTGATAAACTTCTTAACATCAAACTTTTGACTGCGGCCTGCCAGTCATGATTATCTCGCCTAAAGTATCCTCCCTTTATAATGAATTTGAGTTTTTCAAGTTACTGTAAAATGTATATTTGCGAAGTCATCTTCCACAGTATCATAGCATCGACGAAATATTAAAACTCTGCAAGCATGTATGCAGCAGTACAGTACGCCTAATAGCATGAGGAGGCACATTAAAATATTTGAAACCGGCCCGGAGAGGTTTGTCTGAGCAGGTAGACCAGCACGTGTATTTTTTAACCTGTACAATCAACATTTGTGATTAACACGCTACGATACACCTTAAGATATCTCCGGTAAACCGAATTGTCGCACACTCACAAAGACACACGGTCTGCCTGCATAAGCAGACCGCAGACGCGGCCACATACACTACGGTTTACCGGAGAAGACTTCTCCCCCCCTCCCCCCGGTGAGATGTCATGAGATTTGATTCATCCCCCTCCCCCATCCAACAATCTCACATGAGATTTTTAAAAATGTGTTTAGAATCTAAAGACGGCATTATTCTATAAATAAAATTTGCTTGGTATTTTTATTTAAGACTAGTTCAGACTAGTATTTAGAATTGCTTCAAAGTAGGCTAGTAAATATTATATTATTATATAAGAGTTGACGATATTTCCGTGGAGATACATGTTTTACCTAATTTCATTCAGTTTTCTTGCAATTTTACTTTGTTTCTTGTGGATAAAAAATTGACATATTTGCCGAGACCTCTTGAGAGGAGGAGGTTCTCCCCAAGGTAAGACGAGATGAGATTATTTTGGCCCCCTTCCCACCCTGAACGCCTCACGTAAATAATGGACGCACCCTTACTGCAATTTTGTATAAACATCGTTTTTACTTTTACTTGTCATATTGTTAGAAACTAAGATAAAGAAATACCATACATGGATTATATTTTAGTTGAACAAATTTACCATCAACGTTGTTCGTTCCTCTAATGCCAACATTGCGTGTGATAAAATGAGATAGCAAGAGCCGATCGTGCACGTCTCGAAGCCGTGCGCGCCACTAACCGATGACAGCTATATTTGTTTGTTAACCAACTGGTTGATAGTGACCACTAAAGAATTTTCTGAATTATTGGTTTTCTGTATATAATAAATCGGACTGTGCTTATCAGATCGTATTAATTATTTTATTAGTATTTCTTTATCTTAGGTTACAAACATTTGCTACCAACCCAACAAAAATAAAATGACAAGATTGTCGCGTTACATGTGTCAGATAAATGACGTTTCTGCTGATGCATTTCTTAACAGTTTGTTTTTATCATTTTGTATGTTTACTTGAAGTATGCTATGAATAATTGTGAGATTTCTATAAATATACAGAGAAATTGATAGACTACGTCACGTTCAGACGAAAAGCTATACCTAATTGATTTATCTTGATAATACATAACATTACAGAATAATAATATATCTGACACATTTCACACACGGCTGTCTGATCCCAATCTAAGCAGAGCCTGTACTACGGTAACCAGACTGCTGATAAACGTAGTTATATATTTTTAAATACATACATATTATAGATAAATTACACCCACGCACGTAACAAATGATCGTGCTCATCATACAATATTTGTCCTGGGTGGGAATCGAACCTCTAGCTTAGCAGTCAAGGCCACTGACCACTTGACTAAGAGGCCCGTCAAATAAATAAAAAACGAAAATCGTTGGAGCCGTTTCCGAAATTCAGATTATATATCTTGATATATTCTTGTATAAAACAAGGTAATATTTTTTTAAATTATTTTTATTCATGACCATAGATACAAAAATTATATTTAGTATTGCCATCCTTCAATATAAATATCTATAAAAAAATAACTATGTTTTTCCCTTAAACGCAATATTTAAAAATTGTTATCTAACTAGTAATTTTCTTCATTTTTGCTGCTATGTATCAGTGTAATTTAGGCCATAATGGATTTTACTCAGAATAAAAAACGTTCAAACAAAAATTGGACATCTCCTTTAGGAACTAAGTTCGGTTTGAAGCATTTTTATTGTTTTTCTCTTTCAGTCTAAGAGAAAAAGTACAATACTATCCTGCTGTCACATGCGTAGGCTACAAATAGGTCGATTGCATGTTAGAAGACACGATCTGTCCGGATAGCACGTAGTGATGCGCAAAATGTATCACTGAGCTGAAAAGATTGATACATATCATTTCGCTCTAAAGATATATATCACTCATCTAGCTCACTAGCTCATTTAGCTCACTAACTCCTTTAGCTCACTAGCTCATTGATCCGATTCAATTGATTGGTCTCTCAATTAATTCATTTCTTCATCTAGATCGTTTAGCTCAGTATACTTGTATATCACTCACTTCAAGCCTCTCTCGCCTTACAAATCTTTCTTTATTTTCTTATAAACCTAAATTCAGTTTTTGAAACTACATTTTTAACCTATTTTTTTTAAATACAATTTTATTCATTTTGATAAGATTACATAATTATTAACACCCTTTTACATAATAATTAAAATAAGAAATTAGTTCTTGTACTTTTTTTTAGGTTGTATAATAGAAATCATACATAATTTGATTTTCCTTGTTGTTGGCGGCTTAATTCTTAAGTAATATTAAACTTTGATCCTATAGAAATAATGTACATTTTGCATAAAGAAACTTGCGTGAACTTAACCATCATCTATCTCACTCATTTATCTTTAGTCTCACTCACTCATGAAACAAAGATCGGCGTCGTTGAGCTAGTGATCTAGTGAGCTAGTAGTGAGTTACTGATATATTCGGAGCAAGTGTGAGTGAGTGATAGATTTTATCGTCGTGAATGATATATATCTTTTATATCACTCACTCAGGAGCTACACAACTCTAATAGCACGATTGCGTGCGCCTACTCAGTACTCTGCGTTATTACATAAGGCTAAAATATCTATTAATTCAGGTAAAATTCTTATTTGTATGAAATTTCTAAATTAAGTACTGTATTAGTATTGTATGTAACATGTTCAGATGATACAGAATTGTGTATGTGATTTACAGTTGAGATAGAATTCAGTAAAGTTTACTATTTTATATTTTCTCGTAGAATGGCCGGTGACAGTTCCGTCGATGAATCCCAGTTGAAGGGCTTGTCGAAATATTTCAACAGCCAAACAAATAGAGGTAGAGCTAACGTAAGTAAAAAATGTCTTATCTCAAACCAGTGAACGGTAGAAAATATAACATAGGTTATGTGAAGGAATTGGTCTTTAACTTTACTAAGCATCGATTATAACTCTGCCTGTTTCTATATTCTTACTCGCCTGATCCATTGTAATCTTTCAAAAAAAAAAACCTTATACAAAACTTATACTATTGAAAGCAAAACAATCAGTGCTGTTGAGATTCCAAGTTCAATAGAAGTCTAGTAGGAGCTTGTCCTATCTACCTGTTAAATTACCTGTTTTCTTTTCTATTACAAGTGTATAGCTGATTGAATCATTTTAATACTTCAGTTTTCTCAGATTCAACAGAAATACAGTAATTTTTTTAGATGGATGTCCGTGTGATTGAAATACTAGGTGTACTCATATTAGATTAGTTATTACATTTTTAATACTACTAGGGTTTTTCAACCATACGGCTTGCATGAGTGCCTATAAACTCTCAACCCACTACTTACAGAATACCAATCTCCCTCTAATTAATCAAGCTACTCACAAGCAGGAACCTGACACTGCAAATATTGGTTCGATGTGATTTTCTGTAACAAGGAGGTATTCTTTAATTATAAATGATATAACTTGCAAATATTTATTAGTATTTTTAAAATTAGAACTGTATTAGTTGAAATGAACAACTTAATATGTTGTAATCTACTGTTATCACCATGCTTATAGTGTGTAGTGTGTAAAACATTCCTTAAATCAAATGTTTGAAGTAACTACATGTAATACATCATGTGTGAAACATTATAGCAATCGGTAATCTTTTAGAAAAAGTGAATAAGTCATGTTATAGAGTAATAGCGTCTTAGTAGTTAGCCAAGTTGGTGGTGATCTAGGTTTTCTAAACAATATATTATATTTTATTTGTATAATTATACTAGTAAGAATAATGAAAGTTATACATGGTTTTCATCTCAAAGCAGTGGTAATCAATTACCAACCTATAATTGCTTGATGCACCAATTATAGTGATGAGTGCAGGGTAATCATGGCCTTTCTTAGGCAATTTCTTCATATTTCACCAGAAACTTGTTTTTTGACATTGTTCCTGTAAACCCTTACTTAACCACACAAGCCTTATATTTATAGAACTCTTTATCACTGTACAGGTAAAAAACCTAAAAGAAACCACAATATCAAAGTCTGTATATGCTACCTAACATACTTGGAAATCATTGCCTAAAAGATAGCTTGATTATTTTTAAACATAGGGCATGGGAGCCAAACAGTGAATGCAATAGTTAACTGTTCTGATCCTATGACCTCACTTCAAGATAAAACCTTCTTAGAAAAAAGCTTCTCAGCTTGATTCTAAAAATATTCAATGTTATGAGCATTTCGAGTTATTAATAATCAAAAATTTGTACTAGTTTCAGATTTAACTTAAAAAAAGGTGTGTAACATGTACTAAGTGTAAAACTTCATTTTGTTACAGACGGCCAAAGCTACATATGCATTCATGGGAGTTGTAATTTTATACTTAACTCTTAAACCCAAGTCAAAGAAGTAATATTACGATCTTATCATGTCCTGTTGTTTTTAGTGAGTATTGCAGCCTTGCGGAGAAGTACAATAAGGACAGTGTTGTAAATTATTTAGTCAATAAATCATGTAAAGAACAGTTAGATATTTTATTTATCATTCATGTTAATATATTAATAATCATCAACATAAAATCATATTGATTTGTATAAAATTATAGATATCAGCACTTTATTGAAGGATTAAATTTTATTTGAATAAGTAGGTATGTGGTTTCATTGATTTCTGTGTAGCTTTTAATCCTTTGTCACATAAAGTCCACTGAATCAGACTGTCTACTGTATCAAAATGTCCTCGGTATCAAAAGGGACAAGGGTATCATAAGATCTACCATCTGATCTAATAATGAAACCAAATACAATGGTTTTTTATTAGTTCTAAAGTTTTAACAACATTATGTACACTTAATTTAGGCGTATAATACGTGTGTACGTCATGTAATTTCGCCAGTCGATACTTATAGATGTCGTTACTTTCGGTATAATCCGCATAAGAGTTGTTTTAGTTTTTATTATCCCGCAACGTATATCACTAACCTCCTTTCTAAGGAGAGGCCTATGTCCAGCAGTGGACTATTAAAGGCTGTTGATGTGATGTGATGATGTGTAAATCACTATTTTCTGAAATCATAAAATGACTTTTGGAAATAAAATGTTGCCATTATTTTTTTTATATATTGAGTTGGTAGTTATTTTGTATGATTAAATTGATAAATGTAGACTTATATTAAAATTGTTGAAAACTTTAAAAAAATTTAGCACTTTAAAACACACGATTCTAAGAAATCCTAACTTAGTGCCTGTATCATTTCATTATTGCCATTGTTTTGGTACTTTTCATCAGCGTTAATGCAGCAACATTTGCAACAGCTGTTGTTATGAATGGATTCCGAGGCGGGAATTTGAACTGAAAGGGCGGAAGATTTTAAGCAGTTCAAATTCCCGCCTAGAATCTCAAAAATTAAGACTTGGCTTAAAGGTCTTGTTACCAGGCCATGAAAATACAAATAAAAAAAAATTGTTATGAATGTTGTCCGTCAACATGACATTCATACCGGCATTTTTTTGGAAATAGAAAATATAAATAATTTATATATATTTTTTTTTTTAACTAATAACAATTATTCTCAGTGCCCCGAGCACGAACAACTTGCGAAAAAGTATTCGTATCGTCTTCGACAAAATTTGTATGACATTTGTGCAGCGCCCCTATCGTGCGTAAAAGTAACTAATTTTGGCAGCACGAACGTTTCGAATTTACTTTCGTATCGTCAAGCATTCGATACGTTACACTTTATAAAGAAAATTGGCACCACGAACGAAATTTTGACGTACGTTCGAAGGCTGGCTATCGAGCTTAGTCGAATGTTTATTCATCTAAGATTTGGCCGTGAGAAAAGTTTCGAAACAATCAATTTCTTTTAAAACTATTATTTTCAAGTATTAATGGTTAATTTTTTGTAGAGATAAAATGCAAAGACCACCGCTTTAGTCCTATGTATGTTCTTGTCGCAAGTTGAATTGAAAATAAGGGTATTCAACAACTAGATTCGAGGTTAGCAAATCTTGTTTTATCTATAAAGTGTAAACTAAATATTTGTCAGAAACATTTGAAGAAACTTCTACTATATTAATAAAATGTGGTATACTAAGTATGTACTTATATATATATATATATATTAATCTAATTAAATAAAAGATAAAAGTGAAGAAAAATCTGTCTGTTTTTAATATAAAATAATAGGTTTTTTTCATGCTCACACGGTTTTTTGCAATAGATATCCTTGTCTAGAAACCAGTCTAAATATTTTTTGTCTGTCTGTTTGTTCGGGTAATGACAACGAATTTCAAAATATGTATATCGCTTGAAGCTAAGAAGTAGTTTGACTAAACCAACGAAATAACTAAAAATGGTTATTTCGTTGCGTTGTATGCCGTGGAAGTGGGTGCGAGGGGTATACCCGAGGGTTAAATCCCTCTATAACCTGTTTAAAGACCTTGGATTGCTTCATTAAGCTTTTTCCTTGAACAAATTTCCAAAGCGGCATTGCTAGGCTCGTACCAAATTTGGTTAGATAGAGGGGGTTCCACAGCAGACAGGGATGAAAGGCATATAGTAAAAAATGAGCTAGTATGAATATTTTTTATTTACCATAATTTTAAAATGAATTTTACAGAGTTGCTTTTTATACATTACATACATACATTTTATTTACAGAGAACATTATTTACTTTGAAAAAAATTATATGTCTGGTTAATAATTTTAATTTTATTTCACACGATTACGATTCAATTAACGGTTAAAATATCATTGCTTTTATGAGTTTTTTTTTCTGGAGGCTTCCACTCCTCTGCCACTGCGGTGACCGGAGAAGACTGAGAATGAACCTCAGATGCTGGTAAAGGAGGAGTCACAGTCGGTTGGCTGCTTGAGTCCGCAGTATTCCAATCTACAACAAAATATTACAACATTTATTACTTATATAATAACGAATATAATATTTTCAGACGTTTGACACACAACACCATATACATAGTTTCAAACTAAGCAGCACTTGTACTATGAAACCTAGATTGACTGACATGAAACATTAGTTGTCCCTGGTATGTTTGTCTGTGGTAGTGTTTTTAATTTCTTTTCATTTCATTTTTCATTTATAAAGTGACAGATGTTATCTATATTTACAATTGAAATTTTTTTAAAGTCAAGTAGCAGTGTCAGTCTCATAACAACGAGAAATTGAATTATAAATATGAAATTTATCATATTCTCAAACATCACATCGTTATTTTACATTATAGTACATTGAGTATTGCAAATAGTAAAATTGAATAAACTCACCTTTCAAGAAATTACACCATAGCCACGTATTGTAAATGGCTTGTTGGCACTGACTTTTTTGATGTTGGGATTTTTGGCGCAGAGGATGATGAAACACGTCTTCGTCTGTGCTGTTCAACAGTTCGATTTATTGTGGCACGACTTACTGTAATTTATTTTAAAGAAATCTTTATCAGTTTCTTTTCACATAAGACAACGGTCTAGTGGTATACGACTTAGCTCTTATTGGAAGCTTAGATTTTTGTCACAGCCAACACGACGTAATAATACAAATAATATTTTCTATAAAATGCTTCTTAAAGTTTCAAGGTTTACAAATAATCTTAAACTTGGAGATGAATTTACAATAAAAATAATAAACAATTTATTGACATAGCGTCGTATCTATGTCAATAAATTGTCAAGTGGAGACGTGTTATTCAGAAACCAAAAAATAGGTCATAATAATTATTTTAATTCTCCAAAATATACTACATTTTAAAATCTCCATTACCTCATATAAGATTTATTATGTGTTTATATAAGTCTATTTTGTTTTAATTGTCAATAAATAGGTAGTTTAACCGAAAGTAATAAAAAGTTCACTATTTCATTATGTTTTCGAACGTATAGTTCATTCAATAAGATGTTGAATTCTTTCTTAAGTGCTCATCCTTATTTACGTTAGGATGACGTCACTAACGTAATCGTATCGAGCTCTCGATACCTTAACGTTAGTGCTTCGTGCTACCGCCTATCGTGAAACTCCGTTAACGTATCGAAGACTCGATACGTTTACGATACGCATTCGAAAAATTTTCGTGCTCGAGGCACTGATATTCTCTTATACCTATTAATGCGTGAGTTGAGCCTAGGTTCTTCTGATCTTTGTTGAGGTTATCCTTGTGTGTTGTTTTCGAGTAGTATTGAGGTAGAGACACTTACTTTAACGCTTTATTTTGGTGTTGCAATGTCTGTTAAACGTTGTTGTCTTAAAAAGAAGAAAATAAACGTTTTTTTTTATACATTGTTTTATTTTACAAAGTTCTAATTGCATAGGTACATTTGTACATAAAATAAACAATTACCTATATTATAGATATGTAGGTATAAATATATCCTTTCAAATGTTGAGTAAGAGAAAAGTTGTTGCTCGCTCCTAACAGATGGCGTTGTTTTGTAATTTCCTCCAAAAGTGATTGAGATATACCTCTATTTCAGTATATTAAAATTCAGTAGGTATATTACAATGTACTCTGTGTTCTCAGCCTAATTTGAATAAATAACTTTTGATTTTGATTTTTGATTTGTGACATCCAGCAATAGAAACCTTGGCCAGCCAATTACATACATTTGAAAACACGAGGCGTACTTACATTTTTGCGTACGAAATATAAAAACACTGATAAAGTAAATAAAAATACATATTACACAAAAACGTAACACTAATAAAACAACAAGTAATGTATAGATAGACTAATGAACATAAATACCCAAAACATAAAAAGTAAACAACTAAGCTTTTACGTTCATATTAATTTAGTGTTCAACGCGACTCCAAACCCCTCGTATAGTAAAATTCGAAGAATCAAAATAAACGAAACAAAACGACGTAGTTCTCAAGGCCATAACGGGAAAAAGGACTTTATTTGTTGCCTCTTAAGGTTGATTTGACACTAAATGTTGTTTTACTTATGTCTTTTCATTGGTAAGAGACAAGAGTAATTTATTGCTTAGATCGTTTTATGTGACGAATGATCGTAAGTATTAGATAATATTTTAAAGGCTTGTGACTTTATTACTAGGTATCCTGATTGTAATTAGTTTGAACTTAAAACTGTTATAACTTTTCTCTCCGTTATAAGTATATATTCACGCGGACAGCATTTAGCTTTGATCTTGTACGTGACCCTTTATGTAGTTGCTATTGTTGATCGAAGATTATAAACTATTTTGGATGTTTCAGTCTACAAAGAATGCAAATCGTACTTGACAATATGCCTTTTTTAGTCGACGACTATCGATTACAAAGTAAATTTTGCAGGATACAATTTGCATATATTTAAATTATACTGACATTTGTGCACACTATATAATTCAGTATAAAAATGTAATCCTATTCGTGAAATGCTAGCACCAAAAGCCTACAGATTAATAATTACTAGCAAGCAACTATTTAGTAAACATCTATTCAAATATAATAGTGAATAAATAATGAGATTAGAGATTTTAACTTATTTTTGACCTACATCACTAAACCTTATCCAACAGACTATGTTACGGAAGCTTTTAAAACGTTGCAGTGTAAAAATAGTTTCAACTCACAGATCAGTCCCTTATAATTTCATGATAAAGTATATAGCATTAAAACTTGAAATTGGCTCGTATTGGTAAAACGGCATGATTAATTAAATAAAGGCTCTGCTTGTTTAAGGTATCTATTGGGAGTGATCTGTGTTTTTAATATACCGTCTTTACATGAGAATTGGTACTATTCAACTAATTTTATTCTGAAATTTCTTTTAAAATGACCATCTTCAATTTTAGAGAGTAATTCATTTACCAGGCTCCAATTATATCAAACAGTCATACTTTAAAATTCAAAATGTAACCTTTTTTAAATATATAACAAAGCACAATAATAATCTTAATTATTAAAATCAATGCCTCTCTAAAGTAAATTCGTAGATATAGTACTTTAATAGTTCTATGAGGAAAGTTGCCAATTACTATGTGATTAGTGTTGCTATATACTATTATTTTGGTGCTCTCAAATACGAGAGTTAATATTCAATTCTAATAAATATGCATTCAAAACTAAATAGCGACATTTTCTACATCGGATTGTAGCCGTATAAATAAATTTATAAATAATATCATTTCGGCGTCTAACATAATACTCCAGCAAGAATGACTAGCATTAGTAATGTTTGATCAGTGAACATCTCTCACATACGTTATCCAATACAACCGTTCGTACGTCCCCTCGCTTTTATTCTATTTAAAAACATCACAGTCGCCTTCAATCAGTCATAATTTGGGTCTTAATAATACACGAACCCTATGATCGTTTAATAAGCTTTGATTGTTTCATAAAATTTTGATAAAAGGCGGCCAGGCGTTTTAATAACATTACACATATATGCAATATATATTAAAAAAAACTATGAATTCTGAAGTTGTAACGACGCGTCTCTTTGGGAGCTTCGTATGGTTCAATAAAATTGTTAAGTTTTTATTAGACTAAATACGGTGTTTAATACACTGAGCCACGTATTGAATGTGTGTGTGTGTTATTATAGAAATACCATAATAACATCTTTGTAATTTTATGGTGAAGGTTTTACTTTATTAGCAATAATATAACATGAAATATGCATCCACAAATGTTGCTGATTTAACTAGCTTTGTAGTTTTTATTGTTATAAGAAATCTTTTAATAGATAGAAGTTATAGGTAGGTGTATTAATTATTACTAATAAACATTCAAATCAGTTCTTAACTCAGTAAAAATGTGCCGAAAACGAATTGGCACATTCGCGAAATCTACCGGATGGAACATTATTTATTCTGAACTAGTTATATTTGGTACATATTGAGTTATAACATTACATATTATTTACAAATATTTAAGGTAGTCTAACCGGCAACACTTAGGAATGCAGACTAACATTCGTGATATTACACAGAGTATTACAATACATTACAAAATAAAATGGAATGTGGCAGTTTTGCACATCGTTGTATACAATATTCGTAGTAAACACATTCACACGTACATAACAATTCATGTCGCTCGTCAGCGTCAACCTAAGCTATGGATGGAATGCTGTAATTGAAAAATCGCGTCACGTGTATAACGTTAACTTATATTGCTTGTACAATATAAGGAAGTCTAAATTTTAGAGTACAAAATTGTTATTTCGGTCAAATATCATGATTGCGACGTGTATAAAGTCGTTTGCAGAGTATTCGAAACATCAATATCAAATGAAGCTTTATCTCTCGTCACGAGATTTGAGTGCAGTACGCACACAAGCAGTGCTTGTGAGTATGAGAGGTAAGGAGCACTATCTTATAAGAAAAATGTATAGGTGGCCACCGTAACAAACAGTCTAAAAATAAAATATAAATAAGAAAACAACGATAAAATACACATACATAAGAAAACATTCCACTTTTTAATTCCATTTTCCCACCATTCATCTTTATATATATATCTAATATAGTTGCCAAAAACAAAATCAATTAGTTTAAATCCGCGCATTTCTGCCATTCTGGCCGGTTCCTGACTTCAGTTGGACACTTTTTGGTTTTCCCCTTACAAGATGGTGCTCCTTACCGCTACTCTTCATACTAGAGAGGTATAAACCTCATAATATATATAGAAAGCGGGTAGTAAACCTATAGCCAAGTGGGTGCTCTTGTCAAGGAGTAGAGAGAGGGTGGGGGCTGAACTGCAGCGGGGGCGGGCGAGACTTCAGTTTCTGAGTCAGACTCCTCAGAGGACACGCGTTCGGCTGCGCTCAATGCTACCCGGGCATATTCGTCAGTATCTATGCTCTTGCAGAAGTGAATTGCATACCTGGAAGATAACATCATTTATTTTTATTATTTAGTATGTAGTAAGTAATGATTAAAACTATAGTATTGAAACTGTACTACTATGAAAAGTTTTTAATGAAAAGTATACTATTATATTTTAATAGTTAAACAGCCGTGCCTGATTATTATTTAATATTAATAGACTTCGACACAAATAAAATTAGCATGTAATGCCTGAACTAATGCCTATAGTAGGACTCGAAATTTATTTTAGATATATTCAATAAGTAGACAAACAGAGCTAATTTATTGAAGATATTTCTAACCAAGAATTTCAAGATTGACTCTTCTCTAAGTAGATTAGGTTCTGATTTGAACAACATTAGCCTATAGAAACATTATTAAATGTACCTAAGTTTTTCTCGTAAAACAGACTTGCACGAATATCTTGGCATCTTGAGAAGGAAGAAGCAAGTATAGCTTTCTGGCAAGAAGTGGTCCGGCGGCTGGTACTTGTCTAACACCTGAAACATTACCAATTTATTAATAAACAAATAATAATAAACAAAAAATATTTGACATCTGACACACAACGCCATCTAGTTTCAAACTTAGCAGAGCTTGTATTATGACTTTCTTTCTGATAATGATAACCTAGACAAACCAGCCAGGTGCAACTAATAGTAACACACCTTACACCTTTAATATTTACTTTTTCTAATAAAAATAATCCATCGTTTTAAATTCTATTAGCAATGTCATAACAAATACCTGCAGCACAAAATCTCTTTGGCGGGGATCTTGCGGTGCGCGGGGCAGTCGAGTCCTTCCCCACACGAAACGTAGGAACAAAGCGCGCTCACTGCCTGATAGCTCCTCCATTACCTCCCAGAACCATTGGACAAGAGGAGCATTCGGTTCGACACCTGAAAACAATCCTCGATAAAATAACCTTCCTACTCTTACACATATAATTCGTCTAGTTTCTTATGTAGAACCCGATATTCTATTACTGTTTCTTCAGATCAAAGTCATAGTATATAAAACATTTTTGTGAATTGCCTAATTTACCTACAAGACTAATTTCAGTGTTAACAGATTTAACCTTACAGTATCTGTGTCATACCCGTACAGTGCAGTGCAAGGTCTGCAATGCAATCTATTAATGCAGCGCCTGACACCGACGTGGAACATGCTCTTTACAATCCAAAATTAGTCGGGCAATACACAAGTGAGTTTTTCTTTCAAATTATTGAAATAATACATAATTAGATCATGAAAACACATGTGACTAAACACATGGTTCAAGGTCTATCAAGCCAAGTCAATAGTCCACCTTTACTAATTCAAAAGTTATTCTAGACTAGCCGCCCCGGCAACTTAGCCTGTGTCGCTCAAAAGGAATAAATTTCCCCTGTTTTTACAATATGTTTCTTTCCACAGGAGGGGTCCAAGAACAGAACCCTGTGGAACACCGCACGACATGGGCCGACACCTCAGATTATCATCTCGGTCCTCGTACACGACGGTACGCTCCTCTAAATAATCTGCCACTAGCCGCCTCAGGTACTTTGACACCCCATGATAGTGGAGTGCTTCCCTGATGTAGCTGAATGGCAGACTATTGAATGCGTTAGCGATATCCAATAACACCTCCAACAGCACGCCGCCAAACACCAAACCAACAAACCCTATACTAACCCGTCTAGCCAGCGTGGTATAGTGGTATAGTGATGATGATGTATTGATGAACGTGATGTTACATAGCCTTCCTCAATAAATGACCTATTGAACATTAAAAGTTTTTTTTTTAATTTGAACCACCTGAAAGATTAGCGCGTTCAATCAAACAAACAAGCAAAACTCCTCATTTTTATATTATTAGTATAGATAACTTGATGTGGCAACGAATGGAGTTTAATATTTTGTATGTAGAACAAACTGACCTTTATAAGTGGCAGAAGCTCTAAGCGTATGTACAGGTATATCGGGCGATCCACACACAAGCGTTTCGATCTCGGCTGCGCTGAACAACGCCAGTAGTGGTGCGGGAATCACACGCGACATACCATCACGAACTGCTCGCACTTGTTCATCGAACTCGTGTAGTCTGCGAAGAGACATAGATTCAAGGGTAACAAATTATCCTAATATATTTCTTTTAGCTTAAGTAGATAAAAAGTAGCAAAAGAGAGCCGAAAATTTTATTTAATTATTTGTATCATTTTATTTAAAACTGTCAGGTAATCATCAAATTTAAAAACTGCTGTTTCTTTAATTCTTGCCGCTTAAAAAAGTAAAAACATGAGTTACATATAAAACACTACATAATTTAAGCATTCATAATATCAGTGGGTATGGAGAATTTCATTAGCGTCCACAACATGATACCTCAATACGTTTTACCTCGGCCTTACAGAAAACCTGTCTTAAGATTACGTCATGTAACCCCCCCTTTCCTCTTCCTTAATCTTGGGGGTGTATTCAAAAGGGCGGCGATGCAGTTGTGAGTCTGAAGTTGTCGATTTCCATGGGATGTTCATGAGCGGCAGTAATCACTCAGCATCAACTAACTAGTACGCTTGTTTGCCGCCTATTCCATTAAAAAAATTGCCTGAAGGAATTTGTATGAGGGATGTATGAATGAGTACTTTACCTGTAGTGTAAGGCCAACTGCACGTATTCATCTTTATTATCAGGGGTCACACGTTTGTGTCGTGTTGAAAGAGGCACCTCGTGTCCCGCCGCAGACGGAATAGAGAATGGAAGCTCCAGATTTTGTAGTTCCTACACATATTATGTATATTTCAAATGTATGAAAAGACTTACAACAATAATTCAATATGTTTGTTCATGTTTCGGATGCCTGGTATACATAGTCCGAATGCATGTAGATAATGCAACTAATATTTTCGTCTGTTGATTTTTAAACATGTGTCGCACCTACCGAGTATCAAATAAAATTTAATTAGCTATGGACTGCAATTGTATATGTCTCGGTGTATAAAGCGCTTGGTGTAAATAAAAGCGTGATTAAACAGATTATTCTGTTTCGTTTGACTTTACCTGATTTAATATAAAACGTGGTTACACAAAAGTAACAGGTTGAAATCATGTTTTCTTAATGTTTAGGATGATTCACGGAAAAGTTTTGCTAGACTACGTTTGTGTATATCCTTATTTTACATCCTTATGCGCTCATGTACAGCGGCTGACTTAATGCCCTGTGCATTCTTTACCAGCCAACCTTTAGGTGGTGTAGAAATCTTGTAAGGTAGGTGCACCGAGGTTACAATCAATAAAAATATAAAACTAAACTAAACTTAGGTACAATTTCACATATATATAAATAAATGTACATATTCTTTATGTTCGTACACTGTGAAAGCTTTAATTGGTTTAAAAAATTACCTTATGTACGTTGATACGAGTATTCTTTTGTCTCTCGAATTTTATCTAAAATCATCTTACCTTATTACTAGTCGTCATGTCCCGAATACACAACAGTGCTGGCAAGAAATCCTTGTCGACCTCTGCCAAGTCTTGTGGCCTCAGTGGCTGTCCGGCTAACTGTCGCCAGACACCTTCAGCAAGAGAGAGTGAGAGGGGAGATCCCGTACGAATTGCGATCCCCATTAGTACACCTGGTTAAGCAAATCAGTGTTATTGACTTTCTAAGTTCGCTATAGATAGATATTTTACTGTGTATTTGTTATTAATTCATAGCTTAAGAAACATCATTTTAGTATAACCTTTCTCTTGACAGTATATGTCAATTAACCAATTTTTCTCACTATTGGCCACAAGATATTTAATATCAAACGAATTACTTATTACGTGATCGCGTTAAGACCCAAAAAAATATCAGTTAATGTGGAATATTGCGTTACCAAGAAATCTGAAGCAGTTTAGGTGAAGCGGCGTGTTGGCAGTAGGGTTGAGCAAGAACGCGTCTCGCGAGGCCCCTGCGTCTCCGCGGCCGTTGGGAGTCGCCATCAGTAGCGGGAGTGACCCGTTCTGCAGTTCCTCACACATCTCTGCTATACTCTCGCTATAGCCACCGCCGCAGTCATCTACACTTTCACCTGAACATGAAGTACATTACTGAAGTTAATTCTGCATCTTATCTTGTCCGATTGGACAAGATTTGATTGATTGAAAATATAAATAGGGAAATGGGAAGGAAAATGATGATGGTAGTAGGTGGTCTCATAAGGCAAATACTGACCCACAAACTTGACCTTCCAGACGCGGTGCGGCAGGGCGAGCGCGTCCTGCGTGAGCGCGGGCAGGCGCGCCACCATCTGTCCGAACACGGAGCGCATGCCGGCCGGGCCCGCCAGCCCCGCGCCGCCGCGCCTCGCCCGCCGCGCCCCCACGCGCGACAGCTCCACCACCGGCCCGTGCTGCCGCTCGCGGACCATCGTCGTCATTATTGCCTACGTGGAAACCGTGCTTTTAGATCGACGTAAGAGTATCATCACTGTATTCTATTCTCTTAAGGTTGTTCGGAAGACATCGCTACTTAATAAGGCCGTCCATTGTGCATTTTGTTTATATTTCTGCATATTTGATTCCTTTTTTCCTTTGGTGTACAATAAAGAATAAAATTATCCAATAGTACAAAAGAGGCATTTAAGCTTTTTGAACTAATTTCTAAGTAAATTGTTGGGGTTATCACGTCGTTAACGGTACCCCGGTATTTGTGGTTGTAGGTAAATAGTTCACACCAAACCAGTTTAAGACAGAGTTAATTTTTATTAATGAATTAAAGTTAGGCTATGTTCAGTAATCTGAGTCGTACGTTATGTTATGAAATACTGATACTAGCACGCGTCACAGAGCTGTTATTACGACTGAATAAATTAATTAAGTACTACTATATAAAAGAAACTAAAATAGCTGTATGAGCATTATTGGCTCGTACATACATAATTCAATATGTTCACGCTTTGGGTAATTTTGGTATATCATCTTTATAGCCAGTGTCGATCGTAACGTTAATATTAATGCTAAATATATATATGAATAATAAAAAAAAAACATATAAACACTCACGCCTACATCGCATATATAATCTCACCTTTCTAAATGCAGCTTCCTTTACACTGTAGAACAACAATGTCCTCAAGTGATCAAGTGGTCCATCCAGAATCAATAACGGTAAGTTCGGACACACTAGCTCAGAAAACTGATGTAGTAAAACCTGAAATAATAACACACTATTACGTTCACGCAAATGTATAAAATGTAAAAACATTTATATATTATTATATTTATTATCAGTAGCCTTTAGGAGATCCTGCGTTCAGATGACCGGTTTTGACGAGTCCAACACTGGATTCCGTAATGTAGTAGCACAACATTTTTTACTTTTTAGTTTGATTCGCTATTAAAGCGTGTTTCTTTAGTTATTTTAAACAATAATTTGTTTAATGGGTAATGAACATACCAATCTGTTGCAAATAAGCTGTGGTGTCAAGTCCCTTAGTAAATGACACTCGAGCGGTGGCGGAGGCGGGGGTCGCGGCGCTTGCGGTGCTTCTACACAAAGAGCAACTGTATGGGCGCTGCCACACGCCACTTTGGTCACACGTTTACCCTGTAAAACGACATGAAATACACTACTAACGTTTTATGTAAAATATAAAGTGCTTGCGACTTCGCCGGCGTTTTAATATTCTATGAATAAAAATAAAGCCTATTTTATTAGTGGTAGAACGTATCTAAAAAGAAGACACTAAAAATGGTTTAATAATTTCAGAGTTTATAGAATATAAACAATTTTGACGGTATAAAGGGAACACGAGGAGTCAGGCACACAAGTACACGTGCAACTAAAATGAGGAGATTTTTTATATTTGCTAGTATTTATCTGGAAATATTTAGTTAACATGTACAATTTACCTGTAACGCCATCAGCAGTCTGGGCCTCTGTGCAGCGAGGGTAGTCCCATCACCAAGTTGTCCCTCGTCGTTGTCACCCCAAGTGTAAACTTCACCGTTGTCCGTACACGCCACGCAGTGGAGGCTACCTAATGGTTTAAATAAACTACCTAATAGTTACATATATATACATACATTTTGCATTGTTACAAATTGTCTATAAGAATTAAATCTAACCAATTTGAGTTCAATCAAACAACACAAAAATACACGGTGATATTTGTATTTTTAAAATGAATCTAATGACATCATACAACAATTTAATTCAGGCAGTTAGTCGGTAGGGAGATAAAACATTCATAAACTTATTAAACCATATAAATATTAAACAGTAGAACATTTGTAACAAAACACTAGATTCAGATCATTATGGTGAGTTTATATTGTTTTTGTATTATAGATTTTTCAGTCACAAATTATGACTTGATGATGATTAAATTGATCATTTTACAAATTGCCCAAAAAACTATGTAAATAATCAAGTGATATTCAAACATTTAATGTCATCAGTTGTTTTGCATAAGCAGAATGTTAAAGGCTTAGAGCGCTCATTTGGCACACGTACTACAAAGTACGAAGACTTGGCGAGACTGCATTGCATTGGTAGTCGCACATTGCCTAAGACGGATATCCGCACCGTGGTAAACATTCACAGAAAGACATTCGTATAAACTTTTTGTTATATGGCTTAACAAAAAGTTTATACAAATGTCTCGCCCTCGCGGACGAACTTCTAACTTAACACTTTAGAATAATCATTCTAAAGTGTTAAGTTAGAAGTTCCGTCCGTCCGTAGAAAATAACGACGAGACAATCGTCTCGTCGTTATTTTCTAATTAAAATTAACAATTACTAACCTGTTGCAATAGAAACGATAGTTTTCCCTTGCATTCCGGTAACTCTCATGGGACGCCTAACGTGTTCGTAACTGCCATGGCCGAGTCTATGGTAGTCACCTTTACCCCTACACACGAAAATAGAAAGTTTATATTAGATAAATACATGTATGTTTTATTTGTTTAATGAATCAGGACAGGAATCAATACAAAAACCCTTAGGATTTGTATATTTAATGTCTAATTACGACAGTATATAAAATACTAGAAGTTAAGGTTTTGATGACGCAATTGAAAGTATACGGACTCGCGCACGAAGGGTACACCATCATCTATAAAAACGGCAAAAAAAAATCATGTCTGTCTTAGTAATAGGGTCCCATTTTACCCTTTGGGTACGAAGCCCTAAAAATCAAGTAGGCTAGAAATGCTGTATGTACATCTGTATATTAGGTATGATGTATTTGTATGTACAGATCATATAAAAAATATGAAATTTATAGTAAAGTTAATAGAGCAAAAGAATAAAAAATCTTACCAAGTATAAACGCTGCCGCATTGACATAACGCGACAGAGAATTGCGAGCCACATTCAACCTTTATGACTCGTAATCCCTTTAAACAGTCTATCCTCATTGGCAACTTGCAGCCCTCTGAGCCACCTCGACCTGGAAAACAGAATATTTTAGAAGTGTTTATAAATAACTAACATAAAAAACGAAAAAAAAAAAACAAAATAAAGGCTGTTTTCAACGTCAACTTTAGTTAAAAGGGGAATATTATTTACATAATCACACTTTAATTGTTAAAGAGAACACTTTATTAAAAAACATGAATCGTTGTTAGATTAAACGTTAATAATATTTTTATATTATACAACGATATGTTTAAATAAAGAGTAAAAATAGTAAAAAAAGACAGTAATAGTGTACCCAGTTTCCCGTAGTCTCCGTCTCCCCAGGACCACACATTGTCGTCATCAGTGATGCACAAAGTTTGCGCATCTCCGGACCCACAAGCGACATCTATCACTCGATATGATGACAAAGCGTCAACCTACGAATATATTTATTACATTTTCAAAACGTCTTCATAAACTTTCAAACAAACTAAAACATAAGCGTCATCGTTAATGTAACACACATCAACTTTGCTAATTCACAAATAACTTTCAAATTAGGAACGACCACTCTGATACTAGTAATATTTATATTTAAATTTCAGTTTTTTTTTACATTATGTATCGAACTCTAATTATATACTACTATAAGAACTATAATTGATGACATAAAATGTCATTAGTGTTCAAGTTTCGTTTTGGCAACACCAGCTGATCATTCATATAATCTGTCAGGATTTCTGGCGCAATTAACATAAATTCTACTATCCCAAGGTCCAAACAATATGCAGAATTATGATTGATATTAGTAGATTTGAAAACGCTTGACCATAACACTCTCTGAATTCTTAAAATAATTTATCTTGAAATAAATTGTCTGTTGCGCATAGATGGTATAGACTTTCACATACCATTACCTACATTATCCTCGATAATCCTAAATGGTCAGCCTTCCTCGATATACATGCCTCAGTACAAGTGTATACTATGAGATTGGAAGATGACTTATAAATGGATTAGGAGTAAGTTGCATTATAGACAATGATTAGCGATTCACCTGTTAAATGTTTTTAGCACGATAATTTGTTATGTTATTTACCAGTTTTGGCACCAGCTGATCTTCAGAATCACCGTGTCCTAGCCGCCCGTATCGGCCTTTGCCCCATGTATATATACGGCCACGAGCGGTTAAGCATGCTGAATGAGCACCACCACATGCTATTGCCACTATCTCCAGTCCCGATAGTGCAGTTATCAATTTCGGTCTATCATAGCTCCTGCAGAAAACGATTTTTTTTTCACTAGTTGTGATTATTGAATCTAATACTATTGTAATACGTAAACCTTAAATGTGCATCGTTTGATTAATTACTATTAATTGACCAGTTCCATTGCAAGACACTGAAAACTTAGCTCCAACTTCTCGACAACCCACAGTTGTACCATACCTGTAACTGACAGCTATGCTTAATCTTCTGATGCTACTTCTAAGTCAACACAGTAAAAATATTTTTACTGCCATTGACGAAAAGGCAATACTTTCACGCCTATCTATTCTTTCAATTCAGTCTCAAATCTATACTTAAATACGTATACATACATATATACACTTGTGCCTTTTCTCCCCGAAGAGGAGTTTTAAACGCCCATATGTGTACGTATACTTCTAACTAATTAAATCTATCAGATACTTACACTCTATTGCCATGTCCTAATTTTCCGTCTTCACCCTCTCCCCAACTGTAAACATCGCCATCCACCGAAAGCGCTAAACAGTGTTTGCCTCCTGAATTACAAGCGACCTACAAACAACATCACGTAATTATCTAATCTAATATTTATAATAAACAGCTTAAGTTCATTACAAGTAATTCAATCACCTTTGTTATAAAAACATGTTGTATGGACGCCAGAAGAGTTGGCTGTGACACAGAATCAATACCGCCAATACCCAAACGGCCACCTGCTCCATATCCTGTATAATAGTACCAATTTGAGATTATTCCTACGGTTGCCCGACCAGCATATAAAAGATACCTGATGGTAAACAGTTACAACACCTAATTTTCCCATTTATAATCAAATAATTTATACTAGTGCAAAAAATAAAACAAGTAAAGTACAGAAGAAGGTACAAAGACATAGAATTAGAAAGTATACCAAATATAACCACGGCCGTAGTCCTCGAGAAGAGATTACTACACAGTTATTAAATACAATAATATGCAAGTACTATAATGTAATAGAATACATAATATATAACAGTAGTAGTAAAGAAGTTCCTCTCAACAATGTAAACAACAAATAATTCTTCGTAGAAGCAAAAATCTTAAATCTTTTATTGCAAATTAATTTTAGAACATACCTGTCGCATACACCTTGCCGTCAGGTGTGACTGCAAATAGCGTTTGTTCTCCCCCCACTAGTTGCACAGGGTTGAGAGCGGCGAGAGCGTGGCAGGGCGTTGGCGTCCGAACCTTAGCGCCTTCCACTCCGCCCAACTGACCGCGGTGATTGTGGCCCCAGCCGTATACCGCGCAACCGCGAGATCCTCCACTCCACCAACCGCACCAGTCCTCGGGCCGCCTGGTGGTTAAATTATTTTTTTCTCTTTAAAACGAATTATTTTTGAAGAGCACGAGGCAATGCTTACTTAGCGTTATTTCATGAAAGGTCTCTGTCATGATATCAGTAGGAATAAAAAAAAGCAGATTCCAATGTGTTTCTTAAGAAAGGATTTTTATTTTTATTTTACTGTACGGTATCCCAAAGAAAAGATATACAAATCAACATTAAAAAAACCCGATAAGAATTTATCTGAACTCTATAGTCAAATTGCTTGTTTTTTGGATTGAAACACACTATAATTCTACAATTTTTGTTACAGTCACTTACTTATTAACCCAATGTAATAACTGCTCATCGTGCTGCCTTGTAAACTTAGTATTATCTTCCCAAGGGTAATGCGCTTTACTGGTCGCTTCATCACCGTTGCACACGCCCAAATCCGCCAGTCGTTTCCTCACGTCGGATAAGAATGGCATAGGCAAAGCTATCCGACGTATGAGCGCATCGGCCGTCCGCATACAGAGACAGTAGCGCTTGAACCACGCCCAACGCGCTGCTTCAGGGCCATTGCATACGCGAGAGTCCATTCGAAGACCACAAGCCAGCCAAGCTAGTTCCTGTTTGTAAAAAAAAAGATTTTTGGAACTAAATACTTTTATTTTGTTTTGTTTTATTGACTGATAGAAAATCCAAACTTTAGCCTTTTTACATATTTTATTAGTTTCCACGTTCAATTAAGCAAAAAATTACCTCATATAAACGCACTGAAAAATATAATACTGAAATCATACGAAGGACGATTCTGACAAACTTATAACAAGTCCTAATTATATTATCAAGCTAAAATCCTGGGTGTTATTTTTTTGTTAAGTTTTTAGGCCTTAATTTCAATGGGATTCTTATTCATGTAAAAACTTATTAGAAATTACAAAGTTCCTTTATTTTCAAAATTGTCATAAGAGATTTCACGCGCCATTGAGCTGACCTTAAGATAATGCGTGTGCATTAGGTGTGTGGGCGTACGCAGTGCGGGTTCTTCATGTTCGTACTGCGCGTGAAGCAGCTGTGGTAGATGCTGCAGTGCTGGTGGGGTGCCAGTGCTGGGGTCGTTGGATCCCACGCCCCCACACCCACTCCTACCGCAAACTACACCGCGCAGTCGGCGGACGCACCAAACTCGAGCCCGCCAGGCTGATAAAGGTATATGAAATATAGAATTTATAAATCTTTGTAGGCATCCTTCTTGTTAATGGCGATATTGTCAATGTTAACTATGATCTAAAAACTATTTTTCAAAAAAATATCAATTTTAAAACGTAAACCTAAACACTTAATAAATTTACAAATATCATAAAAATGCTGAATTGGTCAATTGATTGCGACTTTATATTTAGACAACATTCTACAGAATAATAAAAATATTAGTTCTCTTACATGCTCGTGTCGTCAACCCTCAATGTTTTAAACAGGCACTACCTACAACGATCAATAAGAAGGACAAGGTCAAGACTAGAAGTCTTGATGGAGAGGCCATCAGCCAAAGGAGACCTTAAATATCTACATGTGAAGGAGTGTGTTAGAAATGATGTAAGTTTGCACGTGCAACGTGTCGTGCGCGCATGCATGACTATATCCAAATAAATTTCGTAAAAATGAACCTCAAAAAATATTTTCAACAACTTACAGAGTGTAGGCATCTGGGCACATATAGCCAAGGCTTGAGCTAGCCGTGGTGCTAGCTGATGGTCGGTCGATATAGCGGCAAGCAATGGACCATCTAGTAACCGCCACGCAAGCTCTACTGACGGGCACGATAGAACGTATCTGTCTGACCCAATTTCCTGTAACATTTTGATAAAAAATTATGGCATGGTGATTAGTTATGTTACAAAGAAATTTTAATTATAAATTATTTATTTAAAGAAAGGCCAGTATATTTTTTTCTATATTTAGGTTTTTTTGGGTATTACCAGTGTAAATAAATAAAAATATGACATACGGTGAGAGAGTGAGAAGGCAGTATTGGATGAGCGGTAAATCTCCAACCCCAGCCGTTGACTGAGCCATCACTTGTAAACCTCCAACGTAGTTCATCACCTGAATGAAATGAAGATAATTATACTTCAATTCTGTTAAATCTATAACTATCTCATCATCATCTCCCTACCCTTTGCCCAATTTTATTAGGGGTCGGCGCAGTATGTATGATTTTTCCATTCTACTCTGTCATTCGTCATCTCACTGTTTACTCCCTTCCTAGCCATATCCTCCCTGACGCAGTCCATCCACCTCTTCTTCGGTCTGCCTCTTCTCTTGTACCCCATACCTAAAACTTTCTTCGCCACATTTTCCTCATCCCTCCGCATGACATGTCCATACCAAGATAACCTATTACTTCTTAACTTTTCATCCAGTGGCGCGTACTTTCAGACTCCCTCGTATATACTCATTCCTAACCTTGTCCATCTGAGTCACACCACACATCCATCTCAGCATTCGCATTTCGGCTACGTTCAGGCGTCTCTCATCCGTTCTCTTAATGGGCCAACTTTCAGAACCATACAGGACGGCAGGTCTGATAATAGTTTTATAATTTTTTCCCTTCAGTGTTAAGGGGAAACTGGGGTCACAAGTTGTTCCCGTTACCTGCCGCCACTTCATCCATCCCGTATTGATTCGGTCAATCTCACCATCACATTGTAAGAGGGAGCCGATGGTACTTGAAATTGGAGCAGACTGTTATCGCTATCCCATCCAGCGAAATGGTTTCAGGACTGGAGAGACCGCCGAAATCGCAGAACATGTACTCAGTTTTGGTTCTGCTGATTTTCAAGCCAACATTCTCCAGCCTTTGCTGCCATTTTTCCAGTCTGCTCTGGACCTCAACCCCATCTTCACCGACCAACACAATGTTATCTGCAAATAGCATGCACCAAGGTGCCTCCTCCTGTATGTCCGATGTCAGAGCATCCATTATCAACAGGAAGAGGTATGGGCTCAGAGCTGATCCCTGGTGCAAGCCTACAGAGACACTGAATTGATCAGTGTTTCCCGTGACCGACCTTACATGAGTGCTAGACTCTCTGTACATAGCACGAATCAATTCTACATACTTAACAGGCACTCTTTCTTCTTTCACAGCCCACCACAAAACCTCTCGGGGTACCCTATCATATGCCTTTTCGAGATCCACAAACACTATATGCAAGTTTTTGTGCGCACTCCTGTATTTCTCACATAGTTGGCGCATTGCAAATATAGCATCTGTTTTCCCGCGTCCTGGCATAAATCCAAATTAACTTTGGGTTATCTGACTCTCATCTCTTATTCTTCTCTCAATCACTTTCTCCCAGACTTTCATAGTATGTGACATGAGCTTTATTCCTCGATAGTTGTTGCATTCCTGAACATCTCCTTTATTTTTGAAAATGGGTACGAGTTGGGTTTGACACCATTCCTTTGGGATTACCTCTTCAAGCAACAACATATTGAAGAATAGAGTCAGCCACTCATATCCGTCTTCTTTCAGTAGCTTCCAAACTTCCACTGCTATACCGTCGGGGCCAACTGCTTTTCCATTTTTATACTTCGTACTGCCAATCTAACTTCATCTATACTAATCTCGTTCACCAGTCCGACATTCACATCCACATGCTTTAGCACTCCGCTCCATTTATTCTCTTCATTCATAAGTTTTTCAAAGTAAGTTTTCCATCGCTTTTTTATATCTTCATCTTTAACCAACACTCTCCCCTCTTCATCTTTTATACATCTCACATGCTTCAGGTCTTTTGCTCTTTCTTCCCTGTTCTTTGTAATGCGGTAGAGTTCTTTTTGACCTATATATACATATATAACTATAACTATCTGTAAATACATACAAAAAAGCTCTGTCAACGTTTGTAAAACAATGTTTATCGATATAACTAAAGCTTGTCAATAACTTCAAAACTAAGTTTAAAAGAGAAAGAGAGGCCAAAAAAAATAATGAGCTCCTTTGTCTTTGCGTTAAACAGGCATAGATTACAAAATATTTATATACACAATATATATATTTCTAGAAGGGTAAGCTGTAAATTTCTATGTTTTTTCGTGTGGAAATCCCTTTGAAGGACGGAGGTCGTTCAGCGACCTCCGGTACCTGAACCGCCTGCAGTACTTTAGCCGTTACTAGGCCTGGCGAACCGGGGGAGTTCTAAACCTCTCCTGGTCCCAGTCCACCCTCGCTTTTGCGAGCAGAAGTTGCTCGCACAAGGAGGTGGCGTGGCTCCACGTCTAAATTTCTCCTAATTACATTAACATCGTATTTCATTCGGCACTCACCGTTCACTACGATTTCCTGAGCCCAGTCACTAGGTTCGCGACCGGAGCGGGTGGCGAGCACGCGGCCCGTGCTGTCTGATATCGTGAGAGGGTCATTACGGCGCTCTGTAGAACACCCTTGCTCGAATACCACACGAAGCGAAGAAGCACCGGGGATTTTTACTACGCCTGTCAAATATTTAAATACTTTTATTTCCTGATTGTCAGTTTTTTTTTCTGATTTTAACAATACATTTATTTATTTATTTTTATTTATTTATTTATCAACTTTATGCACACAAGTACAATGGCGGACTTAATGCCATAGGCATTCTCTACCAGTTTACCACTTAGGGTGGTGTGGAAATGAGTGTGGAGGTGCACTACCCTTTGGTTGAGAGTTATAAAGTGGACATAAAAGAAGTAATGATAGCAATACTGAGCAAAAAGCAATGAAATAATATATAAATACCAACGTATACATACAAGAATACATACATTCATATTCATATATATTGTGTTATATATATACACATACATATATACCATAATACATAAAGTATCATATTTGTGATGATCCCGCTACATTCCGGTCAAGAAGAGCCCGCACCTTCGCCCTAAACGAATTACGACTGGTCGCCATTCTGATATCCTGGGGAAGAGCATTCCATAGAAGTACAGATTGAGTGAGGAAGGAAGAATGAACACACGCAGAAGTGTGGGCAGGGCATAAGAGTAGAAGATTATTTGTAGAGCGAAGGGTTCTGTTATGATTGGAGCACAAGAACTGGAAGGAGGATGTCAAGTATGTAGGCGAGTTAGGAGAGTTGAGAATAGTGTAGAGAGTCGTTAGTGCCCGCAGGTGACGACGCTGACGAATTGGGAGCCAATTTAATTTAAGACGAAAGGAGGAAATATGATCATATTTACGAAGATTAAAAATGAATCTAATGCAGTTATTAAGAAGACGGTCGTATTTGTTGAGGAGATCTGCATTCAGGTCGTAGTAGCACACATCACCATAATCTATAATGGGAAAAATTAAAGTTTGTACCAACATCGCTTTAATCTCGGAAGGTAAAAAATTCTTTAGTCGGTATAGCACCCGCAGGGTTCCTGTAACTTTCTGGCTGACATTAGTAACCTGGGTTTGCCAATTGAGGTTGCAATCAATAAACAGTCCCAAATCCTTCACAGTAGAACTTAGGGGAATGGTTGACCCGTTAAATACTAGGGATGGTAGTTTTTCATGATCTAGCCTTCTGGTCATACGTGGACTGCCTAAGATGATAGCCTGGCACTTTGTGGGGTTCACAGTCAAACCGAACCTATAGGACCAACCGCTAATAGTCTCCAGGTCGCCGTTTATCATGGCAATAGCCTCCGTTATATTATCTGCAGCAGCATTATAGTAAAGTTGCAAGTCATCAGCATAAAGATGGTACGCACATTGAAGATTCTGAGTGATGAGATTGATAAAAATAGAAAATAATAGTGGAGAGAGAATGCCGCCTTGGGGGACACCAGAGTCAAGATCACACCATATGGAGGTGGATTCGTCGACACGGACGGCTTGCTGGCGCCCTCGAAGATATGAAGAGAACCATTCCAGTACATCAGATGACATCATATGAAAGGAAAGGATAGATAGAAGGACATCGTGACTAACGGTGTTAAAAGCATTTGAGAAATAAATCAAAGCCAACACGGTAACTTTGGAGTTCTCAATTCCTGCCCGAATGTCGTCGGTCACTTTCAGGAGTGCAGAAGTTGTGCTATGGCCAGGCCTAAAGCCCGATTGAAAAGGGCTTAGTAAATTATTCCGATGGATAAATTGTGATAACTGTTGATGTACACACGTCTCGAGCACTTTGGATAAGAAGGGAAGTATGGAAATTGGGCGTAAGTGATTTATAAGGGTAGGGTTAGAGACCTTAGGGAGGGGTATTACAAAAGCACTGCACCACAGTGAAGGGAAAGTCCCTGAATCGAGTGAATAATTCACTATATGCGTAAGCGCGGGAAGGAGATGTTCGAGGATAGGTGTGATCATACGACGGTTTATGTTGTCACTTCCCATGGCGTTGGACTTAATGGAGAGGATTATCTTTTTTATGTCATCTGATGCAACTGGAGAAAATTGAAAGGAATTAATATTTGGGCGAGGAAGGTCAGCCAGGTACTTTAAGGTGAGACACTTTGTTTGGTGATCAAATTGCGGAAGAGTGGTGAAATGTCGGTTAATGTCATCCAAATCAAAGGTCGTTGAAGAGATGTTTTTCCCGGATTTACCGATGCCCAAGGTACCGAGGAATCGCCAGATTTGGGAAGGCGAGGAGTAATTAAGGTTTTGAATAATATGGCAGCGTTTAGCATTGCGCACCACCTGATTACACCGATTTCTTGCAACTTTATAAAGAGACCAGTTTGCTTCGCTCCTGTTTTTCCGGAATTTTAGGAACGCTTTGTCTCTGCGTCTCATTGCCTCACGGACATCCACTGACATCCAGGGAGCAGGAGAGCGTTTCATTTTAATTTTTGCGACACTGGAGCGTTTTGGTCATAGAGGTCAATTACTAAATTATTAAAAATGCGAACCTTGTCGTCCACTGTAGACGCCTCGATCAGGGGCTTCCAATCTAGTTTTAAGGCATCGCTGCGTAGTTTGTCTTCACTCATCCGTCCGAAGCAGCGAATATGGCGAAACTGAGGGCGGTGCTTAGGAGGTTTCAGGGCATAGGAGAGGTAGATGAGGTCATGTTGGGAAAAACCGGGAGCGGGGTGTTGGCCATGACTACGGACAAAGGACGGAGTCGAAGTTAGGACTAGGTCTAGCCAGGTGTCAGGTCCATTAATATTGTGATGTGTGGCTGACAATGGCAGCACATGCAGACAAGATGATTCGATGACCTGGAGGAGTTTACGGGATCGAGGGGAATTGGAAGCGAGGAGATCGGTATTGAAATCGCCCATGATGATATGGTGTGCATACTCGGACCCTAAAGATTCCAGAATCGGTTCGAGACTGGAGAAGTAGTCAACGTTGGGGGGACAGTAAACAACGCCCAGAAGAGTTTTGGCTCCACTGATGCTAACCTCAAGGAAAAGGTATTCTGCGGATGCAGAACTGGAGGGAGGGGAAGACGTTAAGATTTTGTATGAGATTGAGCAGCGGAGATAAATAGCAACACCACCTCCTCTTCTGTCGACTCTGTCGTTGCGTATGAGAATGAAACCAGGGAGGGAATACGACGTAGAAAGCAGGTTGGGTTTGAACCAGGACTCAGAAATCAGTATAGCATGTGCTTCGGAGTTGGTGAAAGCTTCAAGTAAGTCACTGTAGTGGCTGGGAATGCTTTGAGCATTAATATGACAAACGTTTAAGCGACATTTCGAAGGGCGACCAAACGTCTGTCTCACAAAGTCGCCAAGTGTATCTGATAAGGAGCTAAAACTCTCGTCACCCGAAATAGTAGCAGATTCGTTTGCAGAATGAAACGATTCATCATCAGACAGCATGAAATTAAAATAAGTATAAATAAAATAAAAATATGTAAAGTTATATAACCAATAATATCGGACGACAACAATACGATGTCAAACTTTTTATAAATAAATACAGAATAATATAATGTGTATAAGATATAAATTATTAATGTATTTAGACAATACAAGAACTATGTTAGCGCGTACCTCAGAACATTGTCATAACTACACCACCCGCCAGTCTTGACCCACTCAAATATGTACAGACAGGCAAAAATACTCGATTAAAGTTAACGCATCGTTTAACCCTGCACAACAAGTCAATAGAGCTAAAGTAAGACGAAACAAAAGAATAGTATCGATGCGATGTGAATCCGAACGTAGCTAGCCTTGTGTCAAATCTCAAAGTAGTGGATTTCGAAATGTCATTTTAACATAATTTATAACTAGCGGCACGTAAGTCTAGCGCTGAGCGGAACGTGGAAGGGATAGCCGCGCATGGGTACTATCGCGCACGCAAATATTAACTTTAGTAAATAGTTAATGTTATAGAGTGTAACTTCTGAAAGTTGTTCACGTGCCAGAGTCGTCAAATTTGAATTTCTTTATTTTCTCAACAATAGGTACAAAAGGTAAGTAAGTAATCATACTATATAACATTATAAACGTGAATGTAAGTTTGTTTGTTACGATTTCACGTGAAAACTACTTAACCGATCATCATGAAACTTTGTACACATATTCTTGGAGGTTTTAGAAGTAACATATGATACTTTTTATTAAAATAATATTTTTTACGAAAGATAAAACTGCGAGCGAAGCCGCGGGTAAAGGCTATAAGAATATATACAGACAGTTATTGTGCTTGTAGGAGATGGGAGCCTGCACTGGGTTGAACCAGTATTATTGGTCTCCATGTGTATTAACATTTAAATCTTAAGTAGTAGTAATAAACGTGTATGTTAAAAAAAAAGTACTTTGTTTGTGCGTGTGCGTGGTGTGCGTGCGTATGTATGCGTGAGTGTATGTGTATGTCATTATTATAGTTTATAGTTCCAATATCCAAAAAAATTATGTTACCCAGGATTTTTAACAAGTTTATAGGAAGTAGAAAAATTAAAACAGAATTTGTTGACCTATAATTATATATTCCCAGCTGCAACCTGCATTGTCTTTAAATGAGTATTGTATTTATTGCAACAAAAATTAACAGCGACAACAATATAACTCAGAACGCGACTGTACTCTGGAAGCACGCGGCGTGTCGTATCAGTGCGGGGGACGTAATGCGACTGGAGAGCCAATCGGCGCTACGCACGCCCGCCCTTCGTCCCTCTTACCCCAAAAAGTACCTGATTTTTGACTTCTGCGCAGTAACTGTCACCGCTAGAGTTTCGTGCCGCTACTTATACTCTATTGTGGGTTAATATTGTTATTGTTTGTTGATAATTATAGTTACGATTCTATGTATTACAATGAGTAAAAGCAGGTGATAAGGAACACCGCCAATTCAAATAAAATTATAAATAACTATATGATTTATTTAGCTGTGATCTAAAGTAAGGCATGAATCCGTATAAGGAGTGCATAGTGCAATACTGTTTTTATTAGTCTATTACTATCCTATCAATTCATTTGCAGTATTTACACAGGGCATCCAACATTTTGTAATAAGGTCATCATCATCATCATCATCATCAACAGCCTGTAATAGTCCACTGCTGGACATAGGCATCTCCTTAGGAAGGAGGTTTTGGCCTACTATATGGTTGGTATAGGGTTTGTGTCAAGTTTTCCTTCTTTTTGCAGTGCTGCGTTGTGTCCTGCGTTGTTTTGCGCCCTTAGTCGGCTCTTACGACACCCACGGGATGAATTGTTGACATTCAGTACTCTCTCTTAATCCGTCACTACACGGACGGTATTTTTGGTACAATAATAAGTGCTTCTTTTTATACTGATAAAGTTTTCAAGTGTGAATGTAAACGGAAAGATTTAAGATACGCAACAGTTCTAGCAATAATAAACTTCCACTTAAAAAGAGTGGATTTAAAAAAGATTAATCTGCCCCAAAAGCCAAAGATATATAAAAACTAGTTACTTTATTACATACCTGATATGTCAGTATCATCAGCATAGGGATGTGGGCTGTCGACAGTTACAGGCTGCGGAGGAGCGCGTCCTCCGCCCGCCGCGGCCTCTTCAAGTTCACATACGCACACTTCTACAACCATGTCTGCTACTGCAGGTTTACTTGAGCAAAGGGCTGGTGACGAAATATGAAAATATTCAACGATAATTGTATTTGCTCGATATGTACAAATTATCCTATTTTTAAGGTTTCGTACCTCAAAAGGAAAAAAACGGAGAAACCGTAGCATCACTTTGTTGTCCGTCTGTCTGTCTGTCAAGACCCTTTATCTCGGGAGCGCGTTTAGGTATCGAGTTGAAATTAAAAATATATACTCAGGTCTACGGTCCCTGCCGGGGCACCAGGGACTTCCTTTCTAGGGTATACCTGGTTCCCCGGCTATTAGTACCCGAGACGGCGTGCGGTTTTAGTCAGTTCGAGTCCGACATGCCACCGATAGGTGGTATCCGAGGGGATTTCCGCACGGAAAAAAAAAGGCCAAGGTCCCTTGAAGCTGTAAAATAATCAAACTCCTAAGTTAACGGATACGGCCGTTCATGCCGCAAAAAATGCATATTTCGACACTCTCAAGGAAATCAAAAATTATAGGGTAGTTCCCGTTGACCTATAACTCTACCTATAAAATTTGGCAAGTAACATTGTCTTAAACTACAAGTACAGAGAAAAATGTGAAAACAATATTTTGTAAATAAATCATAAAAAAATTGGTCTTTTTTTAAAGTACAAGTAAAGTAACCAATCATCGAGGTACAATTTCTGTTATTAAACTCAAGAATTTACGTAATTATAGGTTTTGATAACTGAAGTTCGGGCAAAGCTCGGAAAAAACAGCGAGATTCGATTCCTGAAATCTGTTATACTACTAGACAATTTTATTATTGTATTGATCATTAGTATCTATTAGTCTAGACTTACGTACGGTAAGAATCTATTGTATATATAAATAATCATAAAAATATATATTTTTATTGAACTTACCCATCAGAACATCAGTTATAATTTTAACAGCATTATTGGCATTTGGTATCCTGCCAGCTGCCGCTAATTTTAACAAGTCCACCAGAGCTCTTGCATCTGATTCACCTAGCTGAGATGTGAATTCATCAAGAGCCAACTGAAATATTTAGTTAACATTTTTATACACACTGAGTATATCATTTAATTATCATGTTACGGCATATACGGGGCGGCTCGATTGGGGTGTGGTATATCTCCCGTCGAGAGGACACAAAGGACACAAAATACGTGAATTATCTGAGAGGTTACTGGAGCCCCCTAATTCTAGGAGGCACCCCCTTGATTGAAAATGCGGCAAGCCACTTGTGTCGTAAGTTACATTTGCCCATGGGCGGTAGTAGTAACTTACTATCAGGTAACCCGTCTGTTCGTTTGGTATGAAATGAAATGTACATGTTTTTTTAGCAAAATCTGCAGTTTAACCGTCATAGATTTTTTATCATATTCAGCAACGAAAAAATAAAAATAAATACAAATTTATTACTTTTTGCTAAAGTTTAAATTTATTAATTTATTATTAACCATCTACTTCGGCTCAGTTTGTTAAGTTAACTACAATTTTACTAATTGAAATTATAAAACAATTTTTCAACTACACAAAAACAGTAAAAAAGGCATAAAATAAAGGATATAAGTTCTAAAAATAATAATTTCGGCTATTTTAATAAAAACTCTTAAATATGGTTAGGTTTAGGATATGGTATTTCATAGTGAAATCTATCAGAAATTATTACAACTACCACCCCTTAAAGTATTTGGATCGACTTACCCAGTAACCCTGTATATATATATATGACAAAAAATAAGTATAAATGCCTACTGTAGAACTTACTTTAGGAGCTTCAGCTTGTTGTACAGTCATAGTCGCGGCAGCCACTGAAACAGCGCTCGATGACATCACTGCGGAGTGTCGCGATGATATCGACCCACTCAAAGGGCTACTGGCACCACTCTGATTAAAGAAAAATAGGCTTATATTAGTGTACTTTGAGATATAATCCTGAATAGGGAACTTGATGAAGGAATGGACAAAAAATATTCTGGCAATGTGCTTGACACTGTTATTGAATAGACTGAAAACAAGTTCAACGGTTACTTCATGACACAAGTATGAATGTTAGACGGCACGACTTTTCATAACGTCTATCACTTTTTTTTATGATTTTATTATGTGGAAAAATTATGTTTATATGGGCACATATTTTTGTCAATTTGTACATTTTATAAGGTAAGTTCTTTAGAAAATGTATGTAATAACTGACTGGTAACGTAGCTCTATCGGCGGGCGCTTCGCCCCCTCCAGTACGAGCGTCTCCCTCGGCATCTTCATCTTCGGTGTCGACTGTAGGCACGACTGGTGCGGCTGTAGAACTCGCTTCGTGAGCGCGCAAAGCTTCTACAAGTAAAGTGCGGGCCTAGAAAAAATTACAAGTTTTGTCGGTTATTTGTTGAAATTATTTTCGAGAAAACAAATAAATTAATTATATTGTCGCCGTGTCATCGTGTGTATTTTTCTTTACCCTTTTAAGGTAAAAATAACGTGTTTTTTTTTTAAATAAATGTTACGAAATTTTATTTGTAATGAAGATCTTAATATTTTAAGTTTTATAGTTTTGGTTTAAACAGACACATAGACGCTATGTTTATCTACAAATCTATGGCAGCCTACAACTAATTATATACGATTTCGCTCAGTAATTATTTCTCTCACCTGTGTTATGTGTAAGGCCAGCAAAATAAGCGACAATGCATGCTGCACAGCCACGGGGGGCTCCAAGGCTAAAGCCGCCACAGCTAACGATGGTCGAGGCCCCTGCGGCTCTTCGACTACGGATTCTTCGGAATATAAACCTAATAAACATTAAAACGAAAATTAGTTTTATCTTATCGCACGCAAATGATCGTGTGCTCATCCCACAATATTTGCTCTGTGTAGGAATCTAATCCACAACTTGTGGCTTAGTAATAAGGATAAGGATCTCTAACCACTAGACCGACGGGCCAGACAAACGTCCTCCATAAATTCTTGGTTATAGGCTGATTAGCTAATCTTGCTTAATAAATAGTCTATCGGAAACAAACATAATTATTCACATCTAAGTAGATGTCCAAGAGATTAGCGCTTTTGAACCAGCAAACAATCAATATTTACATATTTATTACATAGAAATTAATTACTTACCGAGACTTTGGGCTCCTAAAGGATCTTTGAGGGAAGGGAATGGTAACGGGGCTATATGTGGTGAGTGAGTGTCAGCTTGAAGAGCTGCCGGTCGTAAGGACCAAGCTGCCGAGTGCGATGACCCTGCCGCTGCACGCTGTACGCCTTCCACGCCCGCGACTAAAGCTGGCCGGCGGTTCACGCAAGTAGTGCCATTGCCCTGTTGTCCGTGATCATTATCTCCCCATGCCCATACCTTTTGCATAAAAAGTTTCATAAAGCGAATAGTCTTTGCAAAAACCAAATAGGAATATATCCTGTGTTTTGGGAGACGTTTTTAAATTACATTAAACTTTACTTATAGCTTTTGAATATATTTGCGTATCTGAATATTATACTAATCAGAATCTTAATTTTAACAGTTTATTCGAAGAATTGAAAATCGGAATGTCGTTTTTCGGGCCGAGAACCTATAGAGCATTTGATTCTTCGAACTTTTAAAAATCGGAAGACACATCGCATTTACGACTTTCGGTAAAATACATTTCGTAAATTTTAATAAATAATAGACATTATAATTCTTAGGTATTATAAAATTCGGACTTTTGAAATATGGAACATCGAAATTCCAAATAAAAGTTTCGGAGTAGTTGGGTGTTCCCGCCTTTAATGTGCAGTTTAAAAGGTATACCTGATGATCACTAGTGACAGCAAGACAGTGGAGCGCCCCCACAGCCACGTGTATGACGCGGCGCCCGCGCAACGCCTCCACCAGCGTCGGTCTACGTACATGTGCGTCACAACCGTGACCCAGGCGGAAGTAATCACCTTTACCCCATGTCCACACCTATTAAATAATTATTTTTATGAATACTTATATGTATACGTCTACAAAAATTTGGACAAAGTCCCTCTTACGAATTTACAAGATTGTACAAGATATGTAAATTAGGATACTCATCAATGGTCTACTGCTACTAGTATTACTAGGTAGCAATTATATCGGGAATTATTAATGATTAGAAATTCATAAAGACTAGCTGTACCCTACTACGCTTCGCTGTGGCACATTGAAGTTGTTGTATATCGTGACAAAACTTAAGTTTAATCGGTGCCAAACTTTTTTCAATTTTAAAAGCTTACACAAACCATTATATTTTTTTTATATATATAGATTATGATGGTAACTATAAAATAGACAATATAAACTATTTTCAAACTTTTAAGTAAACTATTCACCGTTAACTTAATTACCTTTTAGGATTTATCTTTTGTAAATTTAAAAGGTAGACTTTCTAATTAATATCATCGTTATCATGGACGCGGAGTCCATGTCAATCATGGTCTAAAACTGTAAAATTATGTCGAAGAATTTAAGGAAAGAAGTACTAACGCACATTGTACATATTAATATAATTGAGATTATAAATAGACGAGGAATAATCTGTCAGGCTCAGCTCCGGCTGCTTACAAAATCAAAATTGGAATAACTCAGAAGTTGACGTTTCAAAACTAAAAACTGAAAATTATTACACATACCTCGCCATCTCTAGTAAGAGCTAAACTGAATTGTGCTCCACATTCCACTTGAATAACCCCTAGTGTGTTCAGTCTCTCTACGTTCATAGGTACCGCGCAACCATCAGACCCTCCCCTACCTGGGTCAGAATAAGCTGATGTTACATTCAAAGTCGTATCTGTATTCTTGTATCAATGATATATAAGCAAAGAGCATGGGGGTGATTATTTACGATACCGAAGCAAAGACAGCGGGTTCGTTTCATACATGTATACGTCTAAACACAAATTGAGGCTACATACAGAGCATGCAATCCTTGATAATAGGACTGAGGTATCGACACATAGTTCATTATTAGAGTAATTAGTGGATCTAATGTCTTACATGATAAGTATATAAAGTATTCTTATTAAAAAGAACATTGTTTTTTTCAAAAAGACTGTGCTTTAAGCAAGGTCTGCACAGAAATAATATCTGTTGACACCTCAGAAGAAAATTATCAGTATATACGAAAAAGTCCATCCCAAAATACTAGTAGTCCACCGAATAGTAGAAAAAAAAGTAGTATGTTGAATCACCAGGTGATATCATTAAGAAGATAGCAATTATTTTCCCAAGCTCTGAGAATTGAGAGTTACATGGTTTGGAAAGGAAAAAATTACTTAAAGGTAGGTTATTCCCTCAACCTGTTATGGTATTAGTTAGAAACAATACATTATTGAATAAACATAAGTTATACTTACCCAATTTGCCAAAATCACCATCTCCCCATGAAAATACTTTGCCGCAAGCAGTTAGAGCCAATGTTTGTGCATCACGCGACCCACATGCTACTTGAACTACTCTGAAGCTGGATAGGGCTTCCACCTAAAAGCATATCAGTTTCTTATCAACATAATAAAATATACTCTATGGTGCAGGAAAACCGATTTCCTTTTTTAACGTGCTTCTTAAACAAACCATATGTATTCTTAATCGCGGTACTGGAACTGGTAGAACTTAATTCGGTAAAATATAACATTTTTATAGGCTCAAAATTAACAAACATAAACCATTTAATATCAAAACTGTAATAGTAATATGTCTTATAAGTTTAAAAACGATTAAAAAAATCATATAGTCTCTAAAAAAACAGTCAGATTATGTTTCAAACAATAAGTTACCATTTTAGGTAGTAACTGAGTCATATCATCGCCATGCCCCAGCCTGCCATATTCTCCCAAGCCCCACGTATACAAATGGCCCCGTGCGGTGACGCACGCACTGTGCGCAGATCCACACGCTATGCTGACGACGCGCTCCCCCGATAGCGACTCTATCAGACGAGGCATTTCTAACGTGATGCGATTGCCTTGGCCTAACTTGCCGTCTTCGCCTTCGCCCCAGGAGTACACCTGTAGAAATTATAATATTAAAGCGGACATCGGGTCGTTTTCTATTAACCACAAAAATATAATGGTTACACGAAAGTACGCTTAATATCTAATATATAAAATTCTCGGTTGAACTCCTCCGAAACGGTTCGACCGATTTTCGTGTATTTTTTTTTGTCAAAAAAAATTGAAATAACGTTAATGGCAAAACAACGTTTGACGGGTCAGCTAGTATATATATAATAACTTCACACATGGCAAGGTGATCCCAAACTAGGCAGAAGTTTGGGCTATGGGTAACCGTACTGCTGATAATCATACTTATATATTTCTAAATACATACATATTATGGACAAATTACACCTAGACACATAACAAATGATCGCGCTAATAATCACACAATTATCTGTCCTGGGTGGGAATCTAACCCATAACCTGACCTAACCGGATACTTTAAGGGGTTCTAGTTGCCATCATTTCTGATAGATTTCATTATGAAATACCATACCACAACCCTAATGTTTAGGATATGATATTTTATAGTAAAATCTATCAGAAATGATGGAAACCACAACCTTCTAAAGTATCTAGGTCGACTTATCCAGTACATATAGTACCCTGTATAAATATTAGTGCAGGACATCTAAGATACCTTGCCGTCAGCAGTAAGAGCCAATGCGTGTTTGCCGCCGGAATGCACGGCCACGCGTCGCACGAGCACGTGTGCGAGGTACGGGTTGGCGCGTGGGCTTGACACGTTGTTACTATGTCCCAGACCGAGCCGCCCATTTGTGCCTTCTCCGCAAGCGTATAACTAAAAGCATAGAATAACTAGAATTAATTAATTATTCATTAATATCTCACTATTAGTTCCAATTGTGTAATAAAGCTAGGCATTTTTTGCAGTTTCCACTGTTTTTATGTCCATGGGCTTACATAGCATAATCTTTAATGAATACTCTATGACTAAAACAATTATTGAAATGTGTAATAGTTTCAGAGGCTAGGGCATTTAAACAAACAAACAATCAACCAAAAGTACTTAACTTATTATACAAAAGAAATTACCTTGCCATCATGCGACACAATAAAGAGTGTCTTAGAACCACCAGCGATATGGACGGGCCGTAGAGCGCTGAGACTGGGCGAGAACACAGGTACCTTCACCTTCGATCCCTTTACACCACCTAATTGGTCTTTATCGTTTAGACCCCAAACGTAAACCTAAAAATAGGTACCATTTAAACACAGGCTGTACCACGATTATCTTATGGGACGTACAAACACTTCAATATTAATACGTTAAAGTTAACTTGTAATGGGCCGACTCACAGAAAACCGGTAGTTAGCCATTCTTTCGTTACTTTACCCTTTCTCTCTAAATCCCTAAATCTCCACTTTCTCCTCTCCTCATTTCGTTGCGAGTCCCAAGACAGTTTAAATTTTTCCTGATACTTTCCGAGTGCTCGGTGTGTTCGTGGGTCACTGTTGTTGATCCTGGTGTACAGGAGTGACAGTGGCGGTCGTGTGAAAGGGACTAGTCCCATCCCTAAATTTGGGGTGGCATTAAAAGGTTGCCAAGGCATTTGTGACTCCTGAGTTGCAGCTCCATTAGCGGCAGTAGTCTCCAGGTGATTACTATTACCGTTCGTTTGCTCTATTATACCAGAAAATAAACATACTAAAAGCCAGTATTACTGTAAAGATATACAAAACTTCCTTTGTACAGACTTGTGACCCGCCCAGGGTTCGTACAAGGCAAATACTACAATAAAACAAAATACTTAAAAAGAACGAGCGAACGATGGTACACACCTTTGAAGAGTCTATTGTCAATGCTGGGGCATTATTATCAACAGATAAAGCCCCTGATAAGTTATCTTTTTCCATCCAGTCTTCAGCTACAAAGTTCATGCTCTGAAATGTATCAAATAAAAAACCGCTTTTACTTCTTTCTATCTTTGCCGAGCGTCCTTTATTTTAATATTTTATAGGATATTACTATACCTGTAAAATTTCTGTGTAAAGTGGATTCGGTCTGAACCCAGTAATATATAAACCGTGTACACGACAATCTGCATTCAAATTTCGGTTTTGTTTAATGCCGATTTCTATGCAAGGATAATACTGGAATAAGACATTTCATGAATTAATAATTAAAACACAAAAAAAACACATAATAAACACGTGTTAAAATGCCGTAAATAAAACTTTGATTGAAACAAACTTTGATTAACCTCCTTTCTAAGGAGAGGTCTATGTCTAGTATTTTCTTTTATCCATATGTTAAAGTTGGTTAAAGGGTATGTTAAGTTGCAGTCATCGAAAAGTCGATGAATATCTTTCGGGCCCCTGATATGATACACTCTTGCAGTTATTAGTTTAATAATCTATGAAGATAAAAACATTTATTTTACAAATAAATTTGGCTGGTATAGTTCAATTACAATGTATAACGGACTTTTAAGGTCCTAAAATATGTTACCTGTTTGCAATCGGCGAGTAATTGTATCTGCTGCAAGTGTGGGGGAGGGCGCTCGCGGGGCGCGGGGGGCGGCGCGCACGGCACGGCGGCGAGCGGCACGAGCGCGGCGTCGTCGAACGTGCCGCCGGCGCGCACCGACAGCGCCGCGGGCCCGTGCGCGCCGCCGCTCACGCCCAGCCCCAGGCGCCGCACGCGCACTCCGTTGCGCATCTCTACGCGGATCCAATGCTGCATACACACATACCATAGATAAGACGGCTTTCAAGATAATTCAGTGTCTTCCGCATCGTCTATACGGTTGGTTTGGTTCAGTTTTGTATAATACGAGAACTAGTGCGACGCCTTAACTTTTTAAATAGAATACGTAAAACATTACAGTAAAATAGGGCTCGAATTTTAAAAAGTAAATTGGAAACTACCAAGATATTATTAAGCGTGTCATGCTTGTTGTTTCTCTAGTCGACAAAATTCGAAATAAAACGATTCGACAGATACCTAGAGAAACCCACACCGCAGAGAGACTCAGTACGCTGAAGTGGAAGTGGGCCGGTCATGTCTCCAGGCGGACTGACGGTCCCTGGAGCCGACATGTGCTAGAGAGGAGACCGCGATTGGATAAACGTAGTGTAAGACGCCCTGCAGCACGATGGACCGACGACTTGAGGAAAATGGCCGGCAGCGGATGGATGCGTACTCCCCAAGACTGGAAGATGGTTGGCGCGCTTTGTGCGAGGCCTTCGTTCAGCAGTGGACGGCAATAGGCTGAAGTAAGCTATTAACGAAATTTTATTTGCCTCAACAAATTTAAAGCAAATACTTTCGTTGTGCTTTTTCCGTTCATATTACTTCCACACTTCTATTTAGCCAAAAAACAATTTTCTTTTAATAATGAATAATAATTTTCAATAATTACATTTTGAAACATACCTGACCGTTTCCACTAGAACTCTGCCAGTAAGTGTGCGGTTGCGAATCGAGCAGACGCCTAGCACCGGCACCGGGTCGACAAGATGATACACGGACGGCTCGCACCGCCCCGCGCCACCCAACCGCTGTCCCACCCGCACTTTCACCCCATTCAGCTACACAAAAAGGATATACTTTGATTCATTCTGATTTAAAGTGACACAATTATCCCCATATAAATTATTTTACGTCATCGAGTCAGGATAATCTAGAGAGGTTGAAATACATATAAATACTCACATTGATCAGTTACGAGTTCCATTTCACTGACTTGTCCTGTCCAGCCCGGTTGTTGAGGGAAATCCACTGTCAGATCACGACCGTTACTAGATATTGCTGTAAAAATTTAACTTAAATACCTTAAACATTCAAGTAAAGACAAATACACTTATTCAAATATTTATTTTCTAAAACTAATCTAGCCAGACGAACTAAAACTAAAAACCTACCACATAGTTTAAATTCTAATCAATTAAGTTCCATTCTTATCATTCGACAGGGCTTAACTAGCGGATTGCCGCGTGATAGAAACGGATAAAGTAGACAGTTGAATTTGTTAAAATTATATACGAGAGTGTGAAGTAAACTATAGCGACGACTAACTTCCAGTATAACGCCATCTGCCCGTTGGCAAGTAAACTTTGGAATATTGTAAATTAGATTGTAGAATATACATAATTATGTATATTTAGTCTAGTTATAATAATAGTACGACAAATTCACTGAGATAAATAACAAACATACCTATGTTGTAAGGTTACTATTTTGATGGTCGTTAAAGCATTTTTTTAATTAGCATGCAAAAGTAAGAAATTAGCAAACAATGATATTTTTAAACTTAACTTTTTTAAGAACGATGCCAGAGAGATTACATTTTAATAAGCTGAACCTTGCTGTTATATATTGTTTTTATTTGTATCAAGAGACAGTTCATTACTGAGTCATTTGGAAAGACAAAAAATGATTTAAAAAAATATATGACGTAATACTTTTTTGACAAAATCTTTTAAAAAGAGTTGAATCGACTTTAAACAATACTGACAAAGAGCAGTAAAAATTAAAAAATAATTACCAATCTAAGAAAAAAACTATAATAAGTAGCCTCAATATAACAGGTAATGTTATAATAGCAATAGTCCCTTCTAGTCTATTTGAAGTCATCAACTCAGCAACATGACATAACGACTGCCTAACATATGGACCCAGTCTTGATGTAGTGCTACTGTAAACATGTGCCAGCTGTTACGACTGCGAGCACGCTCCCATGGCGGCGTCCCTCTACTCGTAACACAGGTTTATTCCTAGCACGAGAGAGTGGCCCTGCTGTACCGTGGCGGCGACTACAGTTGATTGCGTCAACATTGTCACAGTAGTTATCTATGTACTCTGTTTATAACTCTTAGTGAAATAAAGTATTACTTCTAAACGCAAATACCTATAAATCTAGAGAAATAAGCTAAAACACGTTGTCGGGGCTGTAAAATTTGAGGGTTTTCTCTAGGATCCAATCATCAGGTCCTGATTTGACGGTAATGGGACCACATTGGGAGCATACTCTTTCGATTACAAAAATAATTTTGAAAGTCGACGACGAATTACAAAAAAAAAACACGGACGAATTGATAACCTCCCCCTTTTGTGTTTTTGAAGTCGGTAAAAAAATGAGATATGTTTACATACATGTAACAGTGCCAACACTGGTGTGGTCGATGCATCCCCATTTGTATCGTGGTTGTGTTACAGCTGCGCGCACTCTCACACGGTCGCCTACCGCGAACGGAGGCGTGCCTGATACAACTTCTGCGTGCATTGCTCGAACTCCAAACACTCGTCCTAACCCCCTCCATTCCACCTGCGCAATGCAAAATTTTATTTATTTTATGCAACATGTTACAACATTTTTGTTGTTAAGCTGTTATATTTAGCATTAAACGCAACGAGTTCGTATTATTGCTGAAGAGTAATTCTCTGCAGACAATGTTGGGAGGTTAATATTTAAGAAGACTCTATATATCTAAAAATTACATTTATAATAAACTATTATGTTAAATAATTGGAATAGTAAGTTAAAACTGTGAAACTAAGACAAATGTTATGGGTATATGGTGTTAGGAATGTATGTAGGGTTGCCAACATAATAAAATAAAACTCTTACATGCAGAAATACATTTTGTTTTATATCACGTTCAACTTTTTGTACTTGTCCAACGTCGCCTAATGCAACCTGAAAAATAAACAAATAAGATCGAAACTAGTACTAAATGAATTTACTAAGAAAGTCACATAAAGTCTATGTCACTTACAGATTCAATTGCCTTACAACAGCGTACAGTCATCCCTGGAGTTATGACGTCAGATAAGTATTGCCCATATTCCTCTTCAGACGCAAAGCAGCTGCGCCATCTATACGGTGTTTGTTTCTTTTCTACTTTCGAACTAAGTGGCCTCATTTCAAATACAGAATCGTCCATACCATGTTGAGGTAGTTCTAGTAAATATGCAACTAGTGACTCAACTGACGGTAGACTGGTGCCACCTGTAAGAAATCGTTTTTAGCGTCTTTATATTTTCTGACTATCCTTTCTAACTGCTTTTTGAAAACATCATTTTAAGTAGTGTTTATCGAAATTAATGTCATATTAGATGCACATTTTTAAACTATATTTATATATATATATATTATGCAACTCTCCGACTACTTAAATTGTGTAAGTATAAAAAAAAGGTTTTGTCACAATAAAGATATATAAAGTCTTTTACCTAGGGCTTGGATAGCAGCATAGACGGCATGTCTTGAGAAACCCATTTCAATAACTTGTTGAACTTGTGCAGAATTAGCCCATGTATTAAGATCTTTCCTCGCTGCAAGGCACATACACGAAAAATAAATATAAAGTGCACAAAAAAAATCGATTGTCGCTATTACATTTTATTACACTTACAGAGGGACGCAGACGCAGTGCTTGTAGATGGGCCCACAGATAGCTGCATGACATTGCTTTTGTCTATGATTGGCATTTCTGGAGGTGATTCATGATCTCTCTCATTGCCTGTGAATTGTATGTATTATCCTTGAATATACACTATAGATAAAAATTATGCGATGAAATTGATTCAGGAGTTAGAACAGCTGTAGGAGTTAATTAGGTTGCCAAAGTTTTATGAGAGAGTTTGTCAACCTGTCAAAGTGCAAGAGTCAGCTGTGGTGTAGGAGCTATTAGGGCTCGAGTTTTTTTGTAATTTTGTTGATACTTTTTCAGCTGTAGAAGGCTTAACGTCTGATTTGAGTGTCAGTCGTTTGTAAATAATTCTTAATAGCCCAAATTAGGTTTAAGAGAAAGAAAATGTCATAATCTGTACGGTTTGGGAGGATGTTTTTCCTAGGTTACTATGACTATTAGCCCCTAAATCGTGGTGGATTTACACACGTTCAAAAAAGACATAACTTATAATAAATTATGTTTTATGTACAAAACAATTTACTTGCATTAGTAGTTAGTAACGTGCACGAAAACTAATTGTAATCGCTTATATCGACTAACATGAATCCGCTTCAATATATGTATTTGTAAAATCTAATTTCCGCTATTTACTGAATAAATATTACCATTAATGTGCGCAGCCAGCTGTTGAACTATAGTGAGCGCGGCTGCCTCGAGTTCCCGCGGCGTGTGCGACGCGGCGAGCGGACTGGGGCGGGTGGCCAGAGCTAGAAGACGTCGAAGCAATGTGCCTTCAGTGCCTACCGTAGTACCCCTGTCTATAGCACCTGAAACAGATAGGATATAACAATATTACTTCTATAATGACTGATGGTTTAGTAAAGATTAGTATTTTATGGAGCTTCGATACATGGCAGATTACTAACCGATTATGATATTATGTCGTCCGACGTCTACTTTTCAATCAGTATTTTCTGATACTCTACAATGGTTACTTAATTTATGATAGAACAAGTATTTTACCTGAGAGGTTACAGTTTTTTTGTCATAGGGGGCAAAACCCCCCGTTTTATCGTAGTGTATCGTAGGTGTATCGGTATCGTAGGTGTATCGCTTGACTATAGTGATTACTGTCACCTATGGACATCTGTAACTCAGTGCTTTGCGACCCTTAAAGTGAATTCTCACTTCAAGGGTTCAAGTCAAAAGCGTATTCACGCTTTTGACTTGAACGGCGTATCGCATTATTATTATTTTATGCCTTGTCACATTTATATTGTACCCGAAAAAGAATTTTATAAATAAAAATTGGTTTAAGTGTTTTGATTTATGACGTACTTTGTATTTTTGTCACATATATCAGACTATGGCGTTGAAGCTATCAGAACTGTACTAATTGCGTTATTACTTGCATAATATACTTCTATTTTAGTTTACCTGCATTATCTGGTGGTTGCATCATAACTTTCCTTAACCGCGTCCGAGTGGTCAGTAACCCACGAACAGCACAAAGAGTCAATAATTCCATTTGTTGTTTTCGCAGCCCATACACGTCTATTTCAGCTAAAAAGAAAATTAATAAATAATAGTAAACAAAGCAAATCTTATTCTACCTTTTTTTTGTGCATGTAAAAATCTACTACTCAGGGGTACTCAGCAGGGTAGTGTATCGGCATTGAACCGACTAAAACCACACACCATCCGTAGACTAAGGTAAATAGATATTTTCATGCATAACAATACTTGCACTGTTCTGCAAACTCAAGCCAAATAGGTCGTCAAACAATTTTAATTGTCGTTTAATTTCGACTTTGTGTGACTTCGAGTGAGTTTTCTTAAATAAATAAGATTTATGCTATAGTCAATTTAAACCATATGAAAGAAAGTTAAAGTTCTCTTGAGATTGTCACAAACAATAATAAAAGGGCCCATTTTGCGAGGTAAAAATTGCAATCAGTTTATGATAACAGTTTTCATGAATAACAAAAATTGTTTCGTTTTACACAAGGCTTTCTGGGCTAATATTAAACCTTCCTCAGTCTATGCTAAGGTGGTTGCCTATAGATAGAGTATAACATATCAGTAGTTTTAAATTAATCGTCGTATTTAAGCCTTCAAAAATTAGCTTAGTTTATAATATTTTTAACTGATTAATCGAACATTTTGGCCTGTTGGCGTAGTGGTCTGTGTCCCTGACTGGTTCTGTATCTAGGATTATAGATATGCATGTAATTAGAAATATATAAGTATGTTTATCAACGGTCTGGTCCATAGTACAGGCTCTGCCTAGTTTAACCAGACCAAACCAGACCAGTTGTTTTAGGTGTAAAACTTATGAAAAACTTGGAATATCTTGTGGCATGTGGAAAAATATGGTGCTAAACCAAATAAACCGTAAATACCGTTGATTTTTTAACATACCAGGTAAGTAGTGAGGGTGCATCGGGGAGGCCTGCGGCCCTGCGCCCAACAGTGCGGCGCAGACCCGCAGGGCGCTCTCACCACCAGCGAGCGGCTGGGCCAACCGCTCACTTTCAGCACTCTGTACGCTGCCTAATTCACACTGGAATGTTCAAGAAGGAATGATGCAGTATGGCATAAAAGTAAATTTCATAAAAATTACATAATATTTTTTATCGTTGAACTAAACGTTATAGACAAAAAGGATTTCTAAAACTTATAATGTTACATTAATTATTATTTCATTTTACCTACATAATAATAATAAGACATTTGGATTAGTACTTATCCCTTGACAATAATTGTTTTTCTGGTCGTAAAAAATTTTGGTTCTCCAGCGTTCAAAGATTTTATTTACATTTTATATGTAGTAGTAGTAGTAAAAATATTCTGTGCATATTCTCTAATAATTAAATTAAGCGAATCAAACGACGTGGGTTTATCAAGTTCAAGAAAGTTGTTGTAGTATTCAAATGATCCTTATATTTTTTTACAAATCAATAAAAAAGTTAAAATTACCTTTGTAGTGGTATTGTCGTCGTGTATAAGGGTTATTTTTGCTCTTGGCGACAGCTGGGTTACAATTGCGTTTCGTGGTGGAGATCCAGCAGTCACCCGTTGTCCCAGTCTTATACGCCATTCAACACCACCGACTACGCCGAGAGCGCCAGCTATTTAAAGTAAAGTAGAGGTATATCCCACCTGTTTTCTTCTCCAATTAGTATTAAAACATCTCAAAGAAAGCAATAGAAGTTTTCGTTTTATAACTAGACAAAAGTCCCTTTTTTACCTATAAGACAACTCTCCAAGCTTGGAGGAGCAGGTTTCATGGTCTGGGTCATGTCTTGTTGACTAGTATGAGGCCACCAATGCCAGTCGCTCGTCACCTAAAAAGGAAACAAACAGCAGTTTAAGAGACATTAAGCTTTGCTGCGCGTTTGACCCTCCTCACCAAAATAAGGGAGGGGTGTTCCCCCGATCAAAAGAGCGACGGTTTTCTGTGGGGCCGTAGTGTCAAGCCGGTCGAGCTGACGCATATGTGCTGAAGTAGGAGTCTATCACAGGATAGTCTAGACTGAAGCTGCCACAAACTTATGAAAGTTGTTGGCATTGAGTTTACACTCTCTTGAAAACATTTTAAAACAAATGTAATGTTCAACAAATTACTTTAACTCAAAAATAGCAAGGTACAAATTACATACACGAATGATTGTACTTCTAGCCTTGAAAGAAAATAAAGAATATTGATGTAACACAAATAAAAATGTGTTATAAAACCCCGAATTAGAAAATATATCGCTGTTCTTTTTACCAGATAGATACCTCAAAAATAATCATGTAAGTTTATATTGCACATCCCTTGACCTATTTAATTATCAGTGTTTCCTATATGTGGTTGTACATAATGATAATATATTGTTCCTATAAGGTATAACTATAACAATGTACACTTAAATATACCCATACATATGAATGAGGGGAAAGTGTTTATCCTGTTTATGTTCTATTTTAAACGTTCATAATGCATAACAACCAAGCTTAGAAGTTTAAAACAGTTTAATAAAAATAATTGATTTCCTAAAGAATAATAGAGAACCTAACCTAACCTCCTTTCTAAGGAGAGGCCTATGTTCAGCAGTGGACTATTAAAGGCTGTTGATGTGTGATGTGATGTGAATAGAGATATTTGTAAGTAGTGAATATTCTTTATGAAAAATACATTATTATCATTTTTTTATTTTTACGACAACAAACATTTCACACAGAGTGGGTCACACAGTGGTTCACACTGGGTCCAGACGGCCATGCGTGAAATGCGTGAAAATATAATTATTATTATACACAAGTTTAGTACTAAGACTAGCAGTAGTGCCTTGTGTTAAGAGGGTAATCACAATCTTATTTAACTAAAGTATAAGCAATTCATTTATAGCTTTTTTATTTTTTAGGTTCGCTGTTTATCATTGTTAGTTCTTTTCGACGACTTGCACTGTAAGTAATATATTATAACAATTTATAAATAAATATTTATATAACTATTAATAATGAGACTTAATGGGTAAAGGTATATGTTAAAAAAAAACAGTGGCACTCCGGGAGTCAAGACAGAAGTGAAAACTTGAAAATTTAAAAATATATTTGCAGCGCTGTTATCCTGCAGTTTGCTCCTTTAGTCGGCTCTTACGAGACCTACGGCATTAATAGGGGTGGCGGCACTCCATATTCTTAATTCGTCACCACACGGACACGGCTCAGTGAATAGAATTGCTGTTATTTTGTTGTGTTATAGGACGATTTTTAAGCTTATTCAAATCAAACAAAAATGTTTATAATCATCGTGATATTTTAGAGGCGTATAATTGAGAACTCACCATCTGCGCGGCGAGCTGTAGCTTGTCGAGTAGGAGCGCACTCAACGGCGTGTGCCATTGCGGCGCGGCGTGCAGGGTGCGCACCAGCCACACGAGCGCGGCGCACGTCGCGCCCGTGTAGCTCGCCGTGGCCGGCGCGCGCCAGCGGTTGTCTGTACCGAGCATTGCCATCTTATTGACCATACTACGCTATAAACAATTACTCCTTAACCTTTGAAGGGAATTGTGATATAGGTATATCACAAATGAAACTATTAATAGAAAAACCGTGTTATGGAAACGGTGAAATAAAAATTGTTTATAGGGTTCATATTTATTGGTAGAATGCCCGTCTCTGTCACCCTAGCAGAAGCAGGCCGGGGTGATTTACACGCAGTAGATGCTCTCTTGAGGTATTCACTAATATCATAACCTTAGTCTCGGCGAACACTGACATTCATGTATGAATGATGTGTAAATTGGGATGTCATCACGGTAATAATTGCAAGGCACAATACCTTCTTTGATTCACCCGAGTTTCATTCGAATTGTCGAATCCCCGTTTTACACAGCTATCCCACTGATTAAACTTACCGACTTCTTCCTCATCAGTGTTGACGGCGATAGCGTGATGGTTGTGTTTAAAGGCAGGGTCCCAGGAGTGCGTCTCGAGCCATAGCCGCCCGATCAACGCTAGTAATTGCGCGCCAACAGTGCGGCGCCATTCCGCCGCACCAATGTGTTCGACAAGCACTCGGCGAAGTAACCATAAAGATTGTATCTAAAATGACAAAATTTAGAAATAATTGTCACTTAATGGTTATAATTATTTAGTACACTTAAATAAAGCACTTTTGGAAGTTGTATGAAATTAATCTACAGAACGCGGCAATCGGTATGGGAGATATAATATGGATTGGTTATCAACATGTTGTATTAAAATTATTATATAGTATATAAAATTAGCTATTTGCCTGAAACTTAGGGACGAAGCCTAAGTCAGTACGTCTGTTTCTGTACAATCATTACAGTGTATAATATAATATTGCGTATAAAATATAAAGAAGTAAAAAAAATAAAAGCAATTACATGTACCCTTAAAACAATGAGGGACCTTTAATAGGCATGGGGAGGCAAATATAAACTATCGTAGGGCGCAAAACTTACTTGTAAATATATGAGATCTTGTGTGATAGGTTTATCGGCAGTTGATATAATACTGTAGCATAGTTCGAACCAAGAGTCAGTGCACAAAGATACTCGCATTTCTGGACTCTGAGCAGTAGCTGTAACAAAATTAAATGTGATATCGTTAAGATTTTTTTTGAACGGACATACGAGCTTTTCGTATGTCCGTTCAAAAAAAAATCGAAGTACTTAGTAGCACTAAAATCGAAGTAGGCTTTTAAGTGTACAAGATAACCGAAAATGGCTGGGTCTGGCGGAGGATGATTGGTTAGTCGCTGCGTGACGTGTTCTATGTGAATTTTCAGTTCACAGAGACGAAATAACGTCCTAAATACTACTATTTGGGAGGATTTCCATACAAATAAAAAAAGACGAAGGTAAGTATGTCATATGGTACTGAAAGGTACCTACCCCGGTTAGAGAAATAAAGTTTTATAATGTTAAATTTGCTATTTACCTCTCGCAAGTGCCAGAGCAGTGTGATAATGCGCAGCGAAGGCAGTCGGCGGTGGAGCCGCGTGCGCGTGTGCCAGTGTGAGTAGACGACGCTGAAGCGCGGCGACGTTGCGGAGTGCAACGCTTCCCACTGCACCAGCACCCGCTTGGGCCATGCACGCGCCCGCACCCGCACATAGCACGCGGATAGCGCCCGTACATGCCCAACGAACTTCGTTGACCGGCCACCATTCCACGTTTGGTTCTACCACTGAAATTAAAAATATATTATATGCCCTGCATCTGGAACACTTGAATAGTAACCGTTCTGATGTGTCTGTATTTAATACGTATGCGTACGTACGTATTTACAAAACACAAATTTAATTACGTCCATTCATGTTCTAAAATTCATATTACAAGCTGTGCTTTGCGTTGCTGGCAGTTGTGATGACGTACGAGCGCATATACAGGCTGTTCACAAAACTGATAAATTACATTGCTATGACCAAAGAATATTGGAAAAGGAACTTAATAATATCGACTGGTCTACTACAAAAAAAAATGAACTGCCCTAACCAAATATATAATTTCATTAAAAATAATTTTGAAAACGCAAACATTAAAGCCCTTCAGACAAAAAATAAATGCGCAACACCAAGGTACAAGCATCCATGGATCAACCAAAACATTTTAAACTTATGTGAAATTAGAGATAAATTATTTAAACTATGGAGATCAGATCCAACCAACCAGGGTCTTAGATTACAGTACATTAAATCACGTAATAAATGTCATAAAGTCATTGAATATTACAAAAATAGCTACTTCAAAACAATTATAAGGAATAACTACTCTAATTCAAAAAAACTCTGGCAAATAATAAATTCACTCTGTGGCAGAGTTACTGAAACAGTCAACCAAATCATTTTAAAAGCATTCCGCAACCATAATCTCTCCCATCTAGAAATCGCCAACAGATTTGCCGATGAATTCAAAAACTCGGTTAACAAAATATTACCACAATGTAAAGTGCAACTTCTTAAAGAGACCGATTATCTTGATCACAGTGATGTTAGTTTGCTAGTAAAAAAAGCTACACCGCTTAAAATAAAAAAAATCATAGACAAAATGAATGGTTTTAAGGCTCCAGGTCAAGATAAGATTAAAGTTATAGACATAAAGAAATTAAGTCACAGCATATCCAGTGTCATTGCGGATCTCATTAATGCCTGTATTAAAACGGGCAACTATCCAGACGAATTAAAACATGGTTGTGTCCGTCCGATATACAAAAAGGGCAAACATGATGAAGTGTCAAATTATCGACCTATCACGATCTTATCAACCATCAATAAAGTGGTGGAAAAATACTTTAGTGAGCAAATACATTCATTCATACAGAAACCACAATGTAATATCTAAAAATCAATTTGGATTTCAACCCAATAAAAGCGCAACTTTACTGTTATCACAGTTCACAGACTATATAAATACAGCTTTAGATTCTAGGAAACACGTATTGGCTCTTTTCATTGATTTTGCCCGTGCATTTGACATATTAAATCACGCAAAACTCGTAAAAAAACTGAGCAACACTGGTGTGCGCGGCCCACTACTAAAATGGTGCGAAACATATCTTCAGAATAGGACCTACTGTGTCAACGTAAATGGAAGCTACAGCAAGACCATAACAGCCGATGTAGGAACAGCACAGGGATCAGTGCTTGGCCCTCTTCACTTTATCGCATATGTTAACGACATGAATAATGTTATCAGCCACTGCACTTCCTATCAGTATGCAGACGATACCTGTATACTCATTGCAGACAAAGATGTTTCTACAGCGTTTACTAAAATGCAAGCAGATCTATGTAACATCAGCAAATGGTGTCATGACAACGGACTGGTTCTGAACGCTGAGAAAACCAAATTAATCCACATACGTTCTCCCTATAGCAAAATTCAATGTCCTAAAAGCGCTAGGCTGGTGGCTCATGAACATCTATGCCAACACAAAAACAGTAGCATTTGCCAATGTCCTTCTATTGAATCAGTAGACAAACACCCATATCTGGGTCTGATCATCGATAGTAAATTTAACTGGCTACCTCAAGTCAACCGAGTTTGTGATCAGTTAAAAGCGTTCCTAGCCAACCTATATATTATAAAAAATAGAATAACTTTCAGGGTAAAGATTTTGCTTTATAACGCCCTCGTCGACTCTATTATAGGGTATGGTATTACAAGCTACGGCAAAACCTTTAAATCTTATCTCAATCGTATCTATGAACTACAGACCAGAATTTAAAAAAATATTGTCTTACTGAATAAAAAATAACAATTTAGAGAAAGAGAAATGGAATTATATAAATACTGCAAGACACTTCCTATCCATATAAAGGTCACTTTTGGCCTACTTAAAGAACACTTTTTCAATGGCTCCATACAGAATGAAATTTCTCATAACATTCAAACTCGTCAAAAAATCAATAAAAGACTGGAGACAGTCCGTGCAGTGAATGTTTACGGTGAAAGAACCATTAAGTATATTATTCCCCCCCTAATAAATAACTTAAATCCTTCCTTTACACAAAAAATAACAAAAGTAAATCTAAAACAAAAATTAAAAACACATTTCGTGAACAGCCTGTAGATTGCCTGTGCGAAACCTGTTTCACTGACTGCAAGTGTCCGCCCGCTCGTCAATACAATTTTTTTTTTTTTTTTTTTTTTTTTGTATCCTACCCTAAACTTAATACTTTTAAGTCAATGTTATTGATCAATTGCTTATGTTATTCACTTATTTATTGTTAAGTACTAGATTGATTTTGCATATTGTGGCATGCCGCATAAACCCCAGTGGTTTAAGGTTTGCCTACATTTACCTAATTGTGTAGTTATGTAAATAAATAAATAATAAAAAAAATAAAAAAAATAGTGTAGGCCTAGATAGCATTTAGTAAAATGGCAAAGAATATTATTTTATTATTCCTCTATATATTCCCTAAAGTATGATTGACCATTTTTTTAAAAGTATTTTTAGTCTGAATAAATAAAAACTACTTACCCGGGCATTGTACAGTTTCGTCGACTGAAGGCGGCGGTGACGGCGTGCGTGCCAACTTGAGGTCGTACTTGCCCTCCTTACCCATTCGATAGGAATTAGTCCCACCAGAGTCCCAGGCCACACGTACCCATCCATCTTCGCCTAGCTCGCCTATAACACGACCTTCACCGCCAGGTACCCCATCCTATTAAATAAGAAACTTATATATATTGGTTGGTGCGTTAGCCTAAGGGCATTGGGATTCATTAAATTGAACTGATATATAAAATTTAACTTTTGAACTTTATTAGAGAGGTCCCTAATAGTCAACCTGTCGCATCTGGTACAACAGGTGACTTGATCCCTTAAATAAAAGTCGAACTCAAAATAATACAAACGTTATAATTACACAGTTCTACGATACCTGATCTCCCCACTTCCAGTCTTTGCCGCGTACTACTTTTGCGCCGATTTTCATAAGCGAAGCTAATTCCGGCCCGGATAAAGACGCACCACGCGCGCGAGCACCTAGACGCTCGTCCTCAAAAATTACTAAACAATCCGCTGCAATAACAGAATATAGTTTAAAAAAAAAGATTCCATTTGCAAAAAAGGTTAGCAGTGTGTTGGGCCGTCTTCGAAAAACTAGGCATATTAATGTCAAAACGAATATAGTGTCAATCTTCTTTTCCAACAAAGGCATTTTATAATATATAGATTTACCAAATGTAGATGCTGTGTGATTAGATTCTAAGTGCTGCTAAACGTGAAAATACGATTTAAAAAATGACAACAAAAGAATGGTATGGTATGCTTTAAGAAAGCTTAGGTAGTCTTATGTAATGTATTTAATGTTTAAATCCGTATCTGCTCTCTCTATATATCTCTATGCTCTATATATATATATATCTCTATTATCTATCACATTCACATCTACAGCCTTTACTAGTTCATATACACGTCTACTCCCTTAGTCGGCTCTTACGACACCCATGGGATGAATAGGGGTGATGAAACTCCCTATTCTTAATGTGTCACCACACGGAGGCAGTTATCTTTTATAGTGTACCCAACTTTTTTTTTAATTTAATTTAATTTTTATTTTATGTTTTTTTTTTATGATCAACAATAAAGTGGTTTTGTCGTGAAAGAGTAAACAAAGAAAGTTACTTGTTGATTATAATATTCCTTAGGATTATAACTTACACTTAGACTTTAAGCTATTTGTAATGAGTGATGTCAGCTGAGTTGTATCGCCTCCTATCTGCTTCAATAATGTAAGGCACGTGCTTAAAGCGCCACCGTTAATCAACTGTTCCAGTTCAGGACCCTGACATCCCTCTACGAGGAGTGATAGTAATGTTATTAGGAATCTGGAAGTTTAAAACTCAAATTATCCATTGATATTTATATATGTAACGTATTTCCTCTATTTGAAAATGGGCGGGAATGTGTAGCGTGCACTACTTGACCAATGAGCGAGCGGGAACTAAATCGACCGTCAGATGAAAGGTGAGATGTTAGATGTTACACATCATTATATGCAACTACTGAGAGGCTCGCTCGTTTTTAACAATTTGTATTTACATTCACCTAATTATACAGCCTAGTAGAGACTATCTAATGACACCTGATCATACAACGCGCAATAAAAGTTCTCACGTTGATTGGTAGACAATTAAATTCAAATAGCAACAGTTGGGCTACCCTGGATTGTAAAGCCCATTAGAAATCCTCCTTTTCAGACTGAACGACATTAGAAACTATTTGCGATATACTTACAAGTAAAGATTACACTAACCTGGCTCGAGATGGCCTATTTAATAAAGCATGAGCCCCGTAATTCGCACTCATCTTCAACGGCAACGATTGATTCTGTTCACCTTCCAACACGCGGGCTTTTAACTCTATCAATATAAAATCCATCAGCTTCGAACGTTCTAATAGCACCATATATTTTGTATAAGGTATAACAGATTCTATTCCCTTTAATGGCGGAGTCATGTTTATCGTTGGTTTGATAGCCACGTATGGTACAGAATCCGCAAAACAACCACCCAACAACCCAGACAGAGTGCCATATTTAATACTTTCTGACATGGTCTGTGTCGAGTGTAGAATACTGTTGATCATACTGTATCCATTTCTTCTCATTTCTCCCCTTTGCACCTAAAATTGAACCATAAAACATTTGCAATAATACTCAAAGTCACGTAACTATATACTTAGTATATGCATAAAACAAAAACATACCTGACAATACAACACTCTCCTTAGTATATCAATATCACAGGGTTGTTCACTCATAACAAAGTCGATAATAGCTGCTGTCATACTTTGTTGCTCAGGACTTACTTCTTCTAGCAACCAGTACAAGTCTACAAATAAATAATAATTAAAGAAAAATACTGACTTGAATAAACTGGTATAACTGGAATAATTGACAAAACTACACAATACAAATCCGAAGAAAAACGTCGGATGTACTATACCTTTTTCTTCACAGGCGAGTTTAGAAACCCAAGCGTTAACAAACTTATTTCTTTCCGAATTATCATCATCTTTCTCCTCGTCAGCCATAATCAAATCAGTCTTTATCTCGTCGGCCAGCAATAACACCTGCTTCTCACTCTCTATGGATTCTTTTAGTATCGAGTTTTCGGTCAAATCGTTAATCGAACTTATCGACAACTCATTCGTTGGAGTCTTATCGTCGTTTTCCTTGTCTAAGATATCATCTCTATCATTCATTCTATCTCCGCGACCTTCATTCTTCATATCGTCATAATTGGAAGCGTTTTTTAAGTCTTTTTCTAAGACTTTATCTTTACATTTTATGGTAACTTTGGACTTGTTAGACAATTCTTTGGCAGAAATATTAGACTCGTGGTGTGTTCTAGAAGTTTCGATAACAATGCTCGGCGCATCTTCGGGTGTTTTATTGGAAGCGTGTGCGATTGATGATTTAATGAGAAGGGCGTCGCCTTGCAAGAGTGTGCCGGTCGCTTTGAGCATGCTTTTGCTCAGACTGTTCTGTCTATTTCTGAGGTCCTTCGTGGTTTCGAAACTGAAAGACAAATTTTGAATTTATATCACTTAATATTTTTAGTTCTGTATATTTGTAATTAAATATTCTTGAATAATCATAATATACATTATATTATATAATCATAAAAACATTTCGTAATTATCTTACTATTGATACAACTATCAGTATTAATATTGTTATATTATTCTATAATTTTAGGGCGATAAGTGTTAATTTTGGAAGATAGCAGTGAAGTTGGGAAGGAGGATCAGAAATCATGACTGTTTATTATAGGGCTGCTACTTTCGTTGCTCTAAAGTCTAAACTTCAGAAAAGCCTGAAGGGTAGCATCAAAAAAAATTCTGTGAAAAATTGCAATAATAAAAACATGCAAGAACTGTTTCATCAACCATTAATTAAATGTCTCACGAGGTCTTATATTCTTGTTTAGTGAGTATTTCATAGTTTTACCATTTATTGAAACCGGGTGTTTTGGCGGCTTTCATGACTTTCTGAAACATTTTCTTAGCTGTAGGTGAACGACGGGTAGGTGGCCGAGCATGTAACGCAGCGATTGCTGGAGATATCGCAGCGCGCACTTCATGAAGAAGAAACCGTGCCCTTTCTAAAGGGGCAGCGCATACCTGGAAAATTGTTATAAGCATGACCTTGAACACCTTATGTATTTTATATAATATGAAAGGGCAATAAATTGAATGTAATTGTTAAAGTGGTTACCTAGTAATAGTTTTTAATGCGGTAATAGTTGTTTAAAACTAAGTATTACCTCTTTATACCCTCTTGAAAGTTGTTGCTTCGTTCTCATCAAAGTCCATTTACTTTGTTGTACCGTCTTCACGATTTCTGACATCGCTGGAGACAATTTTACTTCACCCTTCTCCATTTCTGAAATTAAGACATATAAATGAAAGACGTTAAGAATTGCACACTAATTTATTTTATAAAAGGCGTATGTCATTAAAGAAGTGTAAATAGTAACCAGCTGTAGCGGTAGCCAGAGCGTGTTCCTTCAAGCCAGCGTGGTACAATAAAGATGCCAACAAAGCACGTCTTAACTCTTCTAAGGGATGTTCCGGGGGAAAGTGCGGTGCGCAACCTTCTCGTCTTTCACACGCCCACCATAAGTGTAATGCTAGTGGATCCTGAAAAAAAAACAGATAACTATTTCTTTAACCAAGTTCATTTCATTTTGTGCGTATTTACAAAGATATTTAACAAAGTACAGAACACAACAACAAACAAGGGTGGCAAGGTTCTATGTTTCTAAATATGATACATACTGTATAACAACTCACATTTAGTTTAGGTTCAGCAAGAGCGTGTAGGAGGGCATCTGCTTTAGCAGCAGTTGTAGCGCCATGTCCGCGGGGCGGTGGGCGCGGGGGGCGACACGCCCGTGGCTGGAGGGGCACTTCCCCCGCGGGACTGCTGCCACCTGTGGACGAGCCGCTTCGGGCTTCTGCTTTCTCTTCTTCAAAGGGGTTTGACAGGTGAGATACCTGAATATTTAACGCGAAAATTGCAAATATATGAAGATAAATTAAAATAAGTCCTATAAATTAAGTATAATTAGAATACTCTTAAATTAACATTGTACAGTAATCAATAATAAACATACTTGCAGTCCTCCCCGGAGAAAAAGTGAGGTGGCATAGGGCGCGTCCTTTTCGACTTGTTGTACGGGCAGGGAGCGCGCCAGGCGCACCCCGCACTGTGCGAGGCCCAGTGACACGTTGAACGCGCATGTTGATAATATGATGAGCGCGCGGGCACTCGATGTGCTTTCCTAGTATAATGGATTTTATATAAGATTAGTTTGATATTATGACATCACAAAGCAATATGAAGTAGTGCAGGTGTTATTATTTATTTTTTATTTAAGTACTTCTTCATTGTACCCTACTGTAAACTGCAATAGTATTATTTGCACAGATTATACATTTCGATATAATAATAGTAGTAGTATTAATTACATAGCAAAGAAAATCACAGCTGGATTTACAATTAATAATCTGATCGTCTGCTCGATTTTTATCATAATTTATAACATTTTTTATTTATTACAAATCAGGTCAGGTCATACACTATCGGCATGACAGGTCACATATACAGGAAATCAGAAGCTTGATGTCGCCGTTTTGAGGTTTTTTTTTAATTTGAATACATTATGATTTAATAATTATAGTTTCCGTGACTTTTTTATATTAATTTTCAGTATACAGGTTCAGGTCCGTGTGGTGACGGATTTTAGAATACAGAGTGTCACCACCCCTATTCATCTCGTGGGTGTCGTAAAAGCCGACTAAGGGAAAAAACTACGCAGAACAACAGCACTGCAGAGAGAAGGAAAACTTGAAACAAACCTTATATCAACCCGTCTGGCCAGCGTGGTATAGTAGGCCAAAACCTCCTTTCTAAGGAGAGGCTTATGTCCAGCAGTGGACTATTAAAGGCTATTGATGATACAGGTTCAATTGCCGAATTGTAGTTATTCTCTTCGAGAAAAATATAAAAAAATCGTGTATTAAAAAATATATTACTATTGATATTATTTAACGGGAATTAACGCGATCTCTTATTTAGGGTATTACATACCTCTGGTTTGCCTGACGTTTCGACCAGGTTGCACCGGCCGTGGTCACAGGCTGACTGTGACCACGGCCGGTGCAACCTGGTCGTACCTGGTCGTACAACCTGGTAAATAAGAGATCGCGTTAATTCCCGTTAAATAATATTAATTATCATGGAACGCGAAAGTTTAAAAGTTAGTATATTACTATTGCATACCCAAAACAAGAAAGCTTTTATTTTTTGCGATGTGTTAGCAATTTGCCGATTACACATTAGAAGATACATTTGTCATTCGATTTAATTAACAATATTTTCGGCCATGACGGCACCAGATTTTTGGAATCTTAAATTTCTTAAAGCAACCGATCTACTCTTACTTTATTATTTATCTTTAATTTATTATAACTCTATTTATTATAATTGACTATGTTATAAAAAAATTATTTCCTTTCGAGTAAAGATCAAAGAAATGAAGTCTTTAGTAGGATATATACAGAACAGCACCTCACTTACCCATAAAATTAATATTTAAGAAAACAAATACTTCATATATATACTCACTTTACACTTATAACTGTAGATCTGATCGGCGAACATTCCAACACACTTGTCAGTGATCCTGGAGAGATAGGCCGCATGCGGCTCTACACTGAGTGCGGCCGTCGCGTCACTGCCCCTGAACTTGCGCACGAGTTCCGTCGTACTTGCGTTCTCACAATCAAACTTGTCCACATCAAACACGTAACCGGCTACTACTATCCACGAACCGCCTTCCTTTGTATGGTTTTGAAGATCACATCTAAACAATAATTAAATATTATATTCAAATAAATAAGATGTCAAAGAATGCTAAAAGTAAATATATATTTATATATACTTTATATAAATAAATAACAAAATATGCTTCAATAAAAAAATTTTTAGGCGGGAATGGGGAAATTACTTTTATTTTAACACTATGTGACTACTTTGCAGGCATAACTTATCCCTTTTTTTTATGAGACTAAACAATAAACCTTTTTTTTAGTTAATAAATTTTTCGAATGTTTGTTTGAATAACACAACTTTCAACCAAATCTGATTTATAAGATTTAGTCAAATAACTTTAGTCAAATAAATCCATCTAGCTATTAAAGCACCTTTTTGGTAATCAAGAAAACAGTATAATTTAAATGAACTTAGAAAGTTAAAAGAAACAATATTAACACATTCCTGAAACTTCCAAAATATAAGGCTGACAACGTACTTGCGAATTATACTCTTATTAAGCTGATGTTTCTTGGCAACGAGACCCGGCCAGCCTAGGAGGTCTGCGTCTACCTTGCCGGAAGAAGGCAAGCATTTAGCTGCATCGTCGCAGGCACGGGCTATCTTGACTAAAGAACTCGTGCAATCCGCTAAAGCAAACGGTGAACGAGCCGCACAAGAGCACAGCCAAGCTCCCAATTCACTTACAACGCGACCTTGAAAAAAATATAATTACTACCATGAAGAATTCGCAAATTAAAAACTAGTAAATAATGTACGTGTACCAATAAGCATCTTACAATACCATTATAAAAACAGCTCTGAGTAAAATTAAAACAGAATGTTCAACAGAAACTTTAAAATAAATGACGTCTATGATCTCGCATCAACAATACTGTCCGTTCACAACAATATGTAGGCTTTTTTACTCTATTGTTACAATAATTATTACAATTTTAAAAAAATTGTTTCGATGAATAGATGTTTATTGCTCGATCACGACATCACGCTGAACGGGTCTGGATGATATTCGGCACTGAGATAGATTATAGTGTGGAATGCGCACATTGACTCGATTATATTCTGGGAAAATTGGTTGAGAAAATCTACATTAGGGCGAGCGAAACCGCGGGCAATAGCTAGTCATTTCACATCTTACCAACAATATCAGCTATAATGAGATCACAGAGCGCCACCAGCTGTGAATTGCTCCCCCTCCGAATAGCTCGAACAAACACGCTCAATATGGATTGGACGTGGTCAGCTAGTAGCATCGTGTATTCTGTAAAGATGGCCCGAACTCCACCTCTAGTACTTCTGCCGCCGCGGGACCACATGGCTTCGCAGAATAACAACCTGAATATAATATAATATAGAACTGTATTTGAATGAATACTATTCAGCACCTTAGCGCGAGAAATAACGGATTGGAGTAACAGTTATAAGCACTAGGAATTACTTTGATATCTTTGTTTATACAAAGGTACATCAAAGCCTTTGAAGGAAATCAGATTGAAAAGTATATCAATACCAATCTCATTACAAGAAAATAAACCAGAGTTTTCTTTGTACCTCTTTGGCTAAAGCATTTGCAGTTCGAAATTTAACTACTTCAATTTTCTCAATCAGAAACCGCAAAAGATTTAGGCAAAAGATGTGCAATATACTTTGCTTGAATATTTTTATTCTATTTAGATGCATATAGCATGCAGTCAGAACATGTTGTGCGTGAACACTTTTGAATGTAATTTAAATATTTTCGAGAAATATTTTACCTTTGAAATCTTATAAGTAAATCACAGCTTGGGCTCACAGTGTCATGGTTCTTTGGATCATTAATCTTGCTCGTATCTCCTTGCAATATAGCGTTTATGTGCATCTGGGTTTGACACGATGTATTCCGTATAAGGTGTTTTACCTTGGGAAGAATACAAATATGTCAATTAAGAACGATGATAAATTCAAAAATTTGACGTTAATCTTCATTAAACTAAACAATCCTAACTAATATTATAATTGCGAAAGTAACTTTGTTGGTCTCCTTGATCGAAATGATATGACATGAGTTTGTTTGCCCTTTTTCTCATAAGGTTCAATCCTTTGGAAACAGACGGTTGTAGATTTGCACAGGCATATCACAGATTTTGTGTAGGTTTAATTTTTATTAAATTTATTTTGCTTGCTATTTGACAAAACAGAGATTGTTGCTATTGTCTGTGGTGATGTATGACTTTAGAGTCTACATAAAAGACGATTTGAGACAATTTTAATCCTTTCCTCTCCCCTAATTCTAATTCTGAAAGGGGGAACTAAAAGGACAGGAATGCCCTTGTGTCTTTTGAGTTGCAGGTGTTCATGGGCAGCGGTAGTCAGTTAACATCAGGCGATCGCCTGATTCCATAAAAATCCGGACAAGTATGGGTCAGTTCGCCAATCACGGGTTCTGTGATGAATGATTTAATTACAAATGTATAGTTTTCAAATTTTGCCCTGTACTTGCAGTATAAGACGATGTTACTTGCCCAATTTCATAGTTCTAGGTCAACAGGCAGTACCCTATAAATTTTGATTGTGTCGAAATATTCGTTTTTGCCGTAACTTTTTTTAGGTTTAGTTATAGCTTTGTTTTTTTTCCCCAACTTCAAGGCACTGTAGACCTAAGTATTTACGGTCAACTCGATATTTATACGAGTTCTCGAGATAAAGGTTCTTGACAGACAGACAGACAGAGGACAAAAAAGTGATTCTATAAGGGTTAGGTACGGAACCCTAAAAAATATTAATAATATGTGTTCGGACGTCTGTTTGGTATTTCTATTTAAATCTTTGTATCGTTTAAAATCAACCTTTACACCCTTAAGATATACTTCTTACTTTATTTCACATAAACAGTGAATTTAACACTTACCAAATGCATTAAAGGTACCGATGCTCCGTTATCGGAAGATGTCGTATTGTTAAGTTGATACTCCTCAATGCAAGCTGCAACTGATATTTATACAAAGTCAATCATGAGTAACAAATTCGAATAGTATAAGTTGAATACTATTGAAGGGAAGGATACGTCTCTTAGGCAAAATCGGCATAAATTGGAACTGTTCATAATGCAAATATCGCAAGATATCTTAGTAGTAAAGAAGACATTGATTTCCATAAAAATACGCGACTCATAATTTATTTTTAAAGCCAATGAATTACATATGAGATATTTACTAAACATATAGAAACAAACGAAAAGAAAATCTTATTAGTTCATCATATTTTAATGGTGATAAATAAAAAAGAATCAGAAAATAATAATGTCAAATAAGAGTTCTTATACCATACCTGGCACTTGATCTGTTTCATCACCAGTAGCAGAAGGAGGCCGGCCACGCTGTCCTGTTACTATGTCAATTTGATCGTAGTCCCTAAGATATAAAATTTATTTAATAAAAAATCTTGTATAAAGTACATAAAAAAGAGCGTCAGAAAGCAAAACTATTTGCTCATATTTTATTATCGATCGTGAAAATCATTATAAGTTGTCTGCATGACATATGGCATGGTGGTGAATAATGGAATAGTGGAGTCCACCTTTGCTTCGCAATAAGTTAATTTCCTAATCCTCGGGCTTTTTTTGTTTTAACCCATAAATCATTTTCTGTACCCTTGTCAAGCGTAAGAAACATATAAAAAAACTCACTTTCACATTTTTGTTAACACTTACGATGATACTCACCAGAAGGCCAATTCCCGTACTAAAAGTTCGGTCACAATTCAGTCCCAACTAATTCTTAATTTCACAACTGTCATAAAAGGTATTTTATTAGTAAAGTATTAACCATCCAACGTTGACTATAATGTGATTAAATCGTATTGTGATAAAAATTGAATCCGTAATCTGCTAGTCTTAATAATACTATACTATTTTACTACGAAAATACTTTTTATTGCAGATGCGAGATCGAGAGATCATCGGAACTGAATTGTGACCGAACTTTTATTACGAGAATTGGCCTTCTGTATGCATCATATAATAATATAGTATACTAGACAGAGGCTGCACTATGCTAACCAGACTGCTGATACACATACTTATATGTTTCTAAATAAATTCATATTGTAGATAAATTACACCCAGACACAGAATAAATTGTGGTGCTCATTACATAATTATTTTTCCTAGGTGGGAATCGAATCCATGACTTCTGGCTTGGCAGTCAGGATCACTAACAAGCCAATGATGTACACACAAATGCTGCTTAATTTGGGTAAACAATCTTCGGGTTTGTTGCTACAGTCTTTAAGTTCGGAAGTAGTGTGTATGTTTAGTATATAATTGTCTTACGTATCCAGCTGTAAATGATTGTACGCATCGGTAGAGTGCGCTTGAAGAGCATTCTTCAGTGCATCGCGAAGTCCGCCGCATCCTAGTAGTGACCAAACGAGTAGCTCTGTCATGAATCGCGCTCCTGCACTAGCTGGCACAGATCCTAAGAAACAATAAAGGTACTGAAAATAAAATACACCGAGATTCATACTTGAAGCCGGAACCGCCCGAAAAAAGTTTAAAAAGATTATTTTTCTATTTTTATACTTACATTTGAGTGAGTTGAAATATATTTATTTCTAATCATATTTTAATAAAGTAGTGGTTTTCAGAACAAGCTACCTTGGGGCAGCAGTGTGATGAGATGATGTGCTCTAATATGGGGTGTGGGTAGTAACAGCGGCCATGCTGCGGACAATGCTTTTCGGGCCGCAGCCGCAGCGGCAACGCCTGCTCTACCCTCTACCAGAGCTACCAGCGCCGTGTGAACACCGTTGCACCATGACCGAGCTTCACTTGCTGATTCCTCAGTCTCAGTACCTCGGGAGCATTGCCAAGCTTGTACCTTAAACGACCATCCCGTTCATAAAAATAGAGAGTGGCAAAGTATAACAAGCAATGTAAAATAATTCTAGTACTAACCGCATTCGCAACGCCGAAAGCTATAAATGTTATGTAACTTAGGCAATTTTTTATTACTATATTTATACTTACTTGTAATCTTAACAAATTTAAACAGGACACAGCCATACATTCCACTTCCTTAATTGAACCAGTGCTACTTTGTTCAACTACCAATCTCAAGAGTCTTTCCAGAAGTCTGCAATATTCGTAATATTTGAATATACAAGTGCGCACCAAAATTACAATCACTGCACATCGACAAAATAAAGGTTGTTTATTTGATTTAAAATCTTTTTGATTAACAAAAAAATATAAGTAGTTAATAAATTGTATAAACAATACGATTACTTACTTAAAAGTACTTTCAGACAAATCAATAACAAATGGCATCGAAGACGGAAGATCTCTCGGGGTTTCCTCACTCCATACATATATCTGATTTGGTCCATTTGCGACACCTGTTAAATAAATATTTTAACCTGTTAGAACCGGTAACCTTGCGTGAACAACGCAACAGTTACAAACAATATTACAATTAAAACATTCTGGTTTCTCACTTACTAAGTAGATAAACAGATATACAGCCTTGGCCAAAAGTATTAGGCACCCCAGAAAAATGCACAATTCATGTTTACTGATTGAACAATGAATAAATGCTTATCTTAGATGGCATGCCGGGGTCACAAATAACTTCCTAGAAAAGCAAGCATTCTGTTATGGTCATAAAACACCTGGTGACTGAAAACAAAGGATTTGTTTTTATGCGTTCTTATCAGTCAATGTTTGGTCACTTGTGTTCAGGACTCTAACGAGTAAACAAGTTTTTATTTCTAACATAGTGATTAAATTGACACGTAATTTATTTAAAAATGCCGAAAAGAAGTGAAATTAGTTTGGAAAACCGAGTGAAAATACAAATTTGCCATGAACAAGGGAAGTCGCAAAAAGAAATTGCTAAGTTACTGAAATGTTCGCGTTGCGCTGTGCAATCTGCTATCAAACGGTTTGCTGAGACTGGCAGTCACGCTAATAAACCAAGAACAGGCAGAAAACGTGTGACTTCGAAGCGCGAGGATAGAAAATTAATACGCGAATCTATGAAAGATCGGAAGAAAACATCATCAGAGCTTGCTGCTACTTTGTCCGAAGAGGCTGGAAAGCCAATAAGTGCTCGGACCACCAGAAGAAGACTTGGAGAAGCAGGCTTAAAAGGATGCAAAGCCAGGAAGAAGCCCTGGCTTTCAGAAGCTAACAAACGAAAACGACTTGAATGGGGTCTACGGCATCAACATTTTACTGAGCAAGATTGGGCCAATGTGGTATGGTCTGACGAATCTAACTTTGAGGTAAGTAAATTTTACTGCTTTTGTTATTAATAATAAAATAATAAAAGTTAAGGCAGTTTAAAAGTGTTTTTTTTTTTCTTTTTTCAACAGATATTTGGAACGCCAGGTGTGACCTTCGTGAGGCGACGTGTGGGCGAAGAATACCATCCAGATTGCGTCGTACCGACAGTAAAGCATGGAGGAGGCAGCATAATGATCTGGGGCTGCATGGCTACTGATGGGGTTGGCGAAATGTTTGTTTGCGAAGGTCGTATGAACAGCGAAAAGTACATAAAAGTACTTGAAACTGCGCTTATGCCTTCGCTAACGAGTATTTTCGGCGATACCAACTTAGAGGGAGTTATATTTCAGCAAGACAATGCACCTTGTCATAAGTCAGCGACTACGATGCGTTGGTTTACTGAAACAACATTGACTTGTTTGATTGGCCAGCGCAGTCACCAGATTTGAACCAAATTGAACATCTTTGGAGCATTTTGAAGCGCAAGATTAAAGAGCATAGTGTCACATCGAAAACCGCATTAAAAAATGCGTTAGTACAAGAATGGCATGCCATTACAAGGGAGGATTGTACTAAGCTTGTACGCAGCATACCAGCTAGAATTAGTGCAGTAATTACATTAAAAGGTGGACCGTCTAGATTTTTTAGTTCTTTCATTCCTTTTTGTGAATTTTAATTATAATAAATGAATTCAAAAATAAGTTGGTTTTTTTCTTTATTTTAAGTAAAATGTAGGGTGCCTAATACTTTTGGCTTAGGCTGTAGATGGTGGTCCATATGATATTTGAGTTATAATGGTTACCGGTGACTTTCAACGTAAATAACACCCTTAATAGATTACAGCACAATTTACGCAAATCATTTTCGAACTCATAACTTTACTATATATAATATAACACTACACATAAAATCTTGCTTGGTTACTATCCTTATTAAGTATTTCTCTAGTTCGGAACGTCTAGATCTGTACCACTCTCGTTCTCACCAGCAGCTTCTCAGGTAAACCTGAATTAATTTTTGTGTGTCCTACGGTATACCTCCACTAGTTGTCACAATACATGTATACACAATCACATGTAAACTATTGTTAAGAAAAATAACAACTTACCATTGACTTTGAATGACGGGTTGAGTACATGCAAAAGTTGGGGTACGGGACGCGTTATTTGTGCACGCTCGTGAGTACCCCATGCGTATAAAGATCCTTCTGACGTCAGAGCTATACCGTGCGAAGCGCCCAGAGCCAAATCCACTACTCTTATACCTAAACACACATTTTTAAATAGTATAATACCAAGTTAATATTCACGCTTATGAAACGTTTTATGTTATAAATAAAAGATTCCTCTACCTTGAAATGCGTCTATAATTTAGGAATTTTTAAATTTTCCATGTTGCCATGACCTAATCGGAAACCTTCACCTTTGCCCCAAGTATATACCTGACCTCTGAAAAAAAAAACAAAAATAAGGTTTGGTTCACTAAGTGTTATTTAAACATGGAAGGCATAAATTCCTTACGTGTCAGTCAATGCAGCATGCCAATGTTCGCCGGTGTAAACGCGAGTAATCCTCAACACTGAAAGTGACGTCAGGGTTCTAGGAATGCCTCCTTCGTTATCGCCAAACACTTGTACTGCACCTTCCCATGTGCAACATAGGGTTTGAGCTTCACCCCAGCCTACAACATAGACAAAAGTTTAGATCTGAACTTTTTCTACATTGCGTACAGCACAGGAAACTAGTTTTTTTTCATGGATTAGATTTTTTGTGTTAGTCTTATGTACATATCCACTCAAGGGTTTTAATAATTTAAGTGTTACCGAGTGCGACATCAATGACTCGCTCAATGTTGTGCGTGTTGAAGGTAACGGGTTGTGGCGTGAGACAGTTCTCTATAGTTCCGTGACCAAGGCGGCCCTGTGCACCTCTTCCCCAAGTGTAAAGAGCTCCTCGAGACGTGATCACGGCACTGAGGACAAGACAATAGAATATATTAAAAAAAGTGAAATAGTTCACTATTAAAGCCTGCAACCAGCGACATGGTTAAACCCAAATTATGAATGTATATTTACACTAGCGACCTGCCTCGATTTCGTACAATAAATTTATAAGTGGTGCAATGAATTCAAGTCTATCACTATGTATCACTTAGTAGTAACGTAGCTTCCCTTTAGCAGGACAGATGTCTTTTCGTACTTTAGATATGCAGCTGGAAGATCCCGGTGAACTTGACTTATACGGCCAAACATACCTACCTTGAAATAACATAGAACAAAGTGAAATAAAATAGTTATACATTATCTTAGTTAGATAATTTTAGACTTATTTAATTATATATACAGGTACAAGTACTTAAAAGTAATTACCTAGTATAGATTAATTATAATTCTTTAAAAGAAAACATCCCTAACGGATTACGCATTACAACAGTTATGCGATCTGAATTGTACTTTATTGTGACTGAGCAAATGTTGCCATTTACATAAATTATTTTGCAGAGTCAGTCTTCTGTACTATGTATTCTAATGTAATATCGCATTTTTTTAAACATTAGGCGGATTTGAAAAGTTGTTTTTGCATTTGATATCCCAGTTCTGGAGTCATTGTAGGATATTTAACATCCCACTACGACCTTTAGGAGCAAAGCAGTGACCATACCCAACTGCGAAGAAAGAGATCATACCTGCAAGCAGCACCGGCAGCTACTCTGACGACCTCGTGATGTGCTAGGTGGTGTAGATGAGACGGAGCGTCCCGCGGCGCGGTATCGCCGTGCCCCAGACGCCCGTCGTCCCCGGCGCCCCATGACCATGCCCCACCACAGGTAGAACAACACAGATAATGACGACCAGCCGGGTGACAAGAGATTTGACTTATAATTTGATTTTCCAAACCTAATGACAAAGATATCGTATAATACGTGCTATATAAAATAACTACATGAGTTGTCTGCAATGAAATTTAAACAGTTCATTAAACTTAAATTGTCATAGAAAGTTTACTATAGCATCAACAATTTTTTAAATGATAAAGCTAATTGGCTGTAACATGAATTCCTCGTTCTCATTAACAAATAATGTCTTACCTTAATTGTAACACAACATAAAAAATAAAAATAAAACATAATTGAGTTTTTTGAGGTTACTTCTTAGTCATTCGGCAGCCTCAGTAGAAGCACAAAAACGAAAAAAAAACAGTCATGTGATTTTCAACATGTGATACAGCTAGTTTATTTTTAATCTAATTTTAAACTGCCTTTTATTAGTCATCATCATCCTCCGAGCCTCTACCCAAAATAGGTTGGGGTCGGCTTTCAGTCTACTACTACGATTCTGCTGAACTTCGGTTTTTTTACGTGGAGGAGCGACTGCCATCAGACCTCTACAACCCTATCTCTCACACTTGTCGGTCTTTTTAGGGCTCCAATTACCCGTAAAATAATAAATTTAGAGGTCAATTACACATATTTTTTCCAATATTAAAATCACATTTTTGGATTAAGTTATTAATTTAAAGTTGTAAACTTAATAAGTAAATCACTTTGATTTACAAAATTTCCACATACGAATCGGACTTATATAGCAGCTTTGGACACTATTTTTTTCGTTTTGGTTGTGTAATCATCATCATCAACATCCTTTAACAGTCCACTGCTAGATATAACCTCTCTTTGTTAGGAAATATTTACCGGGGACAAGCTGAGGTACCATCGTGTCATACGGCAAAGAGTAGACAGCGCCGTCATGAGTCAAGAGTAACGCAAGTTTTTCAGCACACGTGATTTGCTGGATTCTCAAGACGCCCAAATGAAGAGGTCCTACACCAACGGATACCACTTCTTGGGCTGATTCCATACACTGTAATAACAATAATCAAGTTAAAATATAAGCAGTGCCTGATTGGTCTTTATTGCCATGATAAAATAGCAATGCAATTCGTCTAGGTGTAAAAAGTTATATCTGCAAATATAAGAAGGTTGACCACTGATAAGCCTACAAGGAAAACAATTAAATGGATTATTTTTCTTTTCAAATGTCAATGTCAAATTTTTTGTTGTGTCCTTCAAAGTTTTTTTATTACATGGACATACTTATTTAATTGTGTTTTACTAAATAGAGGTCAGTGATTTACACTTTAAGTTACATAGAAAACATTGTATGAAGTGAAAAACCGTACAGATTGATTGCAGTGACATTCGTATTTGAAAATAATAAAAAAATATACAAAAAAAAAACCTTCTAAAACATAATAAACTGGTATAAGACAAGACCTTGTGGAAAGGAAATGGCTAAATAAGTAAAATACGCGTCGAATTTAGAACATCCTTTTTTTAGTTAGTAAAGAATAAAGAATATGTATTGTTCCATTCAATTGATTTAAAACTTACAGTAACAAATCCCTTCATTGGCGGTAACAAAGGCGCCCCAAGCCGGTCCAGATGACATAGTAACGCAATTCCAGCCTTTCTGACGCTCATTAATCCATCACCACTCGGAATCGTCAGTTCCCTGTTGAAATCATAATTTTAGTTCTAATTATCACTGATTAGTAATTTCCCAAATGCAAAGAACACAAACTATTGTGAGACAAGTGTAGGGGGTTGTCATAGGGCGCCTACTTATGCTATGCAGCAGAGGTTCAATCAGACTTTTAAGAAGTGAGAACTTTGCAAAAGTGTAGGACATATATTGAAACTTTCTTGAGACTTAAGTAGTAGTCATCTCACTCAGTAACAAGAACAGCATTTGATGGCGAAGAAAGATGATACACTAGTGTAAAAATCTGAATTTCATGATCTTATTAACTCACTTTAAATAATTTTCAGCAGGATTAGGTTCAGTATTTATTTCGCTGTTGACTATAGGATTTGGTGCAGGAACTTTAGCCATACGCCGTAAGAAGGGGCCCATTGGAGCAGTGCATTCTTCTAATGTTATTCTGTAATGAAATCTAGGCATTAAACGCAACATCTCCTCCTCTTTTTAATACCCAAGTAAACAATGGTGTCATTTGTATGACGTTTAAAAAAAGCATAATCATATACTTCAAATGATAGAATAAACTGGCAATGATAACAATGCAATATAAAATATGTGTGTTTGTTTACCTATTATCTGGCTGTCGCTTTTTTTTTAGGTGGTAAAGTAACTAGAACATCAGCTGCCTTCAATAATGCAGGTAGTTCAGCTCTTCTTGCACAGGACTCAACCCACACACAAAGTGATGTTCGCCAGTCACCCAGTGGAACATTGCAGCCAACTTCACTGTAGATCAAGTTAGTATTTAATTTATAAAGTAGCAGTTTATTAAAATAAAAAGGTTAAGCCATGGCCCACAATATCTTTTATTCTTTTTAAAAAGACAACGCCCGCACTGGAAACATATCCTGTGTCGCGGGGGACTTTACAAATATTCATGAAAGAGAATAGAACACCCAGACTCAGAACAACAATTTATAAATCACGCAAACTGTTGTCCCATGTGAGGATCGAACCCACAACACTCAGCGCAGTAGGAAGTGGCGTGATGGTCGCTTAAACTACTACTCGTACGCCATCCGTGCATTCAAATCTAGTTCAGTTCACTCTTTTTTTTTATGTTCGGCAATCCCCTCGGATTCCACCTACTGGTGGCTATGTCCGACTCTCGAACCTACTAAAAACCGCACGCCGTCTCGGGTACCAGTAGCCCGGGAACCAGGTGTACCCTAAAAAGGAAATCCCTGGTACCCCGACGTACCTCGGGCCATCTACGGAGGGTAGATGACCCCCTCCTGTGTGGAAACCCTCATGTTCCCTTGCAGAAGCAGAAGCAGACCGGGGTGGTGGCGAGAGGCGCTGCCGAACACAGCGCTTCTCGCCACCACCCCGGTCTGCTTCTGCTAGGGTGACAGATGGCCTCATCTGTCACCCCCATCCCTGCGCTTATGTAGGACGGAGGTCATTCTGCGACCGCCGGCGCCTGAGCCACCTGCGGTACCTTGCCCGTTCCCGTGCCTGGCGGGCCGGGAGAGTCCTAAACCTATCCCGGTCCCGCCATCTCCTTCACAAGCATAACTTGCTCACAGAAGGAGACGGCGGAGTTCCACGCACTCTCGCTCCGCACCATGGCCGCAATCATGTTACGCCACGAGGTCACGCCTCTGCTCCACCCACGCCGGGCATTCTGCCAGCGTGTGGAGCACCGTGTCCACGGTCCGGCCATCACAGTGGTGGCACTCAGGCGTTGGCTCCTTGCGGATCAGACACAGGTGATCTCCAACACATCCTTTCCAGTGATCACCTGCGTCAACCAGTATGAGAGGGTCCCGTGATGCCTCTCAGGTCTTACCGCCGCGATAATGGCGTGCCCGAGTTCAGTTCACTCTAGGATCACGTATCGCAATTACTGACTGCATCCATAAATGTGATGAATAAAATTAGATTAAATTTGAGTAATATCTAGGTTAATATAGCGCCGTTGTATTCTCAGATTCTTGGGGTCAGATTATCTTTGTTGTTAGGAGCTAATAATAATAATAATAATAATAGCCTTTTATTTCCCATAACAAGTAACTCAACATTTGGTAGATTTTTATAACAACAAACTAATTTCACTTCTCTTGTGGAATTTACATAGGTATATCTTTTTATTTATTTTTATTTATTTATTTGATTCTTACTTTATTTCATTTTCTCTATTTAATTTTTAATTTTTAAAGGGGAACCCACTTCTGGGTGAAGGCCTCCTCCATTTCTGACCATAGGTTTCTGTTTTTGGCTAGTCTCGTCCAGTTTGGCCCAGCAAGGGCCACGATATCGTCGCGCCATCGTCGTTTTGGCCTGCCGCGTGGTCTAACTGCATCTCGTGGGTACCAGTGCAGGACTCTCTCACTCCATCGTCCATCGGTTGTTCTCGCTATGTGTCCAGCCCATCTCCATTTCAATCTGCATAATACCTCAGCGGCATCTATGACTTTAGTTATTTTTCTTATGTCGGTGTTTCGTTTTCGATCGCTTAGCTTAAAACCTAGCAGGCTTCTTTCTGTCGCAGACTGGAATACTTTAATTTTTTGTATTATTTCTTTTGTAAGCGCCCAGCTTTGGCAGCCGTACAGTAAAGTAGGTAAAACCACAGTATCCATTGCTTTTTTCTTTAGTTTAACAGGAAGTTTCGATTTAAATACTTCTTTGAGCGACCAATACTTAGCCCAAGCTTTCTTTACGCGACTTTCAACTTCTCTTTTCGTCTGATCATTGAAGCATATAATTTGTCCCAAGTATGTATATTCATCAACATACTGTACTTCTCTTGATTGTATAACCAAAGGGATCTTCTCTCTATTGGTCATAACGCAGGTCTTATTAGGATTCATATGTAATCCGCACTTTTGACTCTCTATGTTCAACGTCTTCAGTAGGTACTCCAAGTCTTCATATCCTTCCGCCATCAGAACAATATCGTCGGCGAATCGTAGATGGTTAATGTATTCGCCGTTTATGTTAATGCCTATTTTTTCCCAGTTTAGTTTTCTGAATATATGCTCCAAGAGTGCAGTGAACAAGTTAGGAGAGATTGGATCACCTTGTCGTACTCCTCTTCTCATTCGAAATGGTTTTCCTTTCCGTTCCAGTTTCACAACTGCCCAACTGTTTTTATATATTTCTCTGAGAACTTCAATATATGTTTCATTTATTCCCTGTTCTTTCAGTGCATTCCATAAAGGGTCATGTAATATTGTGTCGAACGCTTTAGAGTAATCGACGAAAGCGATGTATAACGTTTTATTGTATTCTTCATATTTTTCAATGATCTGTGTTAGGGTAAATATGTGGTCAACGGTAGAGTACCTTTGACGAAAGCCTGCTTGTTCTCGGGGCTGATTGAATTCTAGTTGTTTAATGATTCTTTTAAGTAGGACAGCAGTAAATACCTTGTAAATTGTTTGTTGTAGGCTAATCGGTCTATAGTTTGAAATATCATGTGGATCGCCTTTCTTGTAGAGAAGAGAAATTATAGATGTGTTCCATTCCTTGGGTATGACTCGGTTATGCAATATTTCATTAAATAATTTTGTAATAAGAGGAGTCAAAGGTTCTTTGATAGCTCGTAGAACTTCATTTGTAATACCGTCCTCTCCTGGGCTTTTGTTGGACTTCAAATGATTTATCACCGAGGCAATCTCGCTGTTCAAAAAAGGTGGTAAATCTTCAATATTACAATTTTGCTCTTCAATACAGTCGTTATAATCTGTAAATTTGTCATCATATAGCTGTTGGTAGAAGTCTGTCGCTATAGAGATTACTTCACTTCTGTTTGATGTTTTCTGTGAGTTGTTATTTTTAAGCGACATAATCCATTTCTTACCATTATTCAATTTTTTCTTGGCTCTCTTAAACGAAGCTCTTTTCTCAATCTCTTCCTCTATTACACTGTATCTGTACATTTTTCTGTCGTGTCTTAGTTGTTTTTTTTACTAGTTTATATAGCGCGCTTAGTTTATTTTTCTCGGATCTTGATCTATTTAATTTATTCTTTAGTCTATTTCTCTCGCCTATTAGTCGTATTATATATTCGTTTATTGGTGTCTGCTTTTTCATGTCTTTCAGTGGAAGTTTTTCTACAGATTGCTTTATGCAAGAGCTTAGTCTTTCGTAAGATATTTGTGTATCGCTCGTTATTTGTAATGCTTTCGATAGATCTTTAAAAGCTTTATTTATAAATTCTTGCTCTATTTGGTCTAAGTCGCATGCTTTACGTCTTGTGCCGAATTTTTTGCGTGATATTTTGTTACATTGTCCAATATATAGCTTTGCTCTCACCAACCTGTGATCACTCGGAAAGGTTGTGTTGATAATTTGTATGTTTCGTATGGTGTTCTTATCTCTTGCCAAAACGAAATCAATCTCGTTCTTATTTTTGCCATCGGGGGAGAGCCAGGTCCACCTACGTTTACATTTTTTCTTAAAATAAGTGTTCATTATGTGTAACTTTTGTTCGAAACAAAAATTGACAAGAAGAGCTCCGTGTTCGCTTCTTTCACCATATCCCCATGGTCCCATTATGGTTTTATCATCATAGGTGGGCTGGCCAATCTTTGCATTAAAGTCTCCCATAATTAGTGTAAGTTTACCAGTGTTCTCCATTACTTTTCTTAGGTCGTTATAGAAGGCTTCAATTTCATCGTCTATGCTTTTCTCCGTTGGAGCATAACATTGAATTAGATGCAAATGTAGATTGTTAAATTGTAGATCCAACCGTATAACTCTATCCGAGATGGCGTAAATGTTGATAATATTTAGTTTCCATTTTTTATTTATTAAAAAACCAACGCCATTTCTTCCAGGTTTTTCTCCAAAATAAATAAAAATGTACTTTTCATGCTCTATTATTTCTTTTCCCGCTTTCTTAATTTCGGATAAACCGATCACGTCCCATTTTAGGTTATCGAGCATATATTCTAGCTCCAAATATCTAGTTTTATTCACTAAAGATCTCACGTTGAAAGTACAGATATTAAATAAGGTAAGATTTTCCTTTTTGTTCTTATATTTTTGGTTTTCAGGAACAGGAGGGTTTTGGTCATCTTCCCCCACGGTGACCAACCGGCTTGGGGTGCATTTTTTTGTTGGTTTGTATGAAGTTATGATATTTGTTCTATTTTGGTTCTTGGTGCCGGTGGTCTTTATAAGTTTTTTGGGATCTCAGAGAGTGAAGCAGATCTGCCTCGTTCAATGTAGTTCAGTATGTTGGGTTTTAAGATTTCTCTTCCCTTCATTGATGTAGTAGCTGGGTTGTCCTTTAAGTCTATTTTTTTTTGTGATGAAGAGTTCGGTGAGTCCAGACCGTCTCTTTTCCTTTTGTCTCTGTTTATTCCTGGTGGTTTCTTAACTATTATCTTATCATGCCTTAAAAAGGCTATGTTTCCTTTTTTTCTTTCTTCTTCCACTTGTACTTGTAATTTCTTCCGTTTCTCTAGCACTTCTTTGGTGTAGTCTTCTTTCACATAAATACCTTGAGGAAGCTTTGACTTATTTTTCAGAATCAGGTGTTTTTTCCAAAGGGACGTGATGGAGACTACGATAGGCCGGTTTTTAACAGTTTCCTTGTTGCCAATTCTGTATATATTGCTAATTTCCTGGCTACTTAGGTGCGTCCCTGTTTCTAGAATCGTGTCCTTGAGGTAGTCTACCAGTTCCGCTTCTGTTTTGCCAATCTCCTCAAAGCCAAAAAAGACCAGGTTGTATTTCTTTTTCTCTCTTTCCATGACATTAAGTTTTTGCTCCAGTGTAGATATTTTGTCTTTGAGCATAGTATTTTCCTCTGTTAATAACTTTAGTTTCTCATCTAATGCCTCCATAACGTTTTTCGTCACCGACTCTGTTATTAGTTTAGCTTGTTGATTCAATTTCTCATCCAATCTTGATAGCAACAACTCCATACTTTTTTCCATTTTGTTTGGTTTTACAATGCTGGTAGGATTTAGATTGTCGTTGCTGGCAACACTGACTCCGTATGTCAGTCAAATGACGTTGCTTGGTTGTCAAAGTGAAGTATGTTGATTATGTTGGCAGCACTACTATGACATGCAATAATTTTCACTTTTAGGTTAAGTTGTTGCCTGATTATTTGTAGTTTTTTGTTCACTAATGGTTGTTTAGCACTTTGTTCACTTTCTTGTTTCGTTTTTTGTTGTCTAGTCTGATAGTTTTCGTGTTGAGACACTGTTATTTTACACTTTTTACGTTAAAATGAATTATTATTTGCGGAGGGCTTTGACGTACGTGTTTACGTTTCGAACACCGGAACCGGAACCCTTAGGAGCTAAGAGAGTGACTAAATGTGTTAACAACGATGAGTCCTGGACTCTTTTCTATTTCAGGGACAGTATGACATATCATGTTGTTTAGGTCAGTGCTGTGATGACCTGTAGAGCATCCTACACGTAAAAAAATTAGAGTCAGGTTAACTACTCTTAATTTGTATCAAAATGGGTTTACGAAATTTAAGAATTAATTGAAAACTCAAATTGTATGGGTTGAATATTTCTTAAGACTTCACAGACGCGTACCCGATCACAACCTGATGTAGAAACTTCGCAGCGCTGTCTACAACTTCTGCCCATATTCGTTGTGAACGTGGCGCGTTATGGGTCGCGCCTCCGGCGAAAAGTGCTGCGTCCGGCAAAGCGCGAACTGCATCGAGTGCATCACGTAACAATGCAGAACAGACGTCAGCGTCTTCGCCGCAGCGCCATGCCCGTCGTACTAGGGATAGAGCTAGCCGAAGAGCCGCACGCGCACCTACACGTTCTAATCCCAGAGAGCTAAAATAAATATATAAGTACAAACACATATTAATTTGCAAACTATATATTTATACTTACCAGAACTTTTCTTTATATCATCATCTTTAAATGCTTAAATATTTCAAAACAGAGTGTTAGGATGATATAAAAAAACATTAACATAACTTAGAGTATGCATGGTGCAGCATGGTGACCGATTAAGAATACAGAGTTACACCACCCATATTCATCCCATGGGTGTTGTAAGAGCCAACTAAGGGAGCAAACATTGCAGGGCAGTAGCACTGCAAAGAGAAGGAAAACTTGAAACCTTGGCCAAAACCTCCTTTCTAAGGAGAGGCCTATGTCCAGCAGTGAACTATTAAAGGCTGTTGATGTATGGCCAAACTTGTTTTAGTTTTTACTTAGGTAAAATTTTAAACACTTATATATCCTAAGAAACATCCCCAATATTACATAAGATTGAACACCAATTAAATATTTAAAATAATTACTTTTAATAAGTTTTTTTTTTCAATGTTTTTAAACAACAACTGATACTGTATGTCCTCGTGTCAAAACAATCTGTACAAAAACAACCTGCTGCATTTGGATAAAGAAAGAAAACATGTCTATTATGATATCTTATCAAAGTCATAATACATGTATGATTCAAATAAAAAACAATGAACATTGTTTTCTTCCCATTAAACTACTAGTTAAACATTTCTCTATAATTTATCCAAATGGGCAGTTCTAGTAACAGCAAGATACCTTTACTGTTAAAACTTAAAGGATATGTTGTATGGTCAACTGACAGTGTCATCAATACCACTCATGAAAACATGCACAAGAGACACATATGTAGTATGTATAACAGTAGACAAGTTTGTTGACAGGGTGGCAACATACTTGTCTACTTATAGTGCTCCCCCCAGTTTTGAAATAATATTTTTTTATTAGTATTCATACCTTTCTGAATCTTCACTATGCTCATCATTGTCCTCCTGACCCTCCATAGGGACATCAACAGATTTGTTCATAGTATTCACTACATTGCTAAGTGCTCTATTACTTATAGCATGTGAAGGCTTCTTATCTAATTTTACTTTTTTTGATTCTTTATTCTGATTTTGATCCCTGAAAACATAAAAACAAGACAAATGATTATAGGCTGCATATGGAGGAGGAGAGAGAATACAGATGAAGTAAGGAAAACAATGTTATCCTGGCCTGATATAAAAACAACTACCTTTGTCTATGATAATGTTTATTTCTGTAGTGATATCTGTCATTAGCAACTGCAGAAGTAACATTAAGCATACATCAAAAACTTTTCATTTACATATAAAAAATTGATTAGCCAGTCTTAAATTAATCAGTATTAATTTGTATAGTAGTCACAAACTTTACACAAAATTAAAAAAGTTTTTATAAGAAAAAAACAGATTCATCTTTATAAAAAAGAACTCCCACATTAGGAATATTATGTTCTGTATCATGGGGGACTTTAAAATCAAACATGAAACAAACACAAAGAATACCCAGACTCAGAATAATAATTTGTAAATCATACAAAGTAGTGTCCCATGTGGGGATCACAATGTGGGGATACTCAGCACACTAGGATGTGGTGTGGCAACCACTTAAACCTCTAAATCATTGGTACAGTCTCAATCTTTGATTCATTGATGGAAGATATTTAAATCATATCTATTGTCTACCTTATAACAGCTACCAGATGTCTATTGCACAAAATTATTAATCGACGAATTTGAGATATATATGGACAGGTTACTGCTGTAGTTATGGCCCGGTTACGCTGCTCCCAAAGCAATGATTCCATCAGACTTTGGAGACATTCTGGACCTGTAAGTAGAAAAAATAATTAAACATCTAAATGATGTAGAAGATTTACATTTAAATTTTTTCAAATGAAATATGGAATAATAAACTTTAACACCATAAAAAATATAACAATATACCTGGATCTAGTTTCCACTTGAGATCATCAATTATCTGAACTGAAGGTGGTGGTGCTGCAGCTTTTGATTGAATTGAGATTCTAAGCTCCTCCTCAGTCGAGAGAGCAGCACATGGAGGGCAAGCACACCCTGAATGCGGCCCACACAACCCATCACAGCACGTACAAGTTAATATCTAAATAAAACAAAATTAGTTCTCTTATGTCTCATAGAGTATTGGTGTTCATAATTGTTAAATAACATACAATAGAAAATAATAGACATGCAGTATTATTAATAAATAAAACAGCTTACTCTAAGCCCACAATAGTATTTTCCACTATCACCGAGTTTAGCAGTTACACCAGCACTGTTGACGAGACCGTTTCCGGCGTCGAAATATATTTCTCTGTCTTGCAAAAGGCTATTAAACAGGATGTTTAAGCCGTCAGGATTGTGAAGAGCTTCCTGTAGATCAGGATTCAACCATTTTGCATCCAAATGTTGTTGCGGGCGAAATATGAAATCGTCTTGGTCCTCAGGGCCAGACTCAGACATTTTCGCAACCGGTGCTTTAAACTAACTCATATGCCCATTTTAAATAGATTATCTAGATTTAGTTGATGATATCTAAGTAGTCCTAACTAATCACCCTGATGTTTTCATTCTGGTACATTTAGGAAATTAATGAATTAAAATAATACACTGAGACCCGAAACAATAATCGACAAATCAATCGTTGGTCCGAAGAAACCTGTCAAAAATATGACCACTTTACACTTTACTTTGATCAGCTGTGTTAATTTCCTTTTTCTTAGATTATATTATTTTAGACATTATAGTCTCAGTTCATGGTACTGAGATCAACTTAAAAGCAATTATTATACTTAAAACCCTTATTATAACTTTACATTTTTATAAGAATTTAATACTATTTAAAAATACAAAGTATTGAAACAAAATTTGATTTGTACTCTGTAGAATGAAACGTAAGAGTGCGTTATGAGAATATTATCAAAATTTCTGGATACATTCTATAATTCTTTTGCAAATATTGAGTAATTAATAACTCTTCGCAAATTTTATGATTTATCAAACTTTTATTCAAACTTTTACAACGTTATTGATTTTCCAATTAGAATATCAATTTACTTTGGTATTCAAATACACTTCACTCAACATTACACATATATCACAGATTAAAAATCTACACTGACTTCGCAGTCGTGTTGTTGTGTTTTTGTATTGTTAACTAGTGCGATGATTAACTTAAATTTAAGTTAGTTCTGTAAATGTATGAATTTCTATATTTGTTCCAATGGATACAGATATTTTAATTGAAACTAAGGATTGTTTATACGGTAATTTCACTTTTTACTTTCACACACTGGCTCCGGCTAATGTCAACAATGTGCTTTTACTAATTTTCTTGGAATAATGTTATTGACCCCTGAATCCTAGTTGATACTCATATTTGGCCTTGAATTCGCTTTCTGTTTCTAATTAGACTTGGTCTGGTTGCTCGTATAGTATTCGTAATTTCCTTCATACTTGTGTTTTTGTGCTTACCTCTTTATCTATAACACAAAATAAGTTAACATGACCTGTGTTGATAAGAACTGTCAATTTGGTTGTAAATTTGTCTTGTATATGCTCTAGGTGAAGATTTTCTAGACCAGTTATTGACAAATGACTACAAATGGTCATCACTACTAGATGCCACAGATGCGTCACCGAGCGAGATCCTGGCTGATGCAGCACCTACCTTAGTGCCGCCTATTTCACCTATATTGAGTTTTAAGTCATCAAACAGCAGTAGCAATTCTGATTCTGGGAGTGAGGATGACTCTAAGAAGTAAGTTAGTCTGACTGAAAGCATTTACTTTCACTTTAATAGGTGACTGTTTATATAATATTTCAACCACTTTTATACATATACAGCTGAATTTTAACTTTCACTTATTACTTTAAATTTAAATACATTTTAATAAATATATATTGCTATATTAAAACAATATTCCACATTAGCCATCTAATTAATCAAATAGGAGATTGGAGGTCCTGAAATGTGTGGTGATGTTGATGTCAATAATAAAAAGTCATAAACAGTGTGTATTAAATTTTAGCAGTTCCAGTAGTACTTCAGCAAGACAATCATCGCAATCACCTGTAGATTGGACATTAACCTTTAATGATGAGCCTGCTAATAACCTAAACCTTGAAGATATTGAACTCTTTCTACAGAAATCAAGTATGTAAAAGCTACCTATTTGCAAATTACTATTTAGCTTTCAGCTATAAATTTATATAATTAATGAACAATAGAATCATTAAAAGCATTAAAATTAGATAACATTCTAAACAATAGTTTACGCACTCAGAGCAATACTTACTTTAATACTGAAAATCATATTAGATTCTTATACTCCCCTTCTAACAAGAAATACAGTCATAGTTTTTTTTTACAATGAAACAGTTTTTCCTTGTTATGATAGCGATATAACTTTATTATCCTTCAACTAAAGGAAACTATATTGCAATAAACAATTACAAAAATTTATGCAACATAGTTTATTGTTTTCAGTGTAGATTAAGAGAATTTCCATAACACAGTGTACTAAAATTCTATTTATTTTAAAATAGCCCCTGTTCCTGTGAAAGCAGCTTCAGGAACTTCTTACATACAAAATGGTCTATCCTCAGAAAGAAATGGACCAGTTATGGCCATTGAAAATGGTGTCATTAAGGTAAGAAATACACATAAAATCCTTTTATTATATTGTCCAAGTAATTTACCTGCTGCACTTAGGAGCTAATTATCCTAACACTAAAAATAGCTGATAATCACAAAAAACTATGAAATTAAAAAAAAAAGTATATAATGGATGTTATAATATTTTTTTCTTAAAATAATTTTTCATTAAAACATGTCAATAAGCTTTATAATTGACTTAATAAGTATTTTTCTATATAAAGAGGATAAAGGATATTTATGTTTTAGGGTATTAAAATGGAGGTTGAAGACTGTGATGGTGAATCAAATAAACTTTACATTAAAAGAGACATAGGTGAGCATTCTTCAATATTATTACTGTATGTATTTTTTTAACCTTCTTTCTAAGGAGAGGCCTATGTCCAGCAGTGGATTATTAAAGGCTGTTGATGTGATGTGATGATTTATTTTTTTACTAGAATGTTTAATGTAATCCAAACATGTGCAATAAGTAAGGCTATGTTCATGTAGCAGGCAATAAGCGCGTGTTTAATTTTTGGTTTAAATCGAATATTCATTAACACACTTAAAACATAGTCTAAACATTGGCTTGAAGCTTCAAGGTGCATAGGCTGAAGGTAAATCTGTGTTATTTGCTAGTATAGGCATTTTAGTATGAGATGTAGCAGGTGTCCAGAGATGCCGCTAGCTGCGTGCAATGTCAATGAAGCCGCCTTTTTTTATACGGAAATCGGCATTCGGATACTCCACACCGGAGAGACACATAAACATATTGAAATAAGGATAAAAAGAACTTCATAAGAAATAACATGCTTTACCAAGCTGAATCGTGTCATATCGTGAGTTTCGGCCCTTTTGGGTGGCAGGGCATTCTGCGGAATGCCAGGACGTGACGCAGTAAGCTTTGGCATGCTGCTTCATACCAAGGCAAGTATTCTTCGGTCTGCCGAAGGACACCCTGCCGTGCCGTGCCTTGTCGCGACGTCAGTCAACTCCGGCCTTAAAACAGCACGCCGTACCATCTCGGGTAGTGGCCGGGGAACTAGATATAACCTAGATAGGAAATCCCTGATACCCCGACGGACTCCGAGTCACATATAACCCCCTCATGTGTGGTGACTGGTGAGCACGGTTTCTCCTCCCTGCGGGCCTCCAGTGATTCAAATTATACATTGGACTTTGAGAAAGTAAACGTAATTTCGAAGCTTATAAACTAATAAATATAATATATTCTACCACATACACACAACGCCATCTAGTCCTAAACTAAGCAGAGCTTGTACTATGGTTACTAGACAACTGATATAAATACATACATACTTTTTTTTTGTAAATACATACACGTCATACATAGAAACACCCAGACCAAATTAAACATCAAATGTTCATGCACACAAATGTTTGACCTGAGCGGGAATCGAACCCGCGACCTTTGGAATAGCAGTCCGTTACACAAACCACTACACCATCCAGTCGTCAAACATTTGCATTTATTTTCGTACACTGGTTAATAGATGTTACTATTATAACATAATAAATATAATAGACGAGCAAATTATGAAGAGGTTTCGTTTTCATGTCTGTTTTGGCCGCCCTCTTGATAATGCCACTCGTGTGCGGTGCACGCTCTGTACACCTTTACCCAGCGGCCCTGTAGGTGTCTTTTCAAAAAGACAAAGAGGAGGCGATTTTAAAAAAAGGACGTCTGATTCTTTTTTTTACAGTTATACACATATTTATAAAATTATCACTTATCAGTCAAGCGTCGAAAATATACTTACTTACGTATAAACTTAAATACTTTCCTGATTTGTTTCTTTGATATTGTGGCATTGTGTGATATGGCATTATAACCTGTATTATGGACTTTTCTTAATTTCCTCCTTGTGATTTACAATTGCATAAAGTAAATTAATTCCTTATCTCGAATATACCGGCGCCGAGAACTGCGGCAGCGTTGCATTGGCTCTGTGAAAATAACCTTCACCTTTGTAAAGAAGCCCACGCTGCAGTTTAGGACATGCAGTGCCGGATTAAGCCAGTGCGGAGCCTTTAGCAAATTCTATCAAGGGGCCCCATGGTTGTTTTAGGTTATCAAGTTTACGGTATTAAATAAAACAAAATTGTTAGAAACAAACTTTCCTTGATTCAATTTGGGCAAATCGACTATATTCAACATTAATTAAAGTGAGGGTATTCAGATGTTTTTGGCTCATCGTGTTCCTCAAGTCATTTAACATGTTTTAATGTTAGAACGATCATTTACCACTGTAGTTTTTGATCATCTTGAGAGACAAATAAATGAGCAAGGTGCAATTTCAACAAGATTGTGAAGAATAATTTAGCAAAATTATTAGCGTCAGTTGATATAAAATTGATATATCTGGAGTAAAACCCAATGACACAGTAGTATTTGCAGCTATTAATTTCACAAATAATTTGATGCAGTTAGATAGATAAACTCCACACATGTTGTTAATATTAATAATAATATAAATAAGACGATTAATTCTAGTAAACCTAAATAGTCGATAAGAAGATACATTTTTAGGATCAGAAAGCGTTGTTGCGCGAGGCCCCCAAATGCGCGGGGCCTGTAGCTTTTGCTACTCTTGCTACGTCTTTAATCCGCCTCTAAGAACATGATGGTTTATTGATAAAATGTTATAAAAATTATATACTAAATACGTAATGCGATGCTAATATTATGATATTACAAGCAATATACTATAGTTTCATCACGTTTTATGTACTGGACCGTAGCGATCCTAGCGTGATGGTATATGATCAAAATACCTATATAGGGTTACATTCCTCGACAACAGGTTTTCTAAGAGAATGAATTTTACAAATTGTACTCTTAGAATCTGAGATTGTCGTGTTCATGCAAAATTTAGATTAGTCATGTAAGCTGAACTAATTAGAACTATATTGTGTTCGATAATCGTAAAAAATCTGTTCCAATCTAGAGTTTGTTACATAATATGATATTTATAACTACGTTAGAACATTTCGAGTATTAAATAAGTACAACAGTTCACTGTGACCTTGTCATAGTTATAACTGTATCTATTAAACTGAAATGCTTTGCTTTACTTATACTCGTAGTCGCCACTACTGCAGAAATAATTTATGTAGTAGTAGCGACTATAAGTAGTTGAAAATGTTATGTTACTAGATGGAAAACTGCTTTTAAAATTGTTGATTTTACATTCACAATTGACTGAAGCTTCAGGTATATTTGCTTACCGGTAGTACTATTAGCCAAGTGCTTCATTTGTCAAAGTAGCAACTACTATCGCATTTTTCTTATGGAATGCTTCAACTCTTATAGCGTCAAAATGTTTTATTTATACTTACTCAATGCAACATTTTACTAGCTAAAAACTAAACTTGGCACATATTTCCATCACAGATTTCGTACTCGTATGTGTGTCTAATCGTCACAGCCCATTTTTCTCGAACTCTACTGAACCCATTAAGTTGAAGCTTGCACACTGCAACGCTCATTTTAATTGATAAAAAATCAGGTCTCTACGGGTCCGAAATAAAATGTTACATATGAAATGAAAGGAATGATGTGGGTGTCTTATATTTGTTATTATTTTATCATTAATATTTTTCAAGTTATTTAAGAAAGTAGATGAACATTGAATTTACTTGAACAAACAAACGTTAGAAAGGCAAACCTATAAGAAGCCTATTGTCTCGAAATAACATCTATTCATGTATAAAATTGAAGTATCTGCTCCGTGTGGTGACGGAGGTCCGTGTGGTGACGGATTAATAATACAGAGTGTCAGTACCCCTATTCATCCCGCGGGTGTCGTAAGAGGCGACTAAGGGAGCAAACTACGCAGGACAACAGCACTGCAAAGAGAAGGAAAACTTGACACAAACCCTATACCAACCCGTCTGGCCAGCGTGGTATAGCAGGCCAAAACCTCCTAAGGAGAGGCCTATGTCCAACAGTGGACTATTAAAGGCTGTTGATGTGATGTGATCTGTTTGTAATGTCAAAATAATATTTTTTTTCATGCCCACACGGTTATTGCACAATGAAGGAATCCTCTGCACGCTAGTTGAACTCGAACTTAACCTATTTTTGGTTTCAGGCAATGTTAACCAACAAAATTCATATTTTAAAGTGATAAACGAAAATACAAATGGTAGTCCCCCAAATGAAAAGCCGGTGGGTGCGAATGGACAGATTCAGTTGATCGTGGAACAGAAGAAAGTGCCTAGTATACTTAAGAGAAATTGGAATATAGTCAAACCACCTAGCATTGTGATACCAGCAGAGAGTACAATAGGAGGGAAGATCGCGATATCACCGCTACTGCAAAGTAATCATCATGGTGCAACGGACGCTCAACCCAAGGTTAGTTTTATGTAAAAGCTTATGCTTTTTTGTCTTAAGAACTTAAGTAACTTAACGACTTAAGAGAAAAAAAATGCACCACCGCATTGTACAAAGGTATGATGAAAGAACATTATACAGAATGCTTTTTTTTGTATAGAAGAGGGGGCAAACGAGCAGACGGGTCACCTGATGGAAAGCGACTACCGCCGCCCGTGAACGCCTGCAACTCGGGAGTCACGCCGGCCAGTCAGCGCGTTGCCGGCCTTTGAGGAAGGATTACGCTCTTTTCTTGAAGGTTTTAAGGTCGTATCGGTCCGGAAATACCGCAGTCGAAAACTTGTTCCACAGGTTGGTAGTGGGAGGCAAAAAGTGTCTTGAAAAGCGCATAATGGTGGACTGCCAATTATCCAAGGGGTGGGGATGAAAATTTTACCGTGTGGAACGATGGCGGCAAGTTGCGGCCGGTATTTGTCCGGTAGTAGTACAATTCCTCGGAGTACTCTCCATGATATATACGATAGAGAATGCAGACCGAAGCTACATCTCTACGTAACGCCAAGGGATCGAGCCGGTCGGAGATCGCTCGAGTCGCTCCTCTATGGATATGGTCCATAGGGAGAAGCTGGTACTGAGGTGTCCTTACATAGAGATAAGAACAGTATACCATATACGGCTGTACTTGCGCCTTATAGAGTTGGAGGCTGGAGTGAAATACTGCCTCGATCTGTTCAGCACACCGAGGCCAATTTGACCTTACCCTCTAAATGACCGCGAAACTTGACTTCGCTCGATATTCGATACCTAGGATGCCAATACTGGCTGAGGCAGTTAGGAGGCGATAAGACCAACGGTCTTATCGCCTCCTAACTGCCTCGGTCCTCGGTCTCCTAACGGTCAAATCTTTTTTGCAGTGAACGCTCAAACCTGTGTCTTTTTTGGGTGAAAATGGACTAGATTCAGTCGACTTCAGTCTGAAACCTCCGTTAAGAAAGTTTCAATTTCACACAAGTTTGTTTCGATTCTCGATGACGTTTTTTCGAGAAATATTGGGGCGGCTCGTATAAAAGGCATATCCCGTGCTATCATCTGCATAGCAATAGATGCTACTAGCTCGCTATTGATATGCAGAAGAAACAGTGTGGCTGATAGCACACAGCCTTGCGGGACACCAGCATTTACAGACTTTAATTCGGAGCATACACCGTCGATAACGACCTTAATGCTTCGACCTGCAAGGAATCTGGTGACCCAGTTACATAATTTGATGGTAAGCCCATAGCAAGAGAGCTGTGTGAAGGCCTTCGCTATGTCCAAGCTTACCGCTTATTTTGTAAGCAGAACAGTCTCGCCAATATCAGACATTAACAAATTTCCACAGTTTATGGCTACCTGATTAAAGCAAGTAACAACTTCATTTCTTTCTTTTTTCGGGTTTGATCCAATGTTACCCAAAATTACTGTACGTAGTTGTATAACATCAGTCACGACGTATTTTTAATTTAAGGGAACTTCGCCTAGCAGCAACATAGTGCTTAATCCTAAACCTGTTGTACCCTGTAATGGGTCAACTGGCCCAATACAAAGTCGTCATGTTACGTCTCCGGTTGAGAGTGATGCACCAAATAGCCCCAGTGGGGTAGACCTGTCTAGTTTTAGTGAAGCTGAGATAAGGGCTATCAAAAAACAACAAAGGATGATTAAAAACCGGTAAGAAATTCTTATGATTCTATTTGTTTGCTCTCTTTTCACAGTTTTTGTTTTTAATTTTAGTAACTCGTAGAAGTCATAGTTATTAATACCCACGAAAAACCTTGATACACAAACTTTCTTTCTTTTAAAATACACAAATATGAAATGACAAAAAATATCTAAATATAAACCAGTAGAAATTAAAATAAACGTTATCAAACCAAACCAAAATTGATTTATTTTTAAGATAATGATAAAGTTGTTCAGAACAACCATCAAGAATGACTCTCATAATAAAGGTTATAACTTGGTGATCTTAGCTCTATAAAGACAAAAACTTACACAAAATCTCTCTTGTAGCAGTAAAAAGTACATTTCAATTATCTCGTACAGTGAATCTGCCTGTCAGTCTCGCCAGAAGAAGAAAGAATATGTATCGGCTTTAGAACAACAGTTACTTGAAGCACAGCAGGAAATTGCTAGGCTGCGATTAGAAAATAAGCTTTTAAGAGATCGACTTGAAAGCAATGGCAGAAGTAGAAAGGTAAAGATTTTTTATACTCCGTCGTAGAGATTACTGTCATAACAACAGTATTCATCCTAGTGGATGGCAACATAGTAATATATTATCCAACCTTGGGTCTCGTTTGTGTTGATTGCTTATAAAATCCCAACATTAGGCTGCAGGTACATTTTAACTATCATTTTAATATATTGGCCTAATATTTTGTGAATATTTTATTGTATTCGTCAATGTGCTATATTTTTTTAATATAGAATCAACTAAAGTAATATTTGAGAATAATACCTAAAAAAAACAAATGAATACATTTAAAAATTTCTTACGTCTTTTAAATATTACAAAGAGTTGTACAAGTCTATGACTTGTTCTCATTAGAAATGTAAAATTATTGAGTCATAAAAATCTTTTAGTTAAGTGCCTGTAACTTTAAACGTAAGATGATAAAAATAATTGTGTGACGAGCACGATCTTTTATTGTGTGTCTGTGTTTAATTTATCTATAGTACCTATTGATGTATTTAGAAAAAAAATAGTATGTTTATCAGCAGTCTGGCTACCATAATACAGGCTCTGACCAGACAGTCATGTGTGTATAGGAATATTACAAGATCAACTCTAAAGTGTAAGTGACGTGACAACTGTAAAGTGACGTGAACTTGCATATGCATGCTGATGCATGTATGCTAATGTATCTGATCCGAGTTGATTACACCAGTGGCAATCTAAATGCTACGTTAATTCCTAGTTCCTAAATACTAATATTGCTCAAAAAAATGTGTTGTCACAGATGCCGAGACTGGATGCATCACTGTTAATACCTAAGAAGAACATAGCCGTTATATTTGCAATGGTATTCATGGTGTCATTGAATTGGAATGTTTTAGGGTAAGTTGAAGTTATTAACTTATTTTGTTGTTATTGCGTTACCTTTATTGCAGGAGAATAAGCTACATTGTCATTCCTATCACTCTTATTATTTCTATACACATCTTATTTTATTATTTAAAAAAACTTCTCAACGAAATTGTTTAATCTATCTCTGAAAAGTCTTAGACGTACATACGTATCTTTTAAAAGGATTTAATACAATTTTACAAAGAGAATTTAAAGCACAAAAAAATTACAATCGACCGACTCCTCAGTATGTACCTATACTATTGTTGTTTTGTTATTTAACAGTGTCATAGCTCATTTAGCTTAATTGTAGAATATAAGATAGGCTGGTACGTTTTATACTGCATGAGAATATAATGTTATGTATTTAAGGTGGAACGCAAAGCCTTTTGTCGGTCCGTCCACGCCACATCGGAGCACGAGGCATTTGCTGTGGGCCGAAGACAATGCAATTGATATAGCTAATGGTGTGTATACTATAAGATTACATAAATTTATTCTGTTTAATATTTGTCGGTCATCGTGGTGAAAAGTAGTCCATAGCACTCAGGGATACACTTTTCTAACAGTAAAATAATTTTCAAAATCGGATCAGTAATACCGGAGATTACCCCGAACATACAAACTCACAAACTTTACCTCTTTATAACACTACTTTAAATTAAATCTATTTAGGGTCCCTCTGAACGGTTGAGTGTGAGTACAATTCATAGCAACTAGGCCAATCGCAGCGCCGAACTCGGGCACCATGACGTACGGGTTGATGTGAAATAAACTCACACTAGGTCCTGAATGTGATTATTTGGTAGTGGTAGTTATCACGAAGTTTATCTACTTAGAAATATGTATTGGACTGCAAAACTTCAATAATTATTAGGTTAAAATAAACTAATCAACAGTTTTTTTAATTGTAATTGAGAGTTATAATCCTCGACTATATATAGAAGCAGTTACAAGATCCTATTTAAGATAAGCCGAATGTCTCGATAAATATTCACAAAGCTACCTGACCTTGAAATTTTAAGGTAGTAGAGTTATTTTTTGCTAGGTCACTAAAGGTTAAATGGTCTGGTACAAACTCGTTTCAACTTCAAACAAATTTGTATTGTATTGTTATCACCTTCTTCGAGTCAGGCGGATTAAATTATTATTCTAAGAGTCTACTGGTTATTTTCCTTAGAATAAATAATAAAGGTGTATGTACTTTCTATATTCAAAATGTTTTTGTTGTATTTGTAGTCTTTATAGTTCTACTTAATTTTAAGAGAAGACGTGTATTATTATCTACAATAGCATGATGATAGTGCAATCATGAATTGATGTTAAAGTTGGAATTCATTTTTGAAACTTAAAACTATAAAACAATAGGATTTCTTAAAACATTTAACTATTGAAGTAAAAAAAAAATCGGTTGTATAGCTAATTATGGCCTCCTTTATCAGATTAGAATCGAGTCCATGGCTTAATTGACTTAAGTTTCGAAGCAACCCCACTTAACAAATATTTTATTAAGTCGTTTGAAAATCAACGATTATTACAGAAGACATAACCAACTCTACCTATATGGCAGATTGCCATAACGCTACATTGAAAGCGTCAGACTTTATAAATCAGACAGAGAGCATACGGATAGCAGGCGAGCTGAACCGCTGGATCGGTGGCGGTAAGACCCTCAATTGGACCTATGATACTCCCAGGAAGAAACGGCAAACGTATCTTAGCGAAGAGAAGATTCATGGTAATATTGAGCTTTATAATAATTAATAAATACGCGCCTTTTCCTAACCTTTTTGTAACTTTCTCTACCCTATTCATGTCCTACAACCCATCATTATGGCAGTTGCATAGGTTTCATGTAGGGAGGAACTGCTTCCTTCTCTAAGCCTATATTATGAGTGTTTAACCTTTTATTTAAATTAAAAACAACCGCACAAGAACCCCCGGAAGTATGCGTTTATCGGCACCACTTGAATATTTCATTGAATTTACTAAGACCATCACAAAAATTTATAAATATATTTCGGGTCGGCTATCGAAGAAACACCTGTGTCACCAATATTCTTAAATTAAATCTTACTAAATGCTCTGTTCATGAACTGTTTATGTTTTTACAGGAACCCTTTTAGAAACTTACAGATTGTTCAACAAACTGAACCTAGATAGCAATATTATAGATTTTCCCACAATGAGAACTCAAATGAAAACAGTTAAAGAGAAGTCACGATTACGTCGTCTGAGAAGAAGTAAAGAAATCGAATTTACAGATAATGCTGTTATAGATTATGAGACTTTATATCGAAAGCCTATAAGAAAGTCTGTAGCGGATTTCGATATGGACGACCTAGGCGAATGGAACGCTTTACTTCAAGCTCTGCATAGAAGAGACGATACTTTTTATGTAGTGGGTGTCGGGAAAGGAGAACATCTGCTTTTACCTGCTGTGTCACATAATGACACGAGGCCGCCCAAAATGGCATTGATTCTACCAGCGAGGACAGGGAATGGTAAGCGCATATAAATAAATTTAATATAAATGCCTATTGTAGTACATCTTGCAACATTTTTGAAACAATCCGTCCAGAAAAGGCGATCATGGTTGGTGGACGGCCTAACGGTTAATGTTGGGAAGTTCAATTGCATTTTATGTTATGTATTCAGGCTAAACTGTCGCCACGAAGCGAGAATGTCTCTCATTAAAGTCTTTTAATACTCTTTTAATATAGAAAGACGTTTTTTAATAAAATTAAAACGTTTAAGAACATTTTCTTGTGTATGGATGTATGTTTATGTTTCTTAAATTTATAGCATTATATAGTATGTATATAAATTATATAAATGTATTCAACATTTTAAAATAATTTATCTCATTGGCTCTAATTACACACCTGCCACACACACATCTCTGCATCACCCAAAAGGTTGACTGGAAGAAAATGCCTATGGCATGAAGTCTGCTTTATGCATGCATTTGCAGGAAGTATAAAATAAATAAACATTTCACTTAGATGTAATACTATTAAGTAGATTACCGCGGTGTCGAATAAATCTGATGGGCCTGCTCTATTTTGAAACCCTAGACACGCCGCTGAATACAAATTATAATTAGTGTTCGACAAATTAAAATTACACTCACATTTTCATTTATAGGTAAGAGTATCTAAATGTTGTTATGTATTTTGAATAATTCAACTAACTCACGAAACGCAATAACGGTTAGTGGGATTAGTGAGTTAGTTGAGTAGAGATTGTTATATAATCCTGTATATCATATATTTTCTTTTCAGATTCCAAAATGAATGATCATGTGACACTAATGCAAATCGACTGCTCTGTCGTCAACACATCTCTAGTCAAATTAAAATCCGATGCACTACCTGAAAGTTTTAGGAAACACAACACTAATGATGGGATAGTCGTTGCCCCCGTTCTTAGACCACAAAATAGAATAAAAAATAATAAAGAAAAAATAGATGCAAGTATTTTACATAACTCAAGTGTAACTAATTACTCCAAAAATCAGGATCTTCCACAAAAAGAAATGGAGATCAGTAGAGATGACCTCTTTACAAATTATTTGTTTTCAAAATCCGATAACTCCAAAGGGATAGTGACGAAGCCAAGAAAAGGCACTAACAAAATTCCAGAGAGCCGCATGACAAACGATACTTTAAGTCCGAAATAATAAGAAATATAGTAGTTGTAGTGAATAAAGTAGTTGGGGCTATTGTTACACAAAAACTATTTTATATGCATAGGTAGTATCTGTTTTTATAATTGCGTAACAAACATTGAGAAAATCAAGGCCACCAATAATTTGAACTTAAAGATAAAAAGTTTCCAAATGAGTACCTGGTTTTTAGTACGAAAATAGTCTAAGTAATTAAAAAACTGGATGTAACAGTTCTCTATGGAATCAGCTAAATGCCTTGTGTTACATTAGAACATTAGAAAATATCCTTTACTTGCCAACTTATATTCTGCCTAAAGAATCTTTAATATTGTTATATACTTAGAGATCCTTTATTTGTTCAGTTCTAAATTTGAAATCCGAGTACAGAGGAAAAGTTACTGATCATTGGTGCCATTTCTTTTCTGTGCCTATTGAGTTATAGTTATTGAACTCCTTTGTTAGAATACAGGGCGTATGCCATTGCGAAGGTAGCCTTACAAAACATTAAAGAATCAGAGCAAAAATAATTCTAGGTACTAAAAAGTTAATATACACAGAAATAAGGTTATATTTGTTGTTCACAAAAAATAATTTAATTTTTCTTTAATGAATATGAAATATTATTTAATTTTTTGTTATTTTCTAAAATAAATAAAAGTTATATATATATATATATATATTTAAGTGTAAGTATATAGCCGATCTCAATATGTCATTAACAAAGTCGGTAAAAAAGGAAGTTACCGTTTATGGTTTAAATGTCTTTTATAGTTTTGCTTATAGTTATAGTACAATATATGTAGTTTTTATAGTATATAATTTGCTGAATTGTATTGCTCCCAATTGATTGGTGCCAGAACGGGTATATTTAATTGAGTAAGTAGACTGGATAATTCCGTAAAACAATTTTTAATCGAATCACATTTCACTTAACCGACTGAATATTGTGTAGTGAATTAGTAAATTAAATATTAATAAAAATAATGGGTTAAACATAAATCAACATACCATTAAGAACATATTTATGTACACCGCGTAATTTTTTTAACTAAATTTATTTTCTATTTTGTTATACATGTATGAACTACTTTATATTAGTCACGGTATTGATTTTTTCCAGTTCCACTGTTAATAATTTTCCAAGTGGTTTTAATTCAGCTTCTGTAACATAGTTATGAAACTGTTCACTTTTATTATAATTCCTCTCATCATATAGCTCGTATAATCTTTTCCTACTTTTGATTAAGCCAGTGGTATCCCATTCACTAAATGTGGCGTTACCTTTAACCACTAGCGTTTTTGGTGTAGAAATGGTGTTAAATGTGTAAGAAAAAGTTTCAAAAAAGCTAATATAATAACTGTACTCATTCTCTACGCAGATTTCTAAAGTATTTAAGTTTATCCTTAAAGTTTTCACAACACTTTGCGGTTTGAGGTATCACCACAATTCTTTTTTCTGCTACCTTTTCATACCTATCACAGAAACATACTAATTGACCACAGAGATTTGATAGATTAACAAGAAGACCACCTATGGATAATGGTTCATGTAACCAAACTTAAGTTATGCCAAATGGCCCGAAATCACAACTGTCTCATTTTATTATGATGCACAATACTTGATAGATCTGATTTCAGTTTTAAGCCTGTATTAGGCGCAACAACATCTAAGGAACTCGAATCCGTTGCGATTTGGATATAAAAACGAGTGTAGAGATTCGATACATAATGTTTTCTGTTTGTATCAGGGTTTACTTTATTCTTTTCATTCCGTAAATCCAACAATTGGTAGTAATGCGTTTGAATAATAGTTTCAAATAATGAGATCGAATCAAACATAAATGTTGTTATCTAACTATGTATTCTGTGTCGAAAATTATGCTTACCACATTAAATACCCATATCTCATGCGTTGTCTGATCTAAACGAGATCTAGTTCCTAGTTCTTCGTTTATAATATACCATATCATTGTGCTACTTATAGTGAGCCAAACCATTATTGCTTTAAAGTTTCCGCTACGTTATAAAATCTTACTTGATAAATGAATTGTTGTTGTCATTAATATTGTGTCAAATAAATAAATCAAAGGCAGCCTTTTCAAAATATTACTTAGAAATCCCTTTTCATAATTACATTTGAGATAACCCAGATCAGTCCAGTAACCTTCCTTCCCTACCTTCCCTAAGTCCCAGATTACTTCATTGACAATTATGTTAACTTTGGTTAACATATCAGTTGTAATAAGAACGCAAACACATTTACTTATAAAATTTAAGTTAAAGTGTATTATAATACACTTGTCATAAAAATACGATCACAAGATATAGCTTTGATCTACTTTTTATTTATCTGTTATTTATATTTTAAAATCAGTTCAAATTATGTCGGGATGAGATTGTTAACTTTTGTACCTACACCGTGAAAAGTAGGAAATAGATTCTAATAAAACTTATTAAATACTTTTTGTTTAAATTACTCAGACCACTGACTTTTTGAGCATATTCGTACCCGAACATGGAAATGCACTAAGAGAAGATACGTGGAGTGCCAGTAGCTGCTTTCCAGATCCCTCTTATTTATTGGCGCATTATGTACCATAGGTGGCCAAATTATTAGAGACAGTGCTCGTATTTATGTAATTTATAGTTTATTATATTTTTTTGAATAAATGATGTTGTTTTTAAGCTGTTATTGTATCTGATATATTTACTGGTATCATTATTATTGTTTTTGTCAAATGGCAACACAGAATACGTGCGTCTTTTGTCAATTGTGTGACGTTTCTTCTTTTTAAAAAAGCGCGGTTTTCCGTGTTATTGTTGTATTGTCTAGGTATTATTTTTTCATTAGTTTTAACCGACTTTTGTGTCTTAAATAATCAAAAGGTAAGTAATGCTCCGTATAAGAATAGTTTTGCTGCGTTTTGTCTATGAGTTTAGTTTTGTTACTTTTTAGGATGGGTTGGACTTTGGACACGTCTCCAAGAAAATAAAGAGAGATACAAACGTTGTTACTGCACTCCAAACATTCCCAGAGAGACATAGCAGCTATTGCTGGGGTGTCAAAGTCTGCCGTCAATCGAATAAAAATGAAAATTGACAGTAAAAAGCCTCTTACAAGTAAATCGTGCTGGCAAATGTGGCAGGAAACGGATTACAATAGCTCGTACCGATCGAAAAATTAGGAACATCTGCCTCGAAAACCGTAAAAAGAGCGTTGCTCGTTTAACAGCTATGATAAACGAAGAGGGCGTAAAGATTTCAGAGAGGACATTGCGGAGGCGTTTGGTCGAAGAGAATCTGATGGGACGGCGGCCTGCCAAAAAACCACGCCTAACCGATAGTATGAAAAAGAAACTACTCCAATGGGCTAGGCAACATCAATATATGACTATTGCAGACTGGAATCGAGTAAATGTAACTATTTTGTATAATGCAATTGGTCAATAACAATTTATTTATTTATTCTACTATTCATTCTATTAATAAAATTACAGGTGTGTTTTTCCGACGAATCAACCTTTCAAATTTTGGTTGACAAAAGTTCTTTTGTAAGACGACGTCCTGGTGTAAAATTTCACGGTGATTGCCTTGTAGAGAGGGTTAAACACCCGGTTAGTCATGGTGTGGTCTGTCATCTCAGCCAAAGGCATGGGGCGCCTATACATCGCGGAAGGGACTATGAAACAAGACCAATACAGCGAGTACTAGAAACGCGATTACTGCCGCAGGTCAATGAATGGTTCCCTGATGATGATGAATACATTTTTATGCATGACAGCACTGTGCCACAAAGCCAGAAGTGTAACTGCATTTTTGGATGAAAAAAAGTCTCTGTTTTGCCTTGGCCAGGGAATTCACCAGACATGAATCCAATAGAAAACATGTGGGAACTCACCAAACGGGCGATCGCGAAAGAATTGATTACCACTAAGCGACAATTGATTGAAACTCATCAGAGAATGGCATCACAACTCCAAACTCCAGGAAAATGCAAAAAAATGTATTGAGAGCATGCCCCGACCCATAGAAGCTTTTATTGCAGCAAAGGGTGGCATCACTAAATATTAAAAAAAAAACTATTTGTTTTTACCAATATTGATAATACTCATACGAAGAATATAAATCAGTTTTGTAATTTTTTTGTAGTTTTTGTGATCCTTATAGAATACAGATACAAATTAAAAATACATAAGAGACCGTTTGTTACAGAAATCCAATTAAACTAGGAGATTCAAAAATTTCAATACTGTCCCTAATATATTGGCCACCTAGTGTAGTTTTGTTGGTTTGGTTTTCTAGCAAATCCTAGGTACAGGCGGCGCTAGCGGCTGGCGCTTACGAACACTTCCTGTTTTATGACTTTCAGGTCCACCACCACTTGTATGAGTTTATAGAAAGAAGTAGGTGAGCAACACTTTTAAATTGAATTAAACTAAAAATCAGAATCCATGATTTATTGTAAAATGTAATTTACATCCATAACACGGCAATGAGTCGGATTCTATTGGTCGACGAACCTTTGAAGAAATAAAAAGTATAGTTTTATTTTGACGTTAAGTGTTAACACAGCGACAGTGGGTACCTCAAAGGTTACACCTGCAATATATGTACCCCATATTGGTATACCAAGAAATCGCAACACTCGTTAGGTCGCTAATAGCAGCTTAGGCTGTGGTCAACACACGCGCTTCTGGAAATGTTAACATTGATGTGTTTAAAGTGGTATTAAACATGCTACTTTAAGGGATTTAAAAATAAGTTTCAAACAAACATACTGCCTAAATGATAATATGCCGTATACTTGTTTGTGTGTGGTAAACTTACGTGTATGAGACATGCCTATTAACAGACGAATCTGAATGTGTACCTATAATAGGTATGACTGAAGACACGACTCATAAAATCGCAGGGAAAAAGCATGCTGTGCAACCAGCCAAGGGTGTATTATTATGTTTTTCGGTAATTAAAAAAAAAATGTGTTGTGTTATCAATTACGGCATCCAGGCGAGTATTATACCATATCCCACCATGGTTACGCCCTCGCCCACAGTCCCTAATCAGATACAATAATACCATTTGAATGCTGGTTGTTGCAGATTTACTTCGTCATGGCTGTTGCCTGAAATAGAAATCTTTTATGACTACTAATAGCACATTCTGTAAAGAAGTTAAATTGCAAGCTTCTTCATCATTGTTTACAATTCTGGGCAATAGACAACTGCCGTCACTGTTGCGCCGTTCGCTAAGAAGCTGTGATATACAAGCCCGGCACTGGTTCACTAGACAGTCACCATCATCTTCCCCTCAAACTCTACAATTTGACGTAGGTTTAATCACTATAACATATGGACATATATCAAGTAGTATGTACATTTTGCTTAAAAAAATTACTTCCCCCTCTCCTGGGTCATACTGAATCCAGGCAATCATGGCGCTTATTCTTTACTAACGTGAATACCATCATACCTGATGGTTTTTATCAATATAATAGATAGCGGCTGACTCTGGGCACGCATGATACAGGTTACAGCTACGAATGGGAGAGGTCCAGAAGGAGATAGCTACCTGGACCCTTCCTAAACTGGAAGCGCAAAGAGGGCACACCGTGTGGTTTTAGACGGTTCGAGTCCGACACACCGCCCCGCCGAACGAGAGCCCCGGCGGGGTGACGGTCCGAGGGGATTTCCACACGTAAAAAAAAAAAAAAAAAAGGTTACAGCTACGAAAAATATTTAAGAGAAATTATTATTCGTAGGATTACAGGCAATCCTACTGCCCTGTCAGTCAAATGTGACAGTGACACTGACAGTCAAAGTGAGGAAAATCGTTAATGGATTGGATATTGTCAAAAAGAAAAGATCATTTTCTGATTATAATTTGCTTAATAATGTTAAACAAGCACAATATTGTATAAATAATTACATAATTGTAATTAGGTTATTATTCCAAGGTTTAAAATGATGAATTGCACGCGATTTCATAGACTAACTGAAAAATTGCTTGCAGCAAGGGCAATAAATAATTCATTGGGAAGATGTATCTCTCAACATCCCTTACGTTTTCTTGAGACACAGAACATGTGGAGAGAAAGAGATGGGGTCTCCGAACGTTGGCAGCTAATATACAAAGCGCCAATGGACACTGCCCTCAAATTCGCTACGACATATTTGTCTTTTACAACTGGAATAATTGGTATTGGGGGAATCTACTATGGAGCATTTGTTTACGATGTTGCAGATATTAATAAACCTATAGTGATTGGTGATGATGTTGTGATAGCTAATAGTACTATTGAATGCCTCACCTATCTAGGCGCATTCATTGCGCTACACTTTGCAGTAAAACTAGTGTTGGCAAAGTATGTAGTCAGGCTTTATAAAGATGGTGATGAATATATCGCTATATTTAGAGGTCACCTCTGGAATTCTATCAGGAAACATAAATTTAATTTAAAAGATTTTCATAAAATTAACCCCAGTGTAGTAGTGCCATGGACTGAGTCGAGGTATAGTTTAGGCAGTAAAAAAGGAATTTTAATGGAAAACTACTTTAAGACACCTGAATATTACCATTATTTAATAAATAAAAAGGAATTACAAGAAGAAACAGAGTAAAAAAAAATTGAAAATGCTTTTGCTGTTTAATGACTAAAGAACCAAAGGCTAAGCCTTTTGTATCACTAAAAGCCTGTGTTATTTGGATACTTAATATTCATTTATAGTGTGTAGATGATTAAATAATTTTAGATTTATTGGTATTTTTTTTCTTCAGTCTTAGAGAATGCTACTATTTCCATTGTTGTATTGAATTTTGATGTGAATAACATTTTATAAGGACACGCAAAGAAATGTATAACAAAAGAAAATAATAATAATAATGTTTTTAGACATCTAACATCTTGTTTCAAACTAAGTAGAGATTGTTCTATGAAAGCTAAATTGTCTGATAGATCTTATTTATACATACATACTAATACATAGAAAACACCATAACTCCAAAACAAATATTTGCAAATCATACAAACTGAAGATCCCGAATCGAACCTGTGACCTCAGCACAGCAGTCACACATGCTACCACTGAGCTACTGAGGCAGTTATGTAGATGTTGGATCCTATTTTTTATTAGTAGGTATTCCATGATAATACTATGTTGACATTAATGAAGACTTATCAGTTGTATCATAGGCATTACATAGCTCACATTTTCAACATTCTTGATAAATTTAGTTCAGATAAGTACTATACAAAGTAGCTATTCTGTATGTAAATTAATGAGTATGTGTGAGATACAAATGTCCTTTTAACATAACATTTTTTTAATATGTATGTATTTACAAACAAAAAGTAAATGTGTATTCTATCAGTCAATCTAGCTTTCATAGTACCATCTAGTTTCAAACTAAGCAGAAGCTCTGCTTATTTTGAAACTAGATGGTGCTGTGTCAGATGTCTGAAAATATGTATTATATTAGAAATACATGTATAATCAACAGTACTGTACTGTTTGCAAAACCTGTATGGAGGTAGAAGTGACTGCTGCATATACCAGGTAAAACACCTAGCGTTATTGAGAGTACTCCCCAAATCATAGGTAGTGCAATCATCTTCAGCGTACTGAAGAAATTTTACACTGCAACCTCTGAAGGTTTGATGAAACCTTAAGATATGAGGCAATAGTAACCATTCACTTCATACAACTTTATTCTGCTTGTTGACTAACAGCAAATGTTGTTCTGGTAAATAGCCTGTGAATACTATACCTCACAGTAATTTGTAAGCTGTCACATTTCCATGGTAAACATAGTTTATCTGATTACTAAGTTTATTAGGATAGGCGCATTTCACATTGGTGTTGAAATTTCCCTCATTCAGTTAAGAAAAGGCATAATTAGCATAACACAATATGTGTTTTGCCTATCCTTGTGCATAGGGAAGAAAAAAAAATGGCAGTAATAAACAATATTTATTAATCTAAGACTAATATAAAATATTTTTATAATTTAAAAACCACCAGTAAATGCATTATTCCATTTATATCTACTGTCTTTCTTAATGGTTTCAGAATCCATTTTCTTGACATCTTTATTAAAATGTTCGAAAGCTTCAATTTGTTCTTGTTTAGGCTCCAATTTCTTTGTTACAATACATTGACCATTCTCTTTCAATACTGTGTAATTTATGTCTTCTTTAGTAGGTTCTCCAAAAGGGAACACTATGGGAGTTACTTTGATTAAATGCTTAATTTTCCATAACCTTGTATTGTTTTCGGGAATATTTTTGACTATTGCCACTTTTGTACCACACTGAAAGGAATTAATAATAATAAATTACTTAGAACAAAATTTTTGGTAAAATATTTTAAACAATCTGAAAAACATAAATAAACAGGTTATTTTTAGTAGTCAGTGTAGTCATGCCAACATATTATATTTTTTTATTAAAAATAGTGCAAGTTTTTGCTTTCATTAATATAATAATTCTTAGTTTGGTATAGTTAAGTTGATTTATATCAACTTAACTAAAAGAAATAATTGTTTTTTTTACACAATATAATTATTTAGTTTTTACACATAGCACACGAAAATATCCCCACTAGGGATCTGGAGGACTCGACATATATTTACTCCAGTTAATTACTTAACAATCTACTTACTCGTTCTAAAATATTAAGTTCCTTTAATAAATTTTTCTGCCAATAAGGATAACCTTTAGAGGCTTTGATCCTTTCTACTCTAAACAATTTTGATGGCGTGTACTCAGGATCTTTGTGATCTGGATATCTAAAATTTAAAAAAATATTTAATTAATATTAAGAACAATTTGCAATATTATTCCAAGAAATGTATTCCTTACCTAGGGTAATAAACTATGCCTCCTGGATAACGTATTCCACCAGGAGCTTTATAACCTTTTGATCTGACTATACCCAATAAAGGGCTAACAATTTTTAATAGCCTACAATTCATTATAATTTACTTATTAGCAAATTATTAGGTGTCGTCCAAAAATTTTGGCACAAGGCACAATCAAGTGCACATTTAATTTGACTAATGTTGCCAACTCTGATAAAATACTTTAATTAAAGCTATTTATTTAACAAGGGCGAACTATTAGATTTTGTTCATGGACTTGATTGAACCAAAGGAGATCTGAGAATGTGAACAAAAATAAAATACTGCTCAATGTCCTTCACCTGAACATGGCCTAAGACTAAATAACAGTGAGCTATCTCATGGTTTACATTAACAAGATGAGATAAGTCATTTAATATCGACTAAATCAGGGATTCCCAAACTATTTTGGGCAAGAGATCATGTCAACTTTTTTCCTATTGATACAAAATACTTACCAATATAAAAACTTTACGGTTAGTTAAGTGAGTAAACTTGACATCATTTTCTCATCAAAATTTAACGAAATTAATAGACAACAAATTCAGTAAATATCAAGTGGAAATAATAATTACGAATACAACTTACAAAAAAATACTTAAGTATGTAATTATTGTTTTTTTAAACATAATTATAGCATTTTAAAGATAAATCAAAAAATCAATGTGATCGTTGAACCTAGTGACCCTCTTCCAATCTAGCTAAATCTGGTTCAATATTGGTGAGCTGTAAATGTTTGTACCCACACTGAAGCTTTTTTCTACTAGGTATGATGATAGAAAAGTTATAAGGTATTTTCGAGCAATGTTCCACAATGCATGATTCTGTGTTTTAATGTTGCGCTGCAAACAGAACTCCTTGGTTGAACTTCTACTTAAGCTCCTTGTCTGTACTGATTGTAATCAACTCTTCTTGCATTATCACATTGATCATCCATGGCTGCGATATTATACGGATTTATTTATCCATTGAGGAACTTATAAATTTAAGAGATCCTTAAACCTCTTAGTAAAATCTTTTGTAATCTCTTGAAATAGTAGATGAGTGTCTTACCATTCAAGCTCTAACGAATTTTAAAAAGAAAATGAACTTCAAATTTAAGTGTAATCTTGTTGTACTCGTACCTATAGTTAAATATTAGGAGCATGTTTGGACTTGAACATGATCATGATTTCGTTCGTGTTAAACGAGAGACTTGTTCACGCTTATTTACTTGTCCAATTTTTCATCTTGTACGACATAGTGCACGCCTTTAAATGGTTGAGTTTTTGAAAGGATAATGATATTTTATACTAAAATAATTTGAGCTAAAATATTAGTCATTTTTATTATAAGTTGGTGCAAGTAATTCAACTTATGCAATGTATTAAAAGTTTCAAATAAGCTTTTGTGTTAATTAATAGGGGTCGATTTTTAGACCTCATCATCATCATCATCATCATCAGCCTATCGCAGTCCACTGCTGGAAATAGGCCTCTCCCATTGCACGCCACTTAGATCGACCTCATTAACCCCTAAAATCAGTTTTCGTTTATGTCGATTCCTCGAATACCGATTTCGACCCCTAGGGATCGATATCGACCACTTATCTTGTTACTCATAAAAATAGATGTGTCAGTTTTATCACAGACCCATAGCATATTAAGAAGGTAAAACTTGAGATCATCCTAAATGAAATTAAACTTGAAATAAATTCTTAACTTAAATCCTGAAACGGTCAAAGACAGACCTGAATAAGCACATTATATGTGATTTTATTTTTATAAGTTCATTTAAGATTTTCCAAAAGTACGACGGCTTTTTTTAATTTGTCAATTGTCAAAAACTTTTATCTCTTGTCTATCAGAGTCTGTTTCAGACAGACTCTGATAGACGTAAACAAGTTTTTAAACAGGAACAAAAATTATTAAAAAAAATATTGTTAACTGTCAACTTTACTGTCGGCAAACAGTTTATTGTTGGCGCGTGCGTTTGTTGACCAGTAATTCAAAAGTTGATAAGTTATCGATTTTGATTTGTGCATTTTAATTTTTTTTGAGGTTTTAAGGCAAATTGTGTCATTAATAGTGTAGTGTGTTATTTATCTATTTGAAGTACATTATTGTATTAAATGTATACTACCAGTGCTTAATAACATCTCGTTTTAATAAGTTTGGGACTTATGAAGAAAGTTCGTTTTGAGTCTCCTATTAAAAGCCGATTATTTCATAAAATGGATGGTGAATGCCACTCACCTCGGCCTTTCACGGAAAGGCAAATATGTACCACAGCACCAGATATCTACAATTATCCTAATGTCGTGCCTTATACTAACGATCCCGTGCATTTATTTGAGTGTAGTAACAGTTCTCCATATCCAATGATGAACAAAACTGATATCAAGTTGCTAGGTGAACGATCACATTTTGCGCCCAGCAATGATTTAGAGCTAAGTATACTTGATGCTACTGAACAGGATCCTCGTAAGTCTACCTTAAGTAGGCCCATTCTCAAACCTTCAGGAGTTGATAATGTAAACAACAATATGAATAAATCAGGAAATGTTGATTATAATAAATTACCAATAATCAGTTCTACTGCCAATAATATTGTTACTCCACCCAATATCTTATCAAAAGATGATTTTTTCTTGAAGAGAGGTAACTTAGGCCGAATGCACTTAGACATGAATCCAATACAACAACAATTAAATAGACTATGCATAGACAAAGAAAACAATCCATTTGCACAGAAAGCTCAAATTATACAAATGTCAGCTTTAACTCAACCAGAAGTGAAGACCTTTAGTGAAGCACAATCAACAATCAAGGGTGACTGCATGTGTCATCATTGTGTTAAAAATATATCAGCTCATCATCATGTAATTGTGGACCATACACCTTACCAACATACTGGAAACTGTATTCCTCACCACGAAGCTAAGAATACTCCAAGACACAATTACTGTATGTGTGGACGTCCTACACCACCAAACACACATTCTTGCTGTGAACATACTCCACACCCTTCACAGTGTACATTCAAGACTCCCGACTCAAATCATTCACCAAATACACAAATGACTGCAGTAGAGAAAAAGACATGGGCTATAGAGAAATATGAACAGAACAAAATGTCAGATTCGAAGGAAGTTGAAAAGCAAACAAATGTAATTAAAGAGAAACGTGAGCCAACCGTCTCAGATCTGTTTAAAATAATAAAGCTACAAAATGAACAATTGCAGCTACTTCAAGATAAAGTAGACAAATTTATATCAAACAGTCAGCGAAATCCTGTACAAAATTGTATATCAGAACAAGTAGCTATTGAGACTGTTGCTAACGAACAGCATAAAATATCAATAGGGGTTATGACTAGCTTTGAAATGGTGAGAACATCAACCATCATCAACAAAGAGGTTTTAAAAACAAATGAGAATTCTCAAATACAATGCAATAGATCTCAAATCAGTATAAAAGAGGTAGTGTCAAAAGCACAGTCTCCAAATTTAAATTTTCTTGAAGGTATCACACCTGTGGGTAAACAAATGACTCAGGAACAGAACAATGGAGATGCTCAACACATGAATGAAGAAAAAACTTTAAATGAATTGAGTTTATATAATGTTCAAGTGGATAATGCAACCACACCTTTGATATCTCCTGAACAGAGTTTATATTTGGATGTTCGAGATTATAGCGAGTAAGTATTTTGCATCATAAACATCACCTAGTAAATATTAAATCAGCTGGATAAGACTACTGGAACTGATGACACAGATTTGACACTATTTTCTATACAGTAGTGTTACAATTCCAGTTTAATGTGCAGGTCTAATCATAGCTAAAATTTGTTCAGAAATATCAATACAAATATCTGTTCAATAGATTTCTGCTCAAATTTTTGTTTAAACAATAATTCTCTTCTTGTTATTTTCTATGAAGGCTTGTTTCTTGTTTGCTATGATCGGCTGATGTTTGATTAAAACCTGCAAGTAAAAACAATAGCATTTACAGTCTAAATTTTATGTCCATTAACAATCTTATGTTCATTTGTTCATAATTGCAAATCTACTAAAGATCTTTACTCAATACTTATCAATACATAAATGTGTGTGTTATCATTAAATTTGGCAACTCAGTATCTTACATACATATATAAAAAAATTGGTTGTTTGTTTTTATTTTATGCACTCACCATTTATCTGGTCTTCATGAAATATACAGTAGAAAGGCCATTAGATATTTTTATATTAAATTTTATTTTATCTTCTATCTTTCATCCAAAAAGTGGAAAAGGGATGAGAAAAATGTTTTTATAAATATGTAATGTTTGTTTGACTGTGTGACTGCATGTGAGTATATAATGTAAAAGTAACAATTTCCTTTCTTACAGTTCTGAAGCAGAAAGTGATGACCAGTCCAATGTTGGATGGACATATTACAACAAAGTAATGGTAATACTGAAAACATTTTTTTTTTATTTAGACAAAGCTGGCAGCTTGCTAATAACTTTTATAGAGTTAAGTTAATTAATATGATAATGGAGAAAGGTTGTTTATAATGCAAATAAGATATTCCTAACTCATTAAAAATTGCAGTATATATTTAATTAATATATATCCTTAGCATTGGGAAAGGATCATAATTTTTCTCAGAAACCCACTCAGTAGAAATGCAATGCCAAATTAATAAGAAGAGTTCAGACACATGACAGACATCTGACACCACGCCATCTAGTTTCAAACTAAGCAGAGCTGTACTATGAAAGCTAGATTGACTGATAGACTACTTATATATATACTTTTTTAAAATTAAGTAGAGTACTGAGCATGTAGCTTGCGTACAGTGCTGCCACAACATAGAACTTCAAACTAACTTAGTTTGAAATTCGACGCTGTGACAGCGCTGTACGCACAAGGCTATTTCCTTAAGTAATAGCACTGCTGATGGTGAGGGACTTCCGCCGCTCGTTCGCTGAAAGTAATGAAAGATTTGCTTAACATCGGTTTTCTGTAAGGCCGTATCATTCCGGTCGAGAGGGCCCATATGTTCTGAAACATGAATTTCCTACGTTGTTTTAAATTGCTGTTCCACTAAACTAACGGAAACGGATTTTCAATGTACGTGTTACTCAATACTGTACAGAGGGCCTAGTGTGAGTTTATTTCACATCAGCTCGATCGTCACTGCGATTGACCTGCACTGAAATCTTCACCAATCGCAATGCAAAACGCGTTCGACGTCGAAAGCGAGTCGATGTGAAATCCACGCTAGGCCCTCAGCTGTTACAATATTTGCAGTTTTATTATAATCTAAGTACAGTATTAGAACCATTTTTCTTTGTCTCTTCTCCTCGCCAATCGATCCTATCACTACGCGCACGTGGCGGCCCGATCAGGTCTTGATGCGTGAAATGACCGTCTCCAGAGCTGATATCGCCACCGCCGTTACCTACACTCGGGATCGACCCTCTCTCGTCCCCGTTCAGTGGTCACTTTCTGGCAACATTACCTACAGCTTTGGTAGTAATGATTTTATTTTGTACTAGCTGAGACCCGCGGTGTTACCCGCGTTTGTTGTTAAAACCGCGGGCAACGCCGCATGGCGAAGCTAGTCTAAAAAAAGTAGCCTAAGTTACTCCTTATGTCATCAGCTATCTGCCAGTGAAAGTCCCGTCGAAATCAGTCCAGCCGTTCTAGGGATTACCCGGAACAAACAGACAGACAAAAATTGAAAAAAAATGGTATTTTGACATATGTACCGTGTAAACATACACTCCAATTTTTTTTATTTGTATAGATGTATTTTGTATCTATGTGAGAGAAAAGCAATAAACTACTAATACAACTAAAAAACAAAAAAATGTCTGGCGGGGAACATTGTTAGAAAATGGGTCATAGGGTCTAGGGTGTAGGGTCAAGGGTCATCTATCCCACTAATTTGTCATTGTAATTAGTGAGTGTAAGTTGCTTCTATTCTTTGATCTATTTTTTTTATTATCTTTGCAGACTCACGTTAATGGTATGTTACATGACTCTGACATGCCATCATCAGCCAGCGCGCTTTATAGAAACACACGACAACAAATGCAGACAGTGCAGATGCAAATTGACAAGACAAATGTCAGTGTTACAAAAAGGTAAGTTCGTACCCGCCTTTTTTATTTCTCCATAACTTCGTATGCGTCTCTCGAAATGAATAAATTTGCCCGGTTATGAAAAATTTTTCGTTAAGCATCAATGAAAAATTTTCATTGATCCTCGGCTCCTGTTGGTGATAGCGTGATGTTATATAGCCTATAGTCTTCCTAGATTAATGGTCTATCCAACACTAAAAGATTTTTTTAATTAGAACCAGTATTAACTTAGACTAGTGCATTCAGAGAAACTAAATCTTCAGCTTTATAATATTAGTGTAGATACTAGTGAGAATACTACTTATAACTAACAGATGGCAATTAAGTAAATTTTAAATATAACTTGATTAACAATATCTGAAGTGTCTAACTGTTACGACTATTTTTCCAGAGTGAAATTCGGTGATGATCCATTAGGCATTCATCAGCCTCATATCTATACAGGGTCTTCTGACACAAGTCTGAAGATGAATCAGTTAGCAGCTAAGTACTTGAAAGGTGCGACACCTGTAGCAGCACCTCCACGACAGCCGACAACAACGCCCATTGACATGTCGTTCGCGACCAGAAATTATATGGATAGGCACAAATTGCTACAAGGTAGGGTAATTTGAAATGATAAAATTACTAATTATACTGGATTTTTATAGTTTTATTTGCGTGTATGGGGTATTGTGGATAGGTTTGTGTTTATTGTAAGTATATAATCTTAATTATTATTATACGCCTGCCAAGCACATCTCTGAATCAGCTATAGGTTAACTGGCAGAAAATGATTACGGCATTAAGTACCCCTTATGCAGTCTATTTGCACGAAATGTAAAAAAAATAAACATATCCCATGATGAATACCGAGAGGTTCATCAAAAGAAAGTTATAAGAAGGTACATATTATTCGTAAAACACATGGAAAATGTATGTCATTTTATGTTACAGGAGTGCCATCGTCATCCAGGTCCCCCTTGCAGCCTGAAATGCCAAGATTTTTAGACATAACCGCTTTGAAACAACAACCTAAATTTTTATGAGTATATTTAATACAAATATTTTATTTTATTTATTAATTTGTAGTGTATTTCTTGTTAGATAGTTAATATTTAATTTTTTGCTATTGTGTATATGTATATAGCTGTATTTTTTATACCCCCGCCCAAAAAGGAGGAGTGATATAAGTTTCACTTGTGTATGTCTGTGACATCAGATTGCCTAAATGAATGAACCAATATTGTTTCTTTTTTATTTGGGAGGTGACTTGTAATTATGACAAGTTTTTTTCTAATTGCTAAAACGGTTCTCGCTAATTGAGTTTGGGTTTTTTCTTTAACCAAGCACTTAGTATTTATATGTAACTGTTGTTTAATATACATGTAAAATCCGTAAAATTTAAATGTAATTGTTTTAATTATTTAGTAATTGTTGATTTTACTTAATTATTTAGTTAAAATAATAATTATGTAGTTGTAATTAAAAATTGGTTGTATATTTATAGGACTTCAATATACCTAGTGTAAACATACAGGTTACTTTTAATGTTGATTGAATTTTGCTGATGTGTAAGAAATTACATACACTTTTGAGCTTTATTATTTAGGTTTCCCTAAGTTACATATACGACAACTTGTTGCTTTTATTTTATGAGAAAAGTTGACGGCGTTAGCACACTCCTTTTTTTTACCCTATTGGAATTTCGGCTTTATTTTGCATCAGTTATTTTTATTAGGTATCATTATTATGAGATCTTTTTTACAAAATCACTCTGTCTACTGAGTGATTTTGATAGTTCTTAATACAAATCACTAACAATACCTTAACTGCGGACACGGGAAAGAGCAATGGAATAGGTCTTTTTGATGCGAGAGAGACGCATGTAAATCGCCGTCTTCTTTCTCTTTCTACCAACGTCCCCGGATCGTGGCTTGCCTCTTTCCTCCATCTGTATTATCTCTAAACCTTTCCGAACTATATGTCACAAATCATTTTGCATTCGTTTTGGTTCTCTCTGACGTGAGTTTTAGAATGAAACTATACAATTCTGAACAGACATTTATTTAAACCTCAGAGAAAATAACAGAGTAAAATCGTACACTATACATATTAGTAAATACATAGGTATATTGTTATTGGAACAGTTGTTTAGTAACTATAATACACAAGCTTTTGCCCGCGACTTCGCTCGTCTAAAAGTTATTTTTGGCCCTTTCGGGAACAATGATTTCTTATCGTATGTTCTTTTATGTACCCTTGACAACCTGTATGCAAAATTTAAAATGACGGGTTGCCTTGAAAGTTACGATTTTGTATTTGTTCTGTATTTATGTGTTTACTATGAATTAAATTGTAGATGATTTTTTCTACCACAATAAATTTAATCAATAAACTTTAATTTGAAAAGAAATAATATGTTATTTAATATTTCATGTCACATTCTATACATTCATCACATATACATAGTAATAAATATGGCAGTTGTATTAACATGGACTATGTTGAAGATCTTTTTTAAAGTAAAATGTGATTTGAGATGAGACGATTTATGTGTTCTCAAAACTATATTTGGATAAACTTGTTTATGAGGCATTAGGATTATTGTAAATAATATATGAATTTTAATAAATATGTAACCTACCTAAACATCTTTATAATATATATATATATTTTTTACGGAGGTATTCGATAATTCTCTCACAGGCAATTGTACTTCCATATTGATATATAACAAAAATAAAAATAATTTTATACACTGAAACCTGTTTCTATTATTTTCTACGTTCCAATGTCTACTTAGCACAATAACTTTTTTACTTATAACACATACAAAATTTTATATACCCATTGTATATAAAATGTTGATACTTTTACATACTAAACACTCATGATTTACATAATCAGGAATAAAAGAACTTCTACAACGAATTACTCTACACATGTTCTAACAATCTATACCTACGTACAGAAGCTTAGTCTAATATACTTGTCTGGTAATAATTTTTCAATAACTCTTGGACAAATAATCATTCTTTACTCTGATTACGTATTTGTCTAGATACACAGGGGAACGAAAGAAAACGCGATTTTGTAGACATAATAGTGAGTTCAATACTAGAATATTGCATTGTAAAAAAATTAAAACATGACTTTCACAAAGTTATAAAAGAGTAACTAGCTATTCATTTAGCATAGTTGTGAATCAGACTAGAGCCCAATACAATTATTATAAAAGGGGTTTTAGAACAGAAATTATTTTTTATTGACACATCAAGGCGTGACATGGTATCTAGAGAATTATATAATCAAAGCATCTTTACAACATTAATTTCATTCGCTCGCTCAGCATTTACAATTACCTCTTAAGTGAATTATCTTACAACTATCAGTTTGGTTCTTTCCTTTGGGTATCATAATACAAATTGTGCACGACATCGAAACATACAACTCGCTACCTACCTACTCGAATTCTGTAATATAAATATTTGTAAGTATAATTATTTCATTTGAAATATTTACGCTACCATTAATCATCTATGTACATTGAAGATAAGTATGTATTAACACTTTAATAAGATTTCAATTCTCTTGCATCGCAAAATATTATAGTAATACAATATTAGTCGTAGTCTAGAAAGATAACCAAATCATTGGATGGCACTTTTCCGGTGTCAAGTAGACTTTCTGGAGATAATACATAATGTGATCATTATTATTTTATTCCTAAAGAACTATTTTACATCACTTTTTTGTCTTACATGTTGCACAAGTCAAGTGACTAGAATATTACATTAAAATGAGTTTCATTATACATTTAATTATAGTTTCATATACCTATTATAGTTAAATAGTTTGAATTTTATTATATCTGTAGATATATTACACATTGTATATTTTATAAAAATTGTTGAATCATGAATTCTCTTAACCAATAAAATATTTTTAACATTGAATGCTCATTTTATTATATTATTACTTGAACGTTCATTTAATTTTTTAAAGTAAATTCTGCAAAATATTGAGCATATAAGTATTTTGTGCACAGCATTCAGTTTATATAGATTTTAAAAGTCTCTAATTCTTAATTCGTGATTTAATTTTAGTTCGTGATTAGTAGATGAGAAATATATATTACATTTGTAATGGTTTTTTTTTAGATAAACCTTCAATACTGCAACGACAATAGAATATTACATAGTCAACGTAAAATAGCTCCGTACTAATTTCTTCATACACTACGAAATATATTTCTGTTCGCTACGCATCACCCATATTTTTATATCACATCTTTGCCATTCAAAAGTAAACATCTAATATTTACTATGTCTACATATAACATGACTACTTATTTTTAACTATTTATTACTAGTTAAAGTATTTTTTTTTATAAATATTTACGTTTGTCACACGATCTATTATTCAGTTTTTAAAATAAACCTTTATACCTACATAATACTTTCAGCACTTGTTTCAGAATGTCCAATGGTTGAACTGTAGACAAAAATAATATGCCAATATCGTTCAATCGGAGCCTTTACGGGTAACTTTGACTTGGACACTTTGAAGCTTGCTATAAATAAAATTATAATATAAATATTAGGTGTGGAACCTTATAATAAAATAACACCTAACTATGTTGATACCTAACTATTTATATTTTAAATTTGTGCACCTGGTTCCGTATTCGATAACGCTACAAACATTGTTAGTGATGTCTATGTATTTCTTATAAAGTTTCGTCGTCGCCCCCTCCTCTGGATTTGCTGTCTAATCTTAGTTCTGCTAATCTTTGCCGCATACTGTTAGGCCTGCAATTAATGAAGGTATATTTTTGTGTTTTAAGTGTCTGCTACTATTTTATAGGTTTTTCTACAGGTGTTACATTTAGGTATAGGGTCCTGCACCTCATTCATCCTGTATTATTCATTACATATTTTGTTATTGAAATGAACAAAGTGGAGATTCTCAAGTCAGCATGACAAGCAGAAAGTCATTGCGGCGCTAGAACGTTTTCAGCAGCTTGAAGTTCTTAGTTTAAACTAGCTACTTTGTACTCGTAAAAGTTAAGAAGAAGAAGAAAAGTATTAATACCGTCGGCACCTGTCTGAAAAGTATGACGTAACGACTTGATCGGCGGATACCGACTGCCGCTGATAGGCGCCCGCACTGAGATTGCTTTGAGGAATCTTGTAGATACGAACGCACCGTCCACTGTTTTCCGGTAACACTAAAAAAGAAGGGGATTAAATATAATGACTATCACAAAAATATTTGCAGCCCTAAACATTGATAGTTTAAAATTACGATGGTTCTAGGTGATTTAGTCATGACTGCATTTTAAATTGTATTTAAGCACCGAATGTTGTAAATGATCACCAAATCTCAGCGGGCAAACTAATGCACTAGGTATAACTTCTGACTTTTAAAGTTTAAGAACAAGATTATTAAAATTGTATGTTTTATTTTTAACCATTTAGACAGCTGCACAATAGGGAATATGCACGTGACACCAAAATGGACAAAATATTTTTATTTGTAATTTTTATTGCTAAAAAAAGATACCCATACAATTATTTTTGAAATTTATTATAATTTAATAGTGAAATTTAATCATCAAAAATTGGCTTTTTTAAGATTCCCTCGCAAATTTCTAAAACGCAACGCTATTGGTTGAATAAAATGTGACGTCAACCTACACTGTCAAGAATGTCAACAAGTTGTGTGTATTTGTAATATTTGGTTTCTGGTGATTATTTGTTTCATTTTAAGTTAATAACTAATACGTTTTCAGTGTTAAATTATTAAATTCCCGCGTAGAAAGACTCAACACAATGACTGAATATACTTTGTCAGGTGCAGTTATGATATTATTTGGGCACAAAGGAACGGCACAATATTTATAATAAGTTTTTATTGGCTTTTCCATGGTAATAAGTTAATTTTTATTACTCACTTTTTAACTTTCACAAACTTTGTGAACTTTACTCCGTTGTTGACATCGAATTCGTCTGAAAGTGTAATCTGACATCACAAAAAAAGCGCGCCAAAATGGACGTGTTCAAATTGCCCCAAAATGATAGTGATTTTAATAAATTTTTTTTTGCTGAACGGTTTATATTTCGGATGTGTTATATTTATTTTTTGGTAATGTAATAACTAGTAGAATCGTTTAAAAAAATAAAAAAAATACATGCATATTCCCTATTGCACTTGCAATGCACAGTTGCAGTTCCGCAATCTCTTATGAACCCACCCCGACGTGGAAAGGTGGTTATTTCTTTATAAACCATCCGGAAAGTAGGTACCCCGCGAAGTGATGTTGTTGTATGTTTATGTATCCGGAATAACAAAATGATAAAAACATAAAACAAAATAAATGATATGTGTTAACATATCATTTATTATAGTTAGTATGAATAATATTAAAATATAACTTACCCTGAGGTGAAGTCGGGGGTGAGATCGGAGCCATCCGTTGTAATGGCGGCCTCATATTCTCCTGTTCTGAGGATATAGAACTACTTCTACTTGATGCTGAGTTATTCTCTGATGGTGCAGTACGGCTACTTGGACTGTAATAATCTCTGAAAACAATAAATCACTTCAATAGAATATTAATGCCGCGTCAAAGATTGCTAGAAATATTACCTACATGTTAGCCATAGGCTGTAGTAATGTATGGTTAGTAATAAAACTGTAAATCTACGTCTTGAAAAAAGAAAATGAAGAATTTTGAAGAAAGAAGTTATTGTAGCGACTTTTGTAGTTTAATTGTGACAAATATCAATGATCATTAATAATGATAAGGAAATATAATTGAAACTTTATCAATTATTTATATATTATAAATTAATCATTCTTGTTAAAGGGTTCCTATAATAGCAACCCTTTCTATTCTCGTTATTTTTTTTTGTTAAGGTACGTTAAGCCGTGTCTTATCGATGTTAATGTGATTAGTTTCTTAATTGATTAATAGTAAGTGATAATAGTGAGTCATGGATTTCGGATCTAACTATCCATAGGTATAAATATCGCGCTCACCTATCATGATTTTCATCTTCATCGACAGAATAGGGACCACTCTGTTTGCTCATCTGTTTTACCAATTCGTCATGTAAGCTGAGACAAGGGTTAAACTCTCGGCTTAAAGGCACGTATTCCGGTGCGCATGCCACGTAGAATATATCCTGAAACGACATAAATAAGGTACAGCTTATTTGCCTATTCTTTAAAGTAACTGATAGCTTTGTTTGATTTTATATACATAATCATATATTTACACGGGAATTGGTCTACAATGGGAGGTCAGAGGCTAATTCAGTCAGCCTGTAAACACTGCCAGTTCAACCTAGACAAAACGCAGACAATTCAGAGGTATGTAATATCTGTTATATGTCAATTCCTATGTATGACCGTAAATATATATCATGTAATGCGAAAGTTTAAGTTTTTGATTGGCATTCCGGTATGAGTGTGTTTACGCCAATTTGTTTTTTAGTCCGAATATTCTTACAAGTTTTTCGCGACCAAGTTCAACGTAAACTAACTATAACAACAACTTTGAAGCTCAAATTTAAAAAAATAAAGTATGTTATGACAACGGCAACGATATCTTAAATTCCCGATATGTATTACTTTGAAATAAGACCACTTACTTTTCGGCCGCAAAGCAATTTCAATCCAGGTATGCAGGCCGCATGTACCAAGGATCCGTTTGCTACTAGTCGTATCTCTAATAAATCTTCGGCGAATGCCATAATATATGGGAATGCACATACTGAAACAAAATAAATATTTAGGTTATTTTGGAGCCGTCCTTTGATTTCAGTCCCTTCAGATTAAAGGGGGAAGAGCTTGAGCCTCTGATAACCGCACTCATTCACTGAAAAGCAACGAAAGTAGTTTAAAACTAACACCTGTTTTTCGTGAGGTCGTGGTATCATTCCGGTCGAGCTTACGAGCTTGACCGGATCCTCGAATCTCGATCCCCTCCGAATTGAGGCCCTGGGCCTTAATTCTGCTATTTTAAAATTGTATCCCTAGACTGTCGATGGAATGTCCTCGGAATAGTTTTACACTTTTCTTATTCTACTAACTATGTATATAAGACCAATGGGCTCCCGATGGCTGGTTACTGATACAAGTGTCGATGTGTCGTCGATGTCTTTGTAATATTTTGGTAAATGGCATTTTAAATTTGTAAGGAAATGATAAATTAAATTTTCCAGATATGATAATGTTGTTGATATTTACCATTGATGAGCCATTATAATTACATCGACAGTCTATTGACACTGAATTTATGTTAGTGGGATACCGATATTTTGACCGACGTCAATTTCATCTTAATGGCATCTCAGTAGCGTGTCAATGGAATGACAGTGACTTGTATGTTAACATAAAATGCAGAATTGAGGATCTGGTTCATTTGTTTCAGGACGGCACGGCTCTCATAAATTGTTCATTCGTTTACTAATGAATGCACGCCTTGTGTGCTGAGCAATAGGTAGACATAATATATATATTGTTCGTGAAAATAAAAGGATATTTATGTAGATATTTCACCTACCTACTGCTGCGGGTACGGTTGTCCAATGAAAGTCATATTCGCCATCGCTCTCCAGACCTTTGCTTGTTAATCTTTCGAAGTGACATGTATCTGCAACGTAATAAAAACTATAGGTTGGTAGGTAAAGTGCTACGTATATAAGATACTTAGCACTGTGGTAATGTGGCATTATGTGCGGTGTTTCAAATTATTATTATTATCATATTTCAATTATGTTTTGTTTATTCTTCGATTATCTTTTACAAGTATTTTTTGTTAATACATGGGAGGTAAAGACAGTAAAATTAATAGTTATTCTCTCCGTGAGTAAATAAAGTAGGTACACTTTTGATCGCACTCTGCCACCTATCCATTACTACATACATGAGAAACTATTCTTTAAAATGAATAAAACTGGTGAAATTTGAAAATCTTAAGAAATGTGTCTGAGTGTATAAATGTAAGTTTGTATGAAAGTTTAAATGATGCTGAGTATCAAGAAACATTTAAAAAATGCTTACGATTGTAACATAGAACTATTTGGCCATCTCTTTCATCTCCAATACGTAAAGCATTAACAAGAGTACCGCGACGAGGTCCACTATCTTCTGAATTTTCAGCTCTTTTTATTGACTGGAAATAAAGATAAATATTAAAACTAGCTTACCGAGCCACGCGTTACTGTGGCTGCCAATAAATACACACTAATGTTGTAAAATGAACATTAAATTTGCAATAAACAAATGACGAGGTCCATAATTGATTTTTAAAACTATCCTATTTTTTAAGTTGGACCAAATTACGGATATTTACGCAATTCCAGCAAAATCGGTTCAGTAGTTTCGGAGTTAATATCGAACATACATCGTGACACGAGATTTTTATTTATATAAGATTTGAAAATGAAAAACAATTAGCACATGTGTAGTTTTTTTACCTGTGCTGTACTGGTGTCTAATACTTCCCAGTGATGTTTGTATCCAACCACCATTATTTCTACTTCACCGTCCATTAGTTTGATGAGTATAGGTGATTCGCTAAGTTGTATGTCCTACAAAATAGGAAATAAGTTAAGTCGTATAATTCTGAACAGCATTAGAGCAAAAAGCAATCACACTAATTTGAAGGTTGTCGTGTTGTAACTTTTTTGTTTCGAAAAAGCTGGTATTACTGCAAGCCTGTGATGGAAGGACTTAAATATTTACTTTGATATGCACGTATTCAAAACCCATCTCATTTTCAGTCTTTGATTCTTCAATCATAATCATGACTCTTCGACCAATTGCAACCGCTAATGTTGTTTTCCCTCCTTCGCCTGGAATTAGAAGTAAATATTAAAGTAGTTTAACATCCCACTTAAATACATTTCGATGATATAAAATTAATATACCCGTTTCAAGTAAATCGAAATAATGTGCAGTTTTCGTTCTTGGAAGTCTCGCGTGTTTACAATCTTGAAGGGGTCTCATAGCCCATGCTCCCGCGCATAGCTCTTGAACAGGAAGCGCATAGAGCCCAGCTCCTCCTGCCCCTCCTGTCGTAGATCCGCCCCCTGCTATCATTCTGGCACCGACACGAAAAAGGCCGGCCCGCTCCGTCACTCTCGCGGTACGGACGCAACCTTCCCATCTTAGAACTACGCGAGTTGTGCCACTTTCTGTGAATTATTAGAAGACATTTTAAGTATGAGTATGAGAGATTTTAAGATTTATAATAAAACACAAAGGCGTAAGTGGATTATAGAAACCCACTGAAAAAACAATGGGTTTTATTTAACATTTGCAACTAAATACTTATTTTACTGATTGCGTAATTATGTAAAGCTTGTTTTTGTATGTTTTTTTTTAATGAAATCGATGCATAGATCAAAGTAATCAAGCAAACAAATGACTATCTACTGGACAAATTACCTTCTAAAATATATGTATTAGAGGTTGTAGACAATAGAAGCCTTCCTTCCGACATTTGTTCTGCACAAATAGGAGTGGCTGGCAGTGGCGCGGCTCGCCATACCCGACCTTCCCAAGGCGCTCGACGGGAACCGCCACACCCTAATAAAGCAGACAGTATTAGCAATAGAAAACTGGTAGTACTAGAAGATGTCAAGTGGTGTATCGAAAATTAAAAAGATTGAAATATAGCATCCTAAATCCCAAATAGAATTGACTGTTAGGCGTGTACATTTTTGTACGACTTTTAATCAGAAATGATGTCTTTTTTTAACTCCATGCACTTGAGTGAGTAATGATAGGTAGTCATAACCATCATGATCTTATGATAATAATAGTAACCAGTTAAAATACATAAACAAAATTAAAAAATCGCGACAAATTGAGAATCTGATACCTTTTTATATAAGATACAGTTGAATTACCTGTAGAAGCAAAGCTTGTTGGAGCATCGCCGCGTAATACCGCATCGAGTTTCAGCGCTTGTCCTATGTGGAGGAAATGTTCTGTACGGGCTGCGCCAGCTCCGCTTGCGCCTGCTCCGCCTGACCACACGTCTGATAGAGCTCGGCGAGATAGCATTGGCTGGAAATGTCACATTTAGTGCTTTATGTACACACACACTACCCAAACAATGTGCACACGCACATCTAAGCTTACACGACGTATCTAATTTCAAAATGGCAGGGTTTATTATTGTTTAATTTATAAGTTTATTGGGGTCCTGGTGATGCATAACACAGATATTCCTCTATTGAAGTCTACTGATTACAGACACTATGCTCTAACAAATGCCTTGTTCAACCTTGGTTAGCTTAAGCGATGATAGTATTTACGCATTTGTTAAACGCATTTGCAAAGGAGAATCCAAGAAAAATAAAGACATTTGTATTATTATTATTTTATCATATGTACACATAAGTATTTTATCAGTTTGACGGGCCTGTTGGTCTAGTGGTTAGTGACCCTGACTGCTAAATCGAAGGTCGTGGATTCGATTTCCACCAGGGACAAATAATTTATCTATAACATGTATCTATTTAAAAATATATAAGTATGTTTATCAGCAGTCTGGTTACCATAGTACAGGCTCTGCCTAGTTTGGGATCAGACGGACGTTTGTGAGATGTGTGAGAGATAATAATATTATAAAAAGTCAATCTAGCTTGCGTACTACAAGCTCTGCTTACTTTGAAACTAGATGGTGATGTGTGTCAGATGTCCTAAAAAAAATGTAATTATTATTAATAATACTTCCTATTTTGATGATTTGACATCATCAAATTAGGCCCGTAGGTATTGAAAAAAAAGATTGCGTATATTGTTTACATATAAAATAAAAAAACTTGATTTGCTAATGAACTACAACTAGTAGTTCAAAGAAAAGCAGTACTTTTAAAAAAAAAAAAGATAAACTCGCAAACTATTGATTGTAGAGAAACAAGACTGGTCTCATTTTATTCCACATCAAATTCTCTAAACATCATGTTAATCTCGATCTCTGATGCGCTGTTCTCGAGTTATTAAATGAGAAATGCGCAATGCAAGTCGACAGCTTACTTTCTCTTTCGCTCTGCAGGCATTGAATGCAGAGCGAGAGAGATAGCGACTAACGTTTTTTTGTAACGTACATTTTTCAACGTAACGTACATCGTCCAAAAGGAACTTTGTTCCAAAAATATACTAAAAAAACTCACTACTTTGTGATCCGAACAATGCTCTGCGTAGATGTCTCTTATCAGTGAGTCTAGGGTTCGCTGCCGCTTCAATGCAAACGTCGGTGTTTGAAATGCTGCTTTTTCTCCATTCATTAATTTGACCTATATAAAATAATAAAACAAGCTAAGTACTGTTTTATATCTACAAAGTGATTTATTTGCACATATTTTCTGAACCGGCAAATACATCATTAAGTACACTTACGAGTACTACTTACCAATAAAAAATCTCTAAATAATTGCGGATCATTAAACACGGGTGGACACGGCAGTGATGGTCCAAATGGTGGAACGGTGTCATCACTATAAACACTGAGTTTGTATCCTTCACCTTCTACCTCTGATACCACTGCGAATATATCTGTTTACTCTTTAAGAAAATTATTATCAATACAAAGAGTTTGAAGTTTCTAATACTTTTATAAATTAACTTACCTATACACGCTTGAAGGCAACCCTCGATTCTAATCAGTACATTAAGCCATTGCTAAAAAAAATCGGTGACCGAATTTTTTTGTTATAATCACATTTTGTGCACGAGAGAATTTTGTTTTTTAGGTTTGACACCTCATTTAATTTTTATTATGAGATCTATAAATCTAAGAATCTTAGAATTATGGTTCTGATAATAAATAGAAAATTATATCGAACAAACCTATAAAGAATTATCGCTGTAATTATATTTTCGACAAATTAAGAACTTCATCGTTTTCTTTAACGGTCCGTTAAAGGTAATGTGATTTTACAGATTTTAAACAAGTTGTGCTCTATCTGCTGTCACTTTTGCATAAAATGTAGTAATAAGTAGTTTAAGAATACGGTAAGCAGTAACAAATCGCATGAATATTGTCCAACTTAGCTTTAATTGCTGGTTACTTTTTAAATGTTTAGTTAAAGTTAAATCTTCATTAAAAAAAAAAGAAACATTATTTTAATATGACTAGTCTATAAATAAGGATTTTATAATATCAATTTAATCCCTGTTCACTGTAGCAGTAAATAGGGCGTAGTGGTTTAAGCGGTCACCACACAGCTCACTACTACGCTGAGTGTTGTGGGTCCGATCCCCACATAGGACGACACTTTGTGTGATTCAAAAATTATTGTTCTGAGTCTGGGTGTTATTTGTGTGCGTTTCATGTATGTATTTAAAGTCCTTGCGACATAGGATATATTCCTAACGCCGGAGTTCTCTTTAAAAAAAAGGAGAAAAAAAGGATTGACGGCAATAATTGAATTCATCATGGAATTCAATCAGTTCTGAGGAATAGATTCTTTTTCACTCGTATGTCATTGTAAAGGATACGTGTGAAGTGACTTTTGACGCATTGCGGGTTGAATGTGTTGTGAACGGAGTCCTCTGTAAACACAATGTTGACTATGTCGTTCCCGATGTGACGCTTCCTCTCCAGCTGTAAACCATGACAAAGAGAAGTGCAAATATAGAATAGAGAATCATCATCATCTTTCTGCTCTTATTCCATTTTTTATGGGTTCATTGCAATGTATCATTGCAGATAACCTGGTTTAGTTTCTTTAATGGCCGACTCACATTATCCTCCACGGCAATGTCATCTTTACAGATGGAAACAACAACAAGAAGGTTAATTAGGGTGCAGATCACGGATAGGAGGGATATCGCAAAACTCTGAGACTGAGGGCTGAGAATGCAGTAGTTCGAGGAGGCCGGGATCGTGAATGCCATCTTTTGTCTGTCCTATGGTTCTACAGGCCTAGTGGCTGGGAAATCAATTGTATTTAATTAAAAACATTGAGACAAGTGAAGAGGATTCGATGCCCGCCTAGTGCATTGGTCTGGGAGTTTCTATATACGTAGTAATATAATATGTATATATTTATAAAGAAATCCATCAAAGTATTCTGTTTAACCATAGCTATAAGTTTAACTTGGTTTGAGTCTAAATAATGATCATTGCTATCTTGGTTTATCACAAACGCCTTGAAATAAATCGGAATAACAATCTGATACATTCAAAATTAAAATCACCTTACTGATGACAGACTTCACAACTATTTGAAATTGTTTTGGCACTGACCAGAGGGCTGTGCAAGTGTATTTCACATCGACTCGCTGTCGACGGCGAGCGCGTTTGGCGTTGTGATTGGTGGAGATTTCAGCGCGGGTCAATCGTAGCGTCGAACGCGGTCACCGTGACGAGTGAGTTGATGTAAAATAAACTCGTACTTGAGCCCCAGAGAACATTTACTATTTATTCAAGCGAAATAGTTATCTTCGTAAAGCCGCTACTACTATATTTATAAATGTCATTCATCAAGCATTAGAAATATCCCACCTGTTGCTTATTATCCTTCGAGAAAGGTAACATTGTGGAGACGTGGAACATTATTTCGTGACCCTGATGCATCGTATAAATGGAATGACTGCCGGTCATGTCACCTGTTGGAATAGACGCAATGGACAAGATCAATTTAGATAACACGTTACATTGTAAATTGCAAAACAATTAGACTTGTTACATTTTGATAGAAGTGCATTTTTTCACGTTTTATTACCTTTAACGTCCAGTCCACCACGAAAACGGTTCCATCCTCTTAATCGAACTTTATCTCCCAAAAGCGAAATAAATCGTTGCCATTTTTCATCGCCTTCCTCTGAAACAATATTCACATAGATATAATATTCGTTACGATAGTGGTGTGACGGATTAAGAATACAGAGTGTCACCACCAGGAGAAAATTACGCAGAACAACAGCACTGCAGAGAGTAGTAAAACTTGACACAAGCCCTATACTAACCCGTCTGGCCAGCGTGGTATACTAGGCCAAAACCTCCTTTCTAAGGAGAGGCCTATGTTCAGCAGTGGACTTTTAAATGCTGTTGATGTGATGTGATGATATACCATCTATACTTCCATACTTATATTATAAATGTGAAAGTAAGCTTGTTTGTAACACTTTCACGCCTAAACCACTAAACCATCTTTCACCAATTTAAAAAATACATTATCAGCGAGTAACAGTTTTTTTTAAAGACAACTCCCAAACTAGGAATAAATCCTGTATCGCGGGGGACTTTACAAACATACATGAAACGGACACAAAGGACACCCAGATTCAGAACAACAATTTGTGGATCACACAAAGTGTTGTCCCGTGTGGGGATCGAACCCCCAATACTCAGCGCAGGAAAGAGTGGCACGCCTGAAAGGAAAAGGTGACTGCAGTCCATAAATGTTTGCTACTCTGGCAGGCGATAAAAACGTGACTAATTTACCTTAATAAAGCGACCAGAGATTAGCTCTACTTAGAAAGCTTTAAGCTTCCGTCGGTTTGAGAATTTTGAACTGCTATGCTATGTCCTTGTATTATCATTTCGTAAACTCAACTTACTTTAAACCTTCGTTCAGCAGCAGTGAACGGCGATGATGATGATGAAACTACTTACTTTACGTACTTGCATGTTTATTTAATAGATTTCAAGAATTGCTATCGGAGTTGGATATTATTCAAGACAAAATTGTTAATTTAGTGGAACAAAATCAATTAGATGAACAAGTACAGGAGCGTGATAAGATGGAAAATAGTTTATATGATTTAATTTCTAGAATTCTTCTTCTCAATAATACAAGAAGCCTTGTATTATTGAGTCGTTCACAGAGAAAAATAGTGCTCATTTGAGTCGAGCTAGTTCAAACCATGAGTCAGACAAGTCTTCACATTTATATCGCCAACTAAAGGAGGCCGCTCATGATGGAGAGGTGTACCGTCTGCTGACCTCCAAACTTCATTTTGAGGATGTCACCCCATGATGATGGTGTTTATTACGTACCGTTTGATAACATTTCATCGTCAGTCTTCTGGCCAGCTTTCATTAGCATTACTCCTATCTTAAAATTCACTGAACCTTCCTGTTCTTCTAGCAATAAAACGTCTTTTTGTAATTCCGCACACGTTATCTGTAAAACAAGAAAGGTATCATTTTGAAATTCTTTGAATTGTTAGATAAGACACGATCTAAAATAAAAAGTCATATATATCTTACCTCTCTCGGGACTTTATCCACACGTTCCATTGCGGGAAATTGGCTAAGAATCTGTTTGACTGTTGGTCTCGTTGGAGCCTGGCCACCACCACTACTCCAGGCACTAGGCGGCAAATAAATTTTATGCGCACCCTGTAAAATACGTTTTGGGTATAAAATGACTTAAAATTCAGGTTTTATACTCCATTGAGTTGGTTTATCATTTGCTTCCAGGCTTTGAGCACCCGTATAATTGATACTTACGAGTAGCTTTAAGTTTTATTGCCCACCTTTGCAACTAGAACAGACGCGTCGTAAATATATAGTATCGTATCCAGCGAGTGTCATAAAATAAGTTTAAATAATCCGAGAGAGAATAAGAGAGTAATGGACATAGTGAATCTAGTACAAATGTGTTACGACTGTCATTTTAAGAAAATTATTATTCATTAACAAAAGTTTCTCTCAAAAATAAAACTATATTTTATTTTATTAAAATGCTCACACTAAGAGTATACTAAACTAAATACTATAAAAAGAGAAATGAATATATTAATTATTATTTTTATTTCATACTTTATTGACCAATGAGTAGATTTATAGATGAGTGAAGTAAATTTTGGTACGTATTCATATTTAGCTAAAGCGAAATAACTAAGTAGTTTTAAAATTTAAACGTAACTTAAAATAAACGAAACATTACTGGTTATGGAAAATTACTGAACATATACATTCTCTTTTCTTACTACTTCAGATGTATTATTGAAAGCTAATAAGGCGAGAAATAAAAAAAAACACATATTGAAAAAATCTGTCACATCTTACACCTAATGTTTCATTTAGTAATAGTATATTAAAATCATTTCAATACAATTGACATTGTACATCCTAACTTTTTCAAATTTAAATGTTCTAAAATTACCTATTATGTAATAATAATAAATCTCTTTTTTTCAGATATCTTAGACCCATACAAATTTTAAAACAGAGGTTAAAAAATAAAAATATAAAACTAATACGCAACTTATTTCTAGTCTCTCTATATGAATCTTTGAACAATGGTACATATAGGTGTCTATAAATGTTTCGTTTTATGTAGTGTAGTAAAGGTTGTAAATAAATTAATTTCGGTATATTATATATAAATATATATTATAAAGTATGTAAAGCATAAAATGTTACAAAGCGTGGCTGGCAACTCTATTCGCAGTATCTCGAGGTAAATGATTAAATCTGAACAGCAGGAGTTGTAACATTTTAAGTGCTTGTTCTCACCATTTTATTGAAGAGGATGGCTCGCAAAAGTCCCGCTCCACCTTCCTGAACGACACTCAGTAGGTAAGGCTCTCTTGAACCATCTACTCCGATGTAATTTTGGTGCACTGGAATCAAACGAGGTCACAAGCAGTAAGCATTAGATCTTCAGATCCATATAGTACGTACGTCGTACGTACGTCTATGAACGATGTAAGCAATAAGGCAGTTAAACGAGTCCTTAATATTGACTTTCATATAACGTGTTAAAATAAACAAAATATTAGAGTTTTCTCACCACCACCAAAAGAACAAGGCTGCTTGTTTTTTGATAGACGCTCAAAGGTTTAGGATTAATTGGTGTAAAGGAACCACCCGGGCTGTGGGCCCCGTGTTGGAACAGTCTTACAAGTCCTTGAGTTGGTTTCCAATGGACATTCCACACGTTAAACAGCTTGATTCATGGATTTCAAAAGGTTGATTGGCATGCTCCTACGGCATATTTTATTATATCGGGTGTACAAATAAACGAAACACTTGTTAATCTAAGAACTCTAGCAAGCATGTGAAAAAATTATGAAAAAAAAACTATCCGTTTAAAGCTTATGACCGTTTTTAATTTCCAGGTATATAATACATATGTGCAATACTTAGAGTTCACGTGCCTACGCCTGTTTTCACGGGTACTCAAATCCCATCTAAGTCAGTTCTTAACACAATGTCAATACAATATCAATATCACACGTTTTAATAACTACTGATTCAATGGAAATTTATTTCCGAACATAGAATTAGATTTTATTTCGAATGTATATTGCAGAACACTGCGATGACTTGTTTAGATTTGCTTGATTAATTATCTAAAAACTATTACTGAGTACACGCCTAAACAGCAGCCCACAGTTCATGACAGAAATAAGATTTATAATTAGAATGAGATAAGTGGTAGGTACGCTCTGTAAGTTTTTAATATTAGAATAGAATTTATCTACAGATACCTACTAAGTAAACAAAAGAGTTACTCTTAGTAATATATAAATATAAGTTAGTTATATATTATTTTCGGACATTGAATTAGTTAGATGAGGCTGTGTCCCTGTAATAGCCCTTTGTTCATGTTGAACAGTAGTTTCACCCGTCTCTAATCGTCTCTAATCTAGTCTAAATCCACTTTGATTAAGTAAGATAGTATACCTTAGGGACACTTTGTTGCGATTCTATACTTTAATATTTATATTATACAACACCTAAGCGAGGGAGAAGATATTGTAAAGGACCAACGAGGAGGATTTCGATCTAAACCTTAATCCAAGATCTTCGTCATTGTTAGTTACTTCTAGATATATAAGCTATGCGTTGCATAATTTGGGGGTACACTGCTTTGTCAGTACTGCCGGTATGTCATCTAGTCCATTTGAATAAGGCAAAGACGTTAAACACATATCATTCTGAGTGTTAGTGCAGATCAGGGCCCTTGGGTACAGATAAGATTTAGGATGATAAGATAAAATTTATTATCGGTAATCTTATTTCTATATTAAATTTGATTAATATTACAATAAAGAGTTAAAGCTATTTTTGCGGTAAAAATCTATATTCCAGAGGTCTTCCCGATACGTGGAAAAATTAACACTCGCATGTCCCAATATGTCAATTGCATATCTGGTTACAGATATTGTAGTAAAATGTTGATATGCATTCAATAAGAATTGAGTGTAATTATATAAATTCAATATGAAAAAATAGAAGGCTGTCTGCAGCATCAGTTAATAAATATAAGGTCTTTTCAAAGTCTAATATTGCCCATAAAAAGTTATGGTGGTTTTTTCATACGGATATAACCACTTAGGCCTCAGATATAACCACGAGGAAGTTGAATTTCAGAAGAAAAGAGTACAAAGCTTGTTATTTTAGTAAAAAGAGTCTGAATTTTTTTTAACATAGTTTTTAATCTTTTATAAAATGGGATTTCTTGTTACTATTTGAGTAAAAAGAACAAGACGTGTGTTTTATTCACTGGCTTTCATGGAAATACTCAGGCCTAAAATAAAATCTGATTAATTATAATTTTTGGGTTTAGTACGAAGCCATTGACGACGTCAGTAAGGTCCGGTCCAACAATTTTATACTTACGAAGGAAAATACTTTGGAAAACAATAATTGCATTTTTTTATGGAAGGGGGACAGACGAGCAGACGGGTCACCTGATTTAAAGTGGCTACCGCCTCCCATGAATGCCTGTAGCTCGTATCGGTCTGGAAATACTACAGATGAGAACTTGTTCCACAGATTGGTTGTGCGAGGCAAAAAGTGTCTTGAAAATCGCACAGCGGTGGAGCGCCAATTATCCAGGTGATGGTGGTGAGGTATGAAAATTTGCTGCCGGTATTAGTCTGCACAATTTCTCGGAACACTTTCCAAGATATATACGATAGAGAATGCAGAGTGAAGCTTCATCTCTACGTAACGCCAAGGGATCGAGTCGATCGGAGATCTTTGGGCTATCGACGATTCGAGTCGTTCTTCGTTAGATGCGGTCCAGAGGGAGAAGCTGGTACTGGGGTGCCCCTGCATAGAGATGAGAAGCGGTGGGCTGAAGTGAAATACTGCCGCGATCTTTACAGCACACCGAGCTTCAGCTTCTTCAGGGCCAATTTGACCTTAGCCCCTAAACGATCCCGAAACTGGACTTCGCTCGATATGTCGATGCCTGGGATTCCGATACTGGTTTAAGGGTGTTAGAGAGGTATTCTCAAACCGAGGTGATATGACAAGCGGTACCTTCTTTGTGGTGAACGCACAAACCGGTGTCTTTTTAGCGTTTAAGTGGTCTAAATTTTGTTGAACCCAATCTGAAACCTCCGAAGAGGAACTTTAAATTTCAGAGACAAGTTTGTTTCGACCCTTGATGACGTTTTCCCGAGAAATATTAAGGGGGCCGGCCGCACACCGCCTTGCGTTCGCCTTTAAGTCGGAGTATGTACCGTCGACAACGACGTTAATGGTTCTGTCTGCAAGGAAACTGGTGACCCAGTTACATAAAATCTCGCGAAGCCCATAGGAATGACGCTGAATGAGAGAAGCGCCGCTCCCTTGGTCTCGATCGCCAGTGCCCACCGGTGTGTTAAAAAGACGAAAAAATAACTAGCTGAACGACCCTGGCAAAAACCATACTGTTGGTATTATAAGATATCTGATTTTATTTGTCAAACCCGATCCGAATGAAGGTTCGCTCAGAACCTATGTCTTCCAGACCCGAAGTATAACGCTACCTTTATGAGTTATAGGTACGTGGTACAATGTCACCTAACCTTTTTAATTCTTTGTTATTTAAACTTCATTTTATTTAAATTGTTACATCCTTTTTTGATCAGTATTAGCTGACTTTACGAAATTGTCGACAAATTGCGTGGTGGGTCAATATTTTCTGTTATTGCGTGTCGCGATATCTTATGCAACATACTGTAATAGCCTTAACTGATTTAAAAATAATTTTATTAATACAAATTTAATTGTTCTTGTAAAGGATTGTCTCAAATGTTGGGTTGACAAAGGTCTGAGAAGAAAATACCGATATTAGTCTATAAGATCTAACCAAATTTTAGTACCGGTCTAAATTAACCCTTTAAAAGACGATATTGGGGTGAAAAGGTACAGAATTACAATATAACACCGACAGCGTAGTCCATTGTTGAAGCTTCGACCGATATCTGGTCTTGACATATTCCTAATGACATACGGAATTGTTCCGCTGTAAATTTGTTGCTGTTACGTAAATTATTTACATATAATATCATATTGTTGTATGAACAGAGAAAACAGGATAGGGTAAGAGCTCCAGGAATATTTTGGTACAATAGATGATCTTTTTTATCTTTCAAACTGTACGTTTTGATTTAAGAAATGTAGTCATTTGGTCCACATTTTCGGTATAGTATGTCAATATGTCTATCCTTGGCTTGTGTTATGTATTATGTACATGACTTTTATTAAGTTTTGTGAATAAAAGGGAAAATAGCGAACAATACACAATGTTACAATTGTTGCTGTTAATCAAAGGAGAAAAAGAAAAAAGTTGTCAAATAGATGAGAAAAAAGTTTTAAACTGTTTTGTCTATACCTATTTTTATATAGAAAACAAATGTCTAAATAACAATCACTTACGAGCAAGCTGCTCTGATTGGTCAAATTAGATGGACCTTCCGTCTAATATAACCAATCAGAGCAGAATATCGAGAAGTGTTTAACGTATATCCTTTACTTACTATTTTAGAATAGAAGTCATTCGCTGCACCAACGCCTAAACGATTAATTCATTAAAAATAACATGTCTCTTACATTATATTTCATTAATTTCACTCATTTACACAGCTGTTACTCCGATACGTATCAAACTCCCAACTTGCAATATCTAGTTGAGTTAAATTCGCAATTTACTCTCGAAAGGGAGCGCAATCAAACAATCCTTGTCCTTGCCGTTTCGCCGGAGATCTCCGTATTAAATCTCGATCAAGCTCTTGTGGCGGTGTAGTGCAAGAGCTCGTGACCTAGATCATCGTATCTAAAAAAAAATAATGGAAAATGGTGGCAGTATAACTTTGCCAGCTGTAGGTGTGGAATTTGTGGGTTGTTACCACAAATTTGCATAAAGTTTAAAGTTTTTTTTAATTTATTTATTTTACACAACATCACTATAATCATTACAGGTATTCTTAATGCAGTAGTGTGGTTATAAATTCTGTTTTTTCTAGGCAACATTTTTCTGTTTTAGGTACTGTGTCCTTTGCTATTATTTTACTAACGTGTATGCAAAATTTCATAATGATCAGATAACCGATACTGCAGCGCGAAAATCCAAACAAAAAATATTGATTTTCACAAACATAGATAAGATTATAAGTATAGGAAAAAATATTAGAAATTTATTTTGAGTGATTTATAGTTTCAGATCTTATGAAATAACTTAGGGAGATCACCGTCCTAATTCCTCAAAATCTTTATTTATTATCTTAACATCTCCTATCAAGTTAACACATCAAAATTATTGTAATGAGCCTTCTAGAAATATTTGCTTTTATACCATCTGAAAGTAAAGCAATAGAGCAATGTAAATAAACCATAATAGTAT